TGTCAAATTTCAGTGTGCCTTGAATAATGGAATGGAAATGAGGCTGGGCAACTCAAGTCGTTCTGGCCATGAATGAGGAGAGGTCAGTGTGATTGTTTTTTTTTCAATGTTAGCAAGAACTGCAAAAACATTGGTTTTTCTTTTTTAACTTTGAAGAAATCGAGAAAACACTGGAAAGAAGCCAGAGTTATGAAACTTAGACAACTTTCTTCAGATTCAGCAGCAGATTCATGCACAGCAACACTTTTTTTTTTCAGTTCAAATTGCCTTTGCCCGTCTGAACAGAATTTGTCTCTTGCTTTTTGCTTAATGTTTTCTTTGTTTTTTGTCGGAATGATCTCTCGGTTAAGTTGCAAGCTTCAGAAAGAGAGAGTTTCGAGAAAACGCCCTGAACCAAAACACAAAAAGATCGTTCAGCAAGTGTTTTGGTGAGTGCTGTCAGCCCGGTAAGCTGTCGATTGACCAGAAAGACGGTGAAAAAGAATTGCAATCAAGAGAATGTGCATTTTGTGGTTTCGGCTGTTTTTCTGTGTGTGCATGTACAAGAGTGTGTGGATGTGTGTGTGTGTGTGTGTGTGTGTGAGCATTTGTGGTTGCAAAGTGGGTTGGTTTGCGGGTGCATGTCTTTGGCTTCAGTGTGCAAGGAAAGTTTTAGTGTGTGGGTAAAGGGTGGAACGCATGGAGTCTTAGAAGTGACACCAAATAAAAAAACAATGACCTCTGTGTGTGTTTACCTTGTTTTTTTTATTGTGAATGGGTGTGTTGTGGTTTCGGCGTTTTTGGCAGTGTGTCATGGAGTGTGGTGTGTGTGATTATGTGGGTGCAAAGTGGCTTTGGTGGGTGGTGTGCGTTTGCGTGCATGTCGGCTGGGTTCTGCTGGCTGTTCAAGTGTGGAAGTGTGTGGGTGGTAAAAGGTGTGTGGATTTGGAGACACAAAAAGAGGGCAAGAAATCAACTCCAAAAGGTAGGGAAGCCGAAGTGACCTCCACAGTGCGAGAAAGATCGCACGCGAACAATGCAAGAGTGCTTTATCTTGAATGCCAGCTAAAGACAAGTTTAGCCAAGAACACGCGTATTGACGGCGTTTTTTGTTTTCTTGAGTGTTGATGCAAACAGTATCGAATAGAAAAAATCTTGTTTGTCTGTGAGTTGATTTCAATTATTATTGAACTTAAATGGGTTCCAAAAGCAGCTCAATTCTGGGCACCGAAAACGGGCCCTAGATTTTGGATTTCCTGTGTGAACATACAAGGCCACCCAGGTTGGAGCCTCAAATTGGAACCCAAGTTTAGGAGCCATTTTTGGGCCCAGTTGCGGCGTTGTTTTCACACACGGGAAGCCAGATCTGGCTTTCACAGCTCCTCGTTGCGAGTAAAACAAATAAGCCTCTCAGTCGGTTCCAGTCTAAGTCTTGTGTCAGTCTTCCCCCAAAATTAGAAAAGCAGGCAGCAAGGCGGCAAAGTGTGAACTTGTTTGGCACCGGAACTTTCTCTAACTGTGGAGGTCACTGGAGCTTCCCTACCTTTTCGATCAATTTTGCTGCCCCTCATCTTGGGTTTCAGATTCTCCAGGTTTTGGTGCAAGGCCTGAAGGCAGCAGAGGAGGGTGCAGAGTCAACATCGGTGGAAACTGCAGCTTGGAAAAGTTCAATGCTTTGAAACAAGTGTTTTTAAAAGCCTCTGACAGTGCCGTTTGAACAGAAATCAACTGCAGGACGAGACGAGTTCAACCGTGGTGTTGATTCAAGGCTGCGCGCGACGCCCAAGCCAAACCACTCGAAAATTGCAAAGTGTATTACCAGAATGTGAATAAGTGCGAGCGAAGCGAGCGAAACACCAGAGTAAATTCAACAAATTTGACTGATCAAGTGTTGATTTTTGAGGGGTTTTTCAACATTTTCGGACACTTCAGAAATTTTGAAAATTCGTTGAATGGTGCTGAATCCAGGGAAGAATTGCAACGTGCAACCAAAAACGAAAGACAAAGAATTGAGGGCACCCATCCTGAAAGAAAGCAGAGTTTCTTCTGCTCAATCTTCTGTCAAATTTCAGTGTGCCTTGAATAATGGAATGGAAATGAGGCTGGGCAACTCAAGTCGTTCTGGCCATGAATGAGGAGAGGTCAGTGTGATTGTTTTTTTTTCAATGTTAGCAAGAACTGCAAAAACATTGGTTTTTCTTTTTTAACTTTGAAGAAATCGAGAAAACACTGGAAAGAAGCCAGAGTTATGAAACTTAGACAACTTTCTTCAGATTCAGCAGCAGATTCATGCACAGCAACACTTTTTTTTTTCAGTTCAAATTGCCTTTGCCCGTCTGAACAGAATTTTTCTCTTGCTTTTTGCTTAATGTTTTCTTTGTTTTTTGTCGGAATGATCTCTCGGTTAAGTTGCAAGCTTCAGAAAGAGAGAGTTTCGAGAAAACGCCCTGAACCAAAACACAAAAAGATCGTTCAGCAAGTGTTTTGGTGAGTGCTGTCAGCCCGGTAAGCTGTCGATTGACCAGAAAGACGGTGAAAAAGAATTGCAATCGGAACTTAAGAGAATGTGCATTTTGTGGTTTCGGCTGTTTTTCTGTGTGTGCATGTACAAGAGTGTGTGGATGTGTGTGTGTGTGAGCATTTGTGGTTGCAAAGTGGGTTGGTTTGCGGGTGCATGTCTTTGGCTTCAGTGTGCAAGGAAAGTTTTAGTGTGTGGGTAAAGGGTGGAACGCATGGAGTCTTAGAAGTGACACCAAATAAAAAAACAATGACCTCTGTGTGTGTTTACCTTGTTTTTTATTGTGAATGGGTGTGTTGTGGTTTCGGCGTTTTTGGCAGTGTGTCATGGAGTGTGGTGTGTGTTATTATGTGGGTGCAAAGTGGCTTTGGTGGGTGGTGTGCGTTTGCGTGCATGTCGGTTGGGTTCTGCTGGCTGTTCAAGTGTGGAAGTGTGTGGGTGGTAAAAGGTGTGTGGATTTGGAGACACAAAAAGAGGGCAAGAAATCAACTCCAAAAGGTAGGGAAGCCGAAGTGACCTCCACAGTATGAGTTGCAGAAGCATCATCGCGCAGCTGGACATGCTGCTTGCCCTGTGACAAAAATGCTAAAGTTTAAAGGCGTTTGCATTGGCATTTGTCGTGAAATCCCTGGGAGTCCAAGTGTCTTCACAATAAAAACATCATTTCCGTATAGTCTTGCTCAAACTCGCTGCGTAAGGATCACCAAAGTGCGTAAAAGTGCATATTCGTATTGTCATTGATATGCACTATCGTAGCGTGAAGAGATCTATTTAGCTGCCAGCTGACTTTTTGTACCGTGTGGAAGGTGTTGTCATGTTGATGTTGCATTCAAAGAACCCCGATGCAGCAAAGTTTGACCACAGCGTGAGGGTTGATTTGACGGCTGTGCTGCGAAACGGCCTTTTGGCGGGCTAGATCCTCGGAAGATGGAGTTACCCGAGCCGAGTTGGCCGATGGATTTGCTTCCCACTGCTTTCGAACAGCACGAATCATGGTTTCATGTCGCATATCTTGCTGCTAGCAGGATTTAGCTTGCAAGAGTTGACATGGACCGTCGCACTGACACGACAACGCAGCACTCATCGTTGGAATATCGCTCTTTCCGTTCGAGTCTGCAGCACTCATCAGTGCGTTGCAATTCCGGTTTGCGTCTGCAAGCATCGAGACTTTCGCGATCTTTTGAAGTCTTTGTATCCCTCGAGTCCAGCACTTATCGCACAATTTGACGGTTGTGGCGCTTTCCAAGTTAAACCTTATAAGGACGACCCACCCAAAGTTGCAGTGGAAGTCTAACCTTTAAACCTCTACTCCGCCAGACCGCACTACGGCCCAAAAGATTTTGCGCGCATTTTACGGGCACTTTTGGGCCTTCTAAACGCCAGCCCGAAGCCCTCAGGGGCCGCGTTTTGGAGCAGAGCGCAGTTTTGAAAACCACAGATAGAAGAGAGAGTTTGGGGGCTCAGACTTCAGGAGCTTTTTGGGCTTGGGTGTTCTTAGGATCCTGAGGCTCCAGAGGACGGACGAGTGTGAGGAAGGAGGAAAAGGAGCGGGTGCGAAGCAGTATGCTCTCAAGGATTTTGCTTCAATGCTTTTGATCGTGCCTGAAGGGGTCTGTGCCTGGTCACTCTTGACCTTAGGCTCCTCTCGCGACCAATCCTTTGACCGTTTGAACACCAATGAAGATAAAGTGAGACCTTAAACTCGAAGTAGTAAACTTTTTAAAGCCCTGAGCCACCCTTCTAAGCCCTAGGCAGGCCCTTTGTGCATTTGGTTCCCTTTTGGGGTTTAAGAGGATCTTCTCGTAAGAAGAGCGCCAAGCTAAGAACCTGGGCCAGCCTTCTTGGTACTGGCAGCACGCCAAGCGCGGTTGCCTCGGCACTGGCCGTTGCGATGTTCCGCGACACGCCTAAGCATTCGGCACAGCGACTGCATTAGTGCAGCGATGACAGTCGAAGACATGCAGAGCAAGACACAACATGCCCCCAGTAATGATTGCAATGCGGGGGGTATTAGGAGTCGTACGAAGGAATCGTCTGTCAAAGAACCCTACGGCCCTAAACCCTAAACTCCCCAACGCCCTACACGATGGCAAGCATTCGGTTCGCGCGCGATCGTGCTGCTCAAGCCATTCCCCGAGATTTTTGTGCGCTCTATAGTCGCCCACCCTGAAGCTGTCATGGACCTCAACCCCTTGGCCACCTATGTCAAGGACAGGCTCTTTTGGATTCTTTTTTGGGGTTAGGTTCAGGATGTTTGGGGTTGGGGTTTAGGGGTTTAGGGTCCTGAGCCTCAGGCCACTAGGCTCGGGCCGCCATTGGTAGTCGTCTTAGCGTCTTTAGTACCACCGCGCCCTCAAGCCTGAACCCCTTGCAGGCTTACGTAGGGTTACGTAGGGGTCTCCAAGCCATTCTATACAGCCCTACAAAGCCGGCGGGCTCCTCTTCTGGGAAGGAGCGAGAGGGAAAGCGGGTCATCCGCAAGATCCTCATCTCCAACAATGGCATGGCAGCCGTCAAAGCGATTTTGTCGATGAGAAGGCCGGGGGTTTGGGGCTTTTCGGGTTTAAGGTTTAGGCTAGCCGGTTTTATAGAGAGACAAGAAGGGTTTCTAGAAGTGATTATGCTGTGTACGTTCACATACTGTGTGCACATGCACCTAAACCCTAAACCCCAAAGCCCAGAACCCTCAAGCAAATCTGTCCCTGAGAAGGAAGCCGCGACAGCGGCGAAGAAAATTAAATGAAAAACCCTCGAAACCCAAAGATGTCCAAAAAATCCTCAACTCCGAAAGCCCCTGAAAACTCTAGGGCTCAGGGTTCAAACCCTCTGAACCCACTCAACCCTCTAAACCCGAAACCCAAAGCATCCTCTCCCAGGTGGACCTTCACCGAGTTCGGCTCCGAGCAGCTCATCACTTTTGTGGCCATGGCCACTCCCGACGACCTCAACGCCACGTTCTGAGTGAGGATTCAGGTTTTTTTTTCCTGGGGTTTGGGGGGTTAGGGTCAGGATTTTAGGGCTTCATGGCTTTTAGGCAGACCCGCCCAAGGCCCGAAACTGCTGAGAACCCGTAATGCTAGGCTCCCAAACCCTAAGCTCGAATCCTCAAGTCCCTCTTTTCCCCAGCGAGAGCCCGTAAGGCCAACGCGGAGTTTATCCGCCTGGCCGACTCCTTCGTGGAGGTGCCGTCTGGGAATCCTGGGATGCGCAAGTTGAGCGTTTGCGGGGTCGAGGGCTTCAGCTTCAGGGTTCAGGGCTTCAGGGTTCAGGGCTTCGGGGTTTAGGGTTCGGGGTTTAAGGTTTTCAGGCCTTATAGGGCTTCGGATTCCGGGTCAGGGTTCATTCTCCATATGCTCATGTGGGCTTGGGAAGTGCTAGCCACCAAGGAAGAACGTCAACAACTATGCCAACGTTGACCTGATTTGCAGGACGCGGCAGTTTTTCAGCAGTTTCTTGCAATTACATGATAAAATTCGAACTCCCAAGCCCTTCACCCAAAGACTTGCGGCTACCGTAGCCCTGAACCGTTTCAAGAACGTTCATCCTGCGCCACCTTCCCTATAGACTCCTGACGCCGTCTTCCGGAGTAAAATTGTGCACTTTTTTCAGACATGGTACAGATTTCCACTAGCCGGCATAGGGAGAACGATGCCGAGAACTCCGCTACTCCGCAAGTGCTTTCTACCGGCAGTCTGCCGCTAGATCAGATGCCCCATAGCTCGGAACTGTTGGCCTCCCGGGAATGTAGTCCCCCAACGGAGGTGCGAACCGCCAACCCTCAAGCCGCTAAACCCAACGCTGTGCGAGGATTGCCCAGGAGCAGCAGGTGGATGCCGTCTGGCCCGGCTGGGGCCACGCCAGCGAGAACCCGAAGCTCCCTGCCAAGCTCAAGGAGACCAGTGACTTTTGTAACAAAACCGAACCGGGCTTAGGGTCTTACCGTATACCTAAACCCCAGACCGTAAACCCCTCAACCCCTCAACCCTCGGCCTGGACCCTATGGAAGGCTTCGGGTGTTGAGGGTATCACCCTCCACCTGAAAAAGAAAGCCCAATTAATCTTCATAATCAGGGTGGGGCTGGTAGAAGCTCTGGAGGTTTGCGCGTTAGGGCCGTTCTAGCTGCAAGCCCCCACGAAAAGCCCCGAAAGCGCTACCCCCGACCCGGCAGAGCCCCTCTGACAGGAGATCGGCATCACCTTCATCGGCCCACCTTCGGGCGTGATGGCAGCCCTGGGAGACAAGATCGCGGCCAACATCCTGGCGCAGACGGCGAAGGTCCTCCGCGGGTCTTTTCGGGGTCTGAGCAGGTTTTCGGGCTCAGGGTTGTTCCGGCTATGGTTGTCGGGTTTCGGCCTCAGGAGGAAGGTGTCGGGTCCAAACCCCAAACACCCCAAAGCCCCAAAACCCTAATTCCAAAACCCCTAAATCCCCAACCCCCCAAAGCCCCAATTCCAAAACCCCAAGACCCCAGGTTCCAAGCATCCCATGGAGCGGCGATGGCCTCACGTGCACGCTCACCGACGAGGGGACCGTCCCTGACGAGGTACCTCTCCTGGGGAGCTTGTAAGGTAGTCGTCATGTTGACTATGCCCTCAACCCTAAACCCTCAACCCTCAACCCTCAACCCTCAACCCTAAACCGCCCAAACCCTATACAGCCCCTACTGGAGGCCCCCCTCGCCCCCCCGAACCGAGGTCTTTAACAAGGCCATGGTCCGCACCGAAGAGGAGGCCCTTGAGAGGGCGGAGAAGGCGGGGACACCTCCATGACCCTCAATGACCCTCAATGACCCTCAATGACCCTCAATGACCCTCAATGACCCTCAATGACCTCAACTTCCTGGTTGTTCTGTTTTAGGGTTTAGGGTTTAGGGTTTAGGCCTTTGGGTTTAGGTCTATTTGTTTTCTCTCTGCGTAGTCTTTGTCTTTTGTCCCTGTGTGTACGGGCCTAGGTTTTCGCTGCGTTTGGGCTATTCGCCTATTACTCTGACTCCCCCCCCCCCCCGAAACCCTCAAGCCAGCCCCTCAGCCTGAAAACGAAAAGATCCGAGGTCCTACGCCCTGCACCCCCTAAACCCTAAACCCTAAACCCTAAACCCTAAACCCTAAACCCTACACCGTAAACCCCAAACTCGAGGTCTCTGAAGTCCCACGCCCAAAGCACTAAACCCTCAGATCGCCCACGCCCAGAACCACCCTTCACCACCCCAACCCTTAATCCCGAAGACGTAGACCCGAAGCCCTCACTCGAATCCCTAACACTCACAACCCCAGGCCCTCAACCCCAAAAGAACTTCAACCCCCTAAACTTCCCTAAACCCTACAAACCCTCAAGAGTGAGAGCCCTGAGCCCTGAAAATCCCCGACTTTCCCAAACTCCAGGTGGGCTTCCCGATCATGGTGAAAGCCTCGGAGGGTGGGGGCGGCAAAGGCACGGCCATCGAGTTTTTGTCCTCTCTCAGGGTTCCGAGGATCTCATCAGGGGGTTGTTGAGGGCTTGGCAAGTAGGGTTTCAGGGCTTTCGGATGTTTTCGGGTTTGGGACGGCCGGTAGCTGGCTTGGGCCCAACAGAGCAGGATCGAGGCAACCTCACCCTGGGGGGGCACTTTCACGCCTAACTTTCTGTTTGAGAGAGACACCTTTGTGCACCACACGACATGTTGCAGCAGAAGACTTGGTAAGCAGAATTTGCGGGGGAATCTGCGGGTTCAGGCACCTGGGGATGCCCAAGCTCAACAATCGTAGCTGCTCTTAAGCCCGATGATTCGCCGGTCTTCTGAAAAGCCTTGAGAGAAATCTCGCAGAGCGGCTCGGGAAACCGCCCCTGGCGCCTCGCGTGTCGACATGCTTCGTGTATCCGTGGCTCTGCCGAGTGGAAAAGAGGTCGCCCTCGAAGTGCCGGAATCCTCCAAAGTTGGAGATCTGAAGGTTCTGGCCCAGAATTCCTTGGGAAGTTTCCTGAGACTTGTGACAGGAGACGGGCGAGTCTTGAGAGATCCCGAGGACTCCCTGGAAGCTGCGGGACTTCGAGGCGCAGCAACCGACACTCACAGCGGGAAGAGACGCCTTTGCCCTTTGGTGTCACGGAGGCGGCAGGATCCTCACCTGGGGAAACCCAACCGTCTGTGGCGACCGCTTCGCCATCAAAGGCCAGCTCGCAGGTGTCCAGCAGGTTCACGCCAAATCCCAAGCGTTCGCAGCGATCTTGGGGGATGGATCGGTTGCTACCTGGGGAAAGGAAGATGCGGGTGGTGACAGCTCTAAAGTTCGCGATCGGCTCAGGGGTGTGCAGCAGCTGCAGGCGACCTTCACGGCCTTTGCCGCCATCCTGCAGGATGGGTGGTGACTTGGGGCGATCCAGTGGCGGAGACAGCTCTGCGGTCCAAGGCCAGCTCCGAAACGTGCGCCAGCTGCAGGGGACCAACTCAGCTTTTGCCACCGTCCTGGAGGATGGCTCTGTTGTGACCTGGGGCAGAACCCACGGTGGGGACAGCTCGGCAGTCCAGGCTCAGCTGAAGAATGTGCGCGAACTTCGATCCACGGGCTTCGCCTTTGCAGCGGTTCTGCCGGATGGATCGGTAGTTACATGGGGTGAGGCGGGTGATGGAGGTGACAGCTCCAGCGTACCTGGGCTGAGGAATGTACGGCAGGTCCGGGCCACAAACAATGCATTTGCTGCTATCCTGGAAGACAGATCCGTTGTTGTATGGGGCGGCCGAGACTATGGTGGCAGTTTTGGTGACATCTCTGTCCAAGATCGTCTCAGAAGTGTGCAGGAAATTCAAGGCACAGTTGGGGCAATTGCCGCGATTCTGGAAGACAAATCCGTTGTGACATGGGGCAATCCACAGCAAGGGGGTGAGAGCTCCACAGTGCAAGATCAATTGCAAAACGTGCGCCAGATCAGAGGAACAGCTTCGGCCTTTGCCGCGCTCTTGGAGAATGAGTCGGTGGTGACTTGGGGCAACCCTGTTGATGGTGGCGACAGCTCCAGCGTCCGAGACCGACTCAGGAACGTGCAGCAGATCGAGGCAACCTCCGCAGCTTTTGCCGCGATCCTGGAGGATGGCTCACTTGTGACATGGGGCAAGCCTCGTATGGGGGGGTGACAGCTCGGGAGTCCAAGAGCACCTGCACTTCCTTTAAGAGAGCAACGACAACTCCTCGTTGCCCTGCAGCAGGGCGCCGCGTTGTCGTCGCTGCTGCCCAAGTTTGCTTCTTTTTCTTGGGGGCGGCCTTTCGGGCCGGCCGGTTCGGGTCCCAGAGGTGGTTTTGGCAGCTGCCGCTTTTCTGGTGTCAGGGCAGAGCTGCCGTCTGTCACTGCGCACTTCAAGTGTCACTGTACTAGTGCTTGGACCTGACGTGGAAACGACACTCAACAACGAACTGTGGGAGGAATACCTTTTCTACTCCATAGTACGGGGGGAGGGGAGAATGTTTCTCCATTGACTAGCCAAAAGACATCGAGTCATGCTTCCGTCGATGATGTGGATATGGAGGAGGGCATAGCCTGCTGGAACTACATGGTCAGATTTCAGAAATATGGCTTAGGTTTAGGGGTCCAGGTTAAGGTGTAGGGCCCTCAACCCTAATTACAGTGTAGGGTTGAGGGCTTGGTTTTAAGAGTTGAGGGTCCTTACGGCACGTCACAACAAGGCGCCCTCCCTCCTCCTTTTTGCAACAGCCCCCCAATGCGTCCGCTCGGGCGCGAGGCATCCGCAAGGCCACGAACATGGAGGAGCTGAAGGTGGCCTTCACCAACGTCCAGACGGAGGTGCCCGGCTCCCCGATCTTCTTGATGCGGATGGTCTCGAAGGCACTCGCTGCGTGCATTTTGAAAGCAGCTCATAGCTCGCTTTGGGCTTTTTTGGGGGGTGCTAGGGGCTGCGACAAGCCGAAACCCTATAACCTCCTCATCCCCTTGAAGCGTGGCGCGGGGACTGTGCCAGGCCCGGCACCTGGAGATCCAGATCCTGGGCGATGAGTACGGCAACACCCTCGCGTTGAACGGCCGCGACTGCTCCACCCAGCGGCGATTCCAGAAGATCTTCGAGGAGGGCCCTCCCACCATCGCCAAGCCCGACGTCTTCCACGAGATGGAGCGGGCGGCCATGCGGCTCACCGCGCTGGTGCAGCGCCTCGGCCGCCTCTCCTTCGGCACATCTGTTTGTGCGGTCTACATGAACTTTCAAAAGTTACAAAAACTCGCAATATTCGTAGGCTGCGAAAGCAACGTTGAGAGTGTGTTGAGAGGTACCGGGGCGCCGGGACCGTGGAGTACCTCTACAGCCCGGAGACGCACACCTTCTGCTTCCTGGAGCTGAACCCTCGCCTGCAGGTGGAGCATCCGGTGACCGAGGCCATCACGGGGGTGAACATGCCCGCGACGCAGCTTCAGATTGCCATGGGCATCCCGCTCTACAACGTCCCGGACATCCGGCGCTTCTACGGCATGGACCCGGCCGTCTGCTCGAAGATCGACTTCTTCGCCGTGGACTACCCCCCGATCACCTCCCACTGCTGCGCCTCGCGCATCACGGCCGAGAACCCGGACGAGGGCTTCAAGCCCACCAGCGGCAAGATCAACAGCGTGCGCTTCCAGTCCGCGGGCGACTGCTGGGGCCGGGCCTTCGGAAAGGGGCGAAGACTTGAAGCTTTGTGGGTTTACATGGGGGTTTGCTCTAGGGCATCTAGGGTTGCAGGGGCTCAGGGTCGCGAAGCCGAAGCTGCAGTCGGGATGGAACTGGGATGAAGCCCCTGGCAGGTTACTTCAGCGTCGGCCTGAAGGGTGGCATCCACGAGTTTGCGGACTCCCAGTTTGGGCACATCTTCGCCAAAGGGCCCAACCGAGAGGCTGCGAGAAAGACCCCTGGATAACCCAAGGAGTTTTGAGTCTCTTGGAGTTTCGGGGCCTAGGGTTGAGTAGGGTTTACACTCTTAGCGTTTGGGGTGGATTCCTGTAGCTTGGGAATGCAGCATTTCTTTTTTGAACGACCTGCCACGCGATCCGGTCGCAAAAGGGTTCAACCCAACATGTTCGCCTAAAGGGAGTGGGAGACACGTTGCGGCTCCCCTGAACCGTCAGCGCTACCCCCGAACTCTAAACCCCTGCGGGGTCCTTATGTATACTCCTTGGGATGCTCCCCCTTAAGCAGTCCTTAGTAGGTATTATATATAATCGGGGGTACTACAATCCCTATTAAAGACGGGGAACATCCCAAGAAACTCCGGTAAGAGATGGCTGTCCACAAGCCCAAGGAGCCTGCGCTTCGCACTCATGAACCTGGACATTTCGGGAGCCACCTCTTTGGGTTGAGGGCTTCATGGGCTTAGGCTTCGGTGTATTGGGTTTATTGGGATATTTGGGGTTTTGTGCTTTGGGATAACCCTGTTAGTTTCCCTTGTTGACACGGGAACCGGCTCATACTTGTCAGGGTGTAGAGTACAGCTCAAACTGGATCGCTTCGCGACTCTATACTCTCGAAAGAAAGAGGAGACATCCGCCATCCCGTCGACTACCTGGTCGACCTGATCGAGACGCAGGCCCCCCAAGTCAGAGACCCTACGCCCCAGGACCCTAAGTCCCCCAAGTTTAACCTCAAACCCTCAACCCTACACCCTGAAGCCCATCAATTCCTAGACCCGCAAGAACCCATGTGCAGGCCTACAAGGAGAACACCATCGACACCATGTGGCTGGATGGCCTGATTGCTAGCAAGGCCCTGGGTCTTCCGCACTTCTGTGTGGGATCTTGGGGGTTTAGTTGGGGCTTAGATTTGTGCTTTTGTGGCTTAGGGGTCTAGGGGGTTTAGAGGCCTGAGGGGTTCTTTTGTTTTTGCTGTTCGCTTCTTGATTATTGCTTCGTTACTGGCATGTGGGCCGCCGCAGATGCACACAACGGGCCACCCTGACTACTGACCTCAAGCCGCTAAAGCCCCAAGTCCATGAAACGCCTCAAGAACCTCAAAACCCTAAGCGCCCAAAGCCCCGCAAAAACCGGAGGGGCCCCCCTCTCACACCCTCGACCCCCTAAACCCTCTAAACCCTAAGCCCTGTTAGACCCCTAGTCCCCCCAACAAAGCAGCGCTGCAGGCCATCGCCCCAAGCACCGGCGCCATGGACGTGGTCTTCTACGCAGCGGTCTTCCGCGCCTTCAGCACCTGGGTCTGAGGGGGTTGAGGGGGTTTAGGGTTTGGGGTTTGGGGTCTACGGTTCGAGGATTTTGGGGTTTAGGGGTTGAGGGTGGGGGGAGGGGGGCTCTAGGGTTTGGGGGGGTTGGTGTGTTGTGGGCATGGGATGAATTAGGGGGTTCTTAGGGGGTTCCGCCCAGAACAGGGTTTGGGGGAGCAGGGCCTTGCGGGGATGGTGATTTGTGGGCTCGGCCCGGGGACTTGGATCCAAGCAATAGTATTACTTGTAAGAACGTACGAACGAAAGGTGCACTTAGAAATTCAAGCGGAGAGACTGCAATGAACTCATCTACAAACGAAGTGAATGTATGAACGAAGTGCGTGAAACTAGTGAATGCATGAACGTATGAATTCATGGTGCCTTTAATGATAGTATAAATATAGGCCCCATTATACGAATTTTACTATATTTTTTCCTTCTCTTTTGGTATTACCCCCCAACCCCCTTAAGCAATGAGCCCTAGAATGTACCAAGGAGGGGACCTTTATTAGGGGCGCTACAGGTTCAAAAACGGGTTGATTTTGCAGGGGTGGGGGTATGTACGTAGGCACTTCTTGGATATGACAAGAACAAGGTTGCAAAGAGTAATTGTAGATGAGAGGGGTCAACAATGCCCCTTCCATCCCGAACATATTCCGAGACGCTGTAGCAACACCCCTATCTCAAGCAGCCCTTTCGGGTTTAGAGGGTTTTAGGGCTTTGGGGTGTTTAGGGGGTTGAGGAGCGTAGGGGTTTAGGGGGTTTGGGGGTTTTTCGACTGCACCCAGGCATGGTGAAGTCCCGGACCCAGGAGGCTGTGGAGGCCATGCAGAAGGGCCAGCTGGTGCTGCTGGGAAAAAGCGACACCGACGCCTTGGTCAACTTTCCCGTGGAGTTCCTTGGCCCTGAGCTGGGCCCTGGATCGTCCCCCAACACCCTGATTCCCTCATACCCGAGCCCGCAAAATTCCCCCCAATGCCCTAATGCCCGAATAAGCCCGAAGCTAGGATCACCTTCGACGGCAAGAAGTTCTCCTTCCAAGTCTCCCGGAAGCGCAGCGACCTCTACGCCTTCACCATCAACAACAAGACCCTCAAGGCCAAGGTCCGCGAGCAGCCGGACGGCTCCCTCTACGTGAGCATCGGCAGCATCAGCCAGCAAGTGAAAGGCCGGTCTCCGATTCGGTGTGTAGGGTTGGCAACCCTGATATATCCCAAACCCCTTAAACTCCCCTCCCTGAAGCAGGACAGGAGGAGGCCCTGGGCCTGCGCCTCATCATCGGCGGGCAGACGATCATGGTCCCCACCGTCTACGACCCCTCGGAGCTCCGCTCCGACGTCAACGGCAAGGCAGGGCCAACCTTCTGTAGTCATGCCGCCACTGCCACTGAGTCACCCGAAATCATCTCTTACACATGACGAGCCCCGTAAACTCCCAAAGTCCCCAGGTGGTGCGCTACTTGCACGACGAGGGCGCCGAGGTCGCCAAGGGCGAGGCCTACATCGAGCTGGAGGCGATGAAGATGATCCCCGGCGGCACTTTTAACAGACGCGTTCTTCATCTTTGAGTCTGAAAGTGGGCTCTCTTTAATCTCCTATTCTTGCAGGTTTCTTTGGGCCTTTATATAGGGTGTCGAGATGTGCTCCTCGCCAAAAGCAGAGCGCGAAGGATCATGTCCTTGAAGTCCGGGGAGGCCGGGAAGATCACCCACGCCCTCAGCCCGGGCAGCATCGTCTCCGCCGGCGAGGTCTTGGCCAAGCTGGAGCTGAAGGACCCCTCCAAGGCGACCAGGAAAAAGACTCCTTCAACTTAAGCCCCAAGCCCTGCACCCTTTCTCCTACTCCTAGCTCATTGGCCCAACCAAGGTGAAGAAGATCGCCCCCTTCGAGGGTGTCTTCGAGATGAGCGCCAAGCCCGAGGCAGACGTGCCCGCCCCCAGGCCGGAGTTCTCATCATGGGGCTTCATAGGGTGGACTTTCAAGGAAGTTTAAGGCCAACCGTTACAACCAAAACTGATATTGATCACAAGCTCGTGGGGGAACAGGAGAACACTAGATCCTTTGCCCCAACCTCGCCCTTCAGGGAAGACCTCCTGGCCTTCCTGGACGGCTTCCATGCGGACCAGAAGGGGCCTCAGCTGGTCGAGCAGCTCTTTGCCAGCTTCGCCAACCGCGATGCGGCCGCGGAGACGGTGCGCGGCGTCCTGGAGCCCGGGGGGGGGGGGCGGACAGCGGGTGGGGACAGGTTCCGGCAGGCCCATGAGCATAATATGTACAGTGTCGCATAAGAGGATCATCAACCCTTGGCCGCATCCTACAGCGACGACGGAGCTTTAGAACCCAAAAGCCCCCACAAGGAGAAGTACCTCTCCAACGAGCGGCCGTTTGCGGCGTCCATCGATCAGAAGCAGCCCTACGACAAGCTCCTGCTGGACTTGATCAACCAGGGCAAGGACGGATGATTTGTCGTTCATCGATTTTTGTTGTGGTGTTTTGATGCACCCTGACCCCTAAACCCTGACGAGGACTCCTTGGAGAAGGTCCTCTTCATGGTGCTGGCCCACAACAAGCTGGCCGACCGCAGCGACGCCGTGATGGCGGCGATCCGCGAGATGCTGGCGGCCGAGGGCTCCGGCATGTCTTGCATGTGCCCCGGCGGCGCGGGGAGGGGAGAAGAGCCCCCAAGAGAGCACCCCGAGACCTCCTCCGCAAGGCTCTCCTCCTGCTTTCCAGGTATGTCCCGGACATGCGCCTGGAGGACGACATGGCGGGCGCCGTGCAGGAGAAGATCGTGGAGCTCTCGCAGCTGCCAAGCTCCGCTGCAGTGGCCGGGGACTCTTGGAGTTGGGTTGTTTAGGGTTAGGGAGTTTAGGGGTCCAGGCTGTGAAAGGGGGTTTCCAGAACTTTGGGGTACAGCACCAGGGCAAAATTCGTGTCCCAGGTTTTAGCAATGATGCCCAGAGATGCCCAAGGACTACGGCAACGTCCGGTACTTGGCGCAGCAGCTCCTGGACACCGTGCCCCAGGAGGGCCCCTCAACAACGGCTCCGCGGATCTATTCCTGTGAAGCTAGATCGTAAAAACCCTTCTGCCGGTATACAAGCCCCTCCTAACCCCCTTCCCATGATATTGTCCCCATATGCCCCTGATCGCCCCCCTTATGACCCCTTATGGCCCTTACAGAATGCGCAGCCAGGAGTCCTATGAGGAGCGCACCAAGCACTTCCGTGAGCAGCTGGCGGGCCTGAAGGAGGAGGCCATCAAGGAGCACAAGGACCAGCGGCTGCTTCTTCCAGAGGGTCTTTCTATAGGGTCTTAAGTAGGTCTCTTAGGGCTGCAAGGGCTGAAAGATTTGGGGTTGCGGGGCATGAAAGCCCAACGCCTTCAAGCTAAAGTTAATGAGGGCCATCTCAATGGAGGTCGATGTAAGTTGTGGACCTCGTGGTTTAGACCAACCCCCAAACCTGACGTCCTAAATCCCCGAAAGCCCCTACGCCCTAAATCCCTGGCCGGTAACCCCTGCAAACCCTGCAAAACCTGTAAGTCCCTGTAAACCTTGCAAACCCCCTAAACCCCCTGTGAACCCCCAAGGGCCCTCCCCAAAAAAAGGAGCTCCCCGGTGCGGCGCCCGACGGCGGCCTTGAGATGGAGCTCCTGGTGGAGGCGCTGAGCGATGCCGATGCCAAGATCCAGGAAAGGGGGGGGGGGAGAAGGGGTGTCGGCTTGGGGGTTGATTCTGGTTTAGGGTGGGGAATTCGGGTTACTCAGCTGGTGTTGAGGGTTTGTTGGGGGCGTCGGGTCTTTTGGGTTTTGGGTTTAAGGCGATCGGAATAGTTAACCCCTGCAACCAAACCGCTAAATATCTGAAGCCCCTTAAGCTAAACTGGCCGCCAACCGCAAGGAGAGGGCCATGCACGCGTACCTTGCCTGGTTGGCTGCCCCGAGCCGCCTCACCAAGGCCGGCACGAGTCAAAAACTCCTCCAGAGCCCGAAAGCCTGCCCTAAAAACTTCACAGGCTCCTATGCCCGAAATCCTTTTCCGTCAGGTGGAGGTTGTGGAGAAGGCCGCGACCAAGACAGCCGTCTGGACCCAGTTCTTCCCGGTGAGCTCAGAGCAGGAAGCTGGGAGATATCTCTGTTTTCTAGTTTATGTTAATTTATGTTCTTTATTTTGGAGTGGGTGGGTGGGGGGGTGGGGGGGTGGGGGGTGGGTTTAAGGATTTGATGTTTTTTTTGGGTGGGGGTTAAGGTTTAGGGTCTTGTGTGTTGTTTAGTTTTGGCGAGACTTGGGGAGGTTCAGGAAAGCGAGCTTCGAGTCTTCAGGAGCACCACCGACACGGCCTCCTCGCGGTCGCCGCAGATCTTGAGGCCTGTGGCTTAGGGTTTTGATAGGCTAAGCGGCTTTTAGGGCTTCGGGCTTGTAGGAGAAACTAAGGCCCCAAACCCCAAACTCCAGTAGGGGAATTGGTTTGGGAGGTTTACATCCCAGGAAGTTTGGGGGCAACGCCCCCTTTCAAGGCTTTGAACCTGGATGAGAAGCTGTTGGCTCCGCTGATCCAAAGGCAGAGCCTCGGTCGCAAGAGTGCGTGGAGTGTTCGGGCTGTTTGAAGGTGTTTTTGGGGTGAACTTGTGGGTTTCAGGGGTTTGAGGGTGTTGTGTGCTGACCCTTCAAGTGCATCAGGAGCGGCGCTCCCGGCGTCCCCATCAACCTCCTGCACCTCGTCGTGGGCCGCGACGCCTTCCCAGGCGCATCGGAGTCCCAGGTTTAGGGTTTAGGGTTTATAGGGTTTAGGGTTTAGGGTTTAGGGTTTAGGGTTTAGGGTTTAGGGTTTAGGGTTTAGGGATCACCCTAAACCCTAAACTAAACCCCTCTGTCTTCTGCGGGCTCTTTTTCTCAGGAAAACCTTCGCCTCAATCCTTCAAAACCCTGGTCGTATCGAAGAGGGGTCCTGACCCCCCAAGCCCTAGACTCTAAGCCCTCAATTCCAAGCCCTAAACTCAACTCCATACCTGAGTCAGGCATCACGGACCGGACCCTGTTTTACAACACCGACTCGGAGTTGCAGAAGGCTCAAAACTTTTTCGGGCTTAGGGGCCTTGGGCGTTTAAGGATGAGGGTACGTATGGGTTTTGGGATTTAGGGTGCAGGGCTTTTTGGTGCATTTTGCGTTCTAGGGATTCGGGGGTTTAGTGGGTTTGGGCTTGCTGTGCAGGTTCAGGTTTTGGCTTGTGTTCAGGGCTTTTTTTTATTTTTTCATTTCAGGTGTTGAGGCACAAGAGTCTCAGAGGTTGCCCTAAGCCCTATAAACCTTAAATCCTGAACCCTCGTGAGTTTAGAGATCTTGTCGGACTTCGGAGTATCAGACTCATGAACCAGGCCTTTGCCGTTAGCATCTCGACATTTCATCCGAGTCTTCTAGAAAGAAGATCGACGGCCAGACAGCGTTCGCATCATTCGTGCGGCTACGTGCGAAGGAGCTTAGCTAGGTTTTTCTTGAAGGTGTTTAGTAGGGAATGAGGGAGTTAAGTATGCACATGACAAAAGTATTTTTTACATACATCCTACCTTTCAATGGCTTCTATGCAGGGTACCTAAGTCCCTCATCCCCTACGAAGAAAGAGGCAGTTGTGTGCAGTGTTTAGGGCTTCGAGGAAGTCCTTGGCAATTCTTTTCCCAGGTGCTGAAGCGATGCCAGGGCCTCTTCACCAGGCAGAGCGAGCTCCTGAAGAAGGCCGGCGTGGGAGAGCCCCTCGGTCTCTGGAGTTTCTTGGGTTTGAGGGTTTAGGTTTCTGTTTATCCTTTTAAGTTTTGAAAAATCGAGATCAGGGTTCATAAGGGTTTAAGGGGTTTCGGTGCTTTCGGCTTCGGGCGTTCTTTGGTTGTCGCGGCGAATTGGGGGCGTTGGCCTAAGGTCTCCAGCCCAAACCCGAAACTCCCAATCCAGGAAAACCCTCTGTTCGGGGCTAAAGCTAAAACACTCTAAGCGCCACACTCAAGGATTTGCGTGGCGCTGCCCCAGCCTCCACGCCACCCGCGCTTCGTGAAGTTCAGCCTCGACCCCACCACTGAGGCCGTTGGGTTTAGGGTTTGTGAGATTTGCGGGGATTTAGGGGATTTAGGGGATGTAGGGGGTCAGGGTTTAGGCTTTCAGGGTTTAGGTTCTTCAGGGTTTTCAGGGGTTTAGAGTCCGGTCCCATGGTCTGGGAGGAGTGGTCGGAGAACGAGATGGGCCGCGACCTCTGGCCTTCCTTCACAGGCCTGCAGCCTTCTACTCTCCTAAAGCCCTAAAACCCCAAACAACCCAAATCCTCAAACCCTGAAAATCCCCAAAAGCCTCCGAAGACCTTACGAGGCCCTTGTAAATCCCCCCCCCCCCTCCCCCAAGCTCCCGGCGGAGGCCTGCTCGAGCTGAAGATGCTCCAGCGCCTCTACACCCTGCAGCGCATCCACAAGGAGGTGCGCCCCACCTCCCACATCTACCTCGCCACGCCGCTGACGCCTCGCGTGCTGTTGAGAATACAGGGGGTGTTTTTGGGGGGTGTGTTAGGGAGGTATTCGGGAAGTCTTTCTTAAAGCCTTGTACTATAGGAGTCTTAGAGTAAGAGCCTCCAAAAGGAGTAGGTTTGGGGTTCGGAAGCCGGGTTTGATCGGAGCGCTTCTAAGGATGAGTGGCAAGGCTGCCACGTCGGAGCTCCTGATGCGGGCGCTCTACCTGTCCGGGGTGAACAAGGAGTCCTTCGGCCAGAGCCTCACGGACAGCCTGGACCTCGCACTGGAGGAGGTGGAGCATGCCATGCTGGACCCGCGTGTCCCAGATGCATGCGCGAAGGGTCTCAAGCCCAAACCCCAAACCCTAAAACCCACAATATCGTTTAGGACTTCCACGCTTGCGCTGGGGTCCCAATCGTCTATGTTCATGTCCCGCTTCTCCCTAAAACCCCCAACCCCAAGTCCCCTACTAAGAACCCATAAAACCCGTAGAGCCCCAAATTAAGCCAGAAAAATCCCAACCAAATCCGAACCAAAGCCCAAAGCTCAGGTGTTGCCAAGCTCGGCCACTCGGTGACCAGCCGAATCTTCGTGCACTTCGTCGGGGAGCTGGACATGGACCTGAACGAGTTGGCGCCTGGGATCCCAAAACTTTGACAACCCTGAATCCCTTAAGCCTTAAACACCCAAAAACCCCCCAAACCCCCCCAAACCTCCCAAAAACCCCAAAACCCAAAACACTTAAACCCCAAAACCTAAAGTAGCGTTTCGGGTTTAGGGTTTGGGGTTTTAGGGTCTTAGGGTTTCAGCCCTACTGTTTAGGGTTAGGGTTTAGAGCTTAAGTTCTAAGCTTTTGTGTCCTCAAGTGGCCGAGGAGCAGCGCTTCACCGACACGATCAGCAGCCACGTCGGCCATCGAGGTTCTGAGGTCATCAAGCTCTGCATCGACGAGATCGAGGTGCGGGTTGGGGTTGTCCGTCGTAAGGTTCATGAATACGGCGTGAACGGTAGGCAAAGTTGCACGCCGTGCAAGGGTGCATGGAGTCATATGCCCTAAACAGCCCTCAACCCAACAACACCCCCAGACCTCAACCCCCTACAACCCCCGTGCAAGCCCAGGTGAAGGTGCACCGGCGCGTCGGGGGAGCTTTCGAGACCCTGCGCCTCTCCCTGTCCTCCCTGAACGGCGGCTTCCTGAAGCCCAAGATGCTGCGGGAGTTCCCCGACCCCGCCGCTTGATTAGGAGGGGGTGTAGGAAGTCAGGGAGTTTGGGGAGTTCAGGAGGTTCAGGGTGATTTAGGTGGTTTAGGTTTAGGAGTTGGGTTGAGGCTTTTTTGGGGCTTCGAGCCCTCTTTTCCACATGGGGCTGAGGCTTCAAGCCCTAAGCCCCCAACCCGAACCCGCGCCCCGTGCAAGGTCACCGGCTTCCCACTCCGCTGGGAGGCCGCCAAGGAGGGCGCCGCCCCCTTGAAGCTGGGTTGCTGTTAAGTTGTGGCCTCCGGCTTCCCCACCCCAAGAAAGAGCAAAACCCCCAACAAAGAGCCCAAAAAGTTTCCAAGACCAGGAAGTCCCTGGACCACCCGCACGTCACAGACCAGGCGGCCCTGAGTCGCTACCAGGCGCGGGGGAGGTCAAGGGGTGTAGGTTCTGCTATAGCAGTCCTTCATGGGGATTCGAATGGGGGGGTACTCTAGTCCCTATGAAGGGCTGTTAGTATATAAGGATAGTATAAGGGGGACCATTCTCAGGGTGCAGGTTTGCCAGGTTTGGTGGGCTTTGCGGGCTTGTCGGGGGTTTGGAGGTTAGGGTTTACTTAGGTTTTGGGGGAATAGCGTTCCTTTTGCTTCTTGACAATATACGGGTTTTGTGGGTTGTGTGTTTTTGGTAGCTAGGGGTTTTTGGTTTTGTTGCATGTTCGGCTGGCACTAGGGTCAGGTTACGGCCTCCCTTTTGAAGCTTCACAGGGTAGTTGTCAGTAGGATAATGAACACGGTCACGTTAAGCTCTAGCTATGATCCCTAGCATTCCCCCCCAAAACCCTAACTCCCAAGCTAAAACCTCCAAGTCCAGCCCTCAAGGCCCTGAAACCCCCAGCAGGCCAAGCGTGTGGCCGCTCGCCGTGCGGGCTCCACCTACGCCTACGACCTCCCGGGAATACTCCAGCTGGCTCTGACCATGAAGCGGGCTTGGGGGAAAGGACCTTCCCTGAAACCCTAACACCAAAACTCGCTGAGTCTTTGGCACCCTCCCCCCGCAAACCAAGGTCTGCACCCGAAAGACCTACCAAGCCCTGGGAAAATCACCTCCCCAAGACCGTCCTTGAACCCCTGAGCCCTATTCTCTTTAAGATGCTCTAAACCCCACCCCACTCCTCCACCAAAAGACCAGAAAACAGCAGGTGGATCGCCTTCACGGGCAACCCCAGCACCGGCAGCAAGGAAGCACGCGGCGAGAGCCGGGGCGCCCGCAGGCACCGAAAAAATATAGTCCTAAAACCATCCAAAACCATCTAAACGCCCTAAGTTGTTGATCCCTAAAGCCTGCGCCCCGAAGCCCCAGACCCCAAACGCGAACAGGCGCAGCCCCTCGCCACGCCGGGGCGTGGTCTCCGCGCCTTCCCAGGTGCCGGAGAGCATGCCGAAGGAGCGCCTTAGGGGGGCCTAGGGCCAGGGGGTTGTTTTGGGAGACGCCTAAACGCTCGACAGGCCTGATGCGTCCCAACAAGCCTCCCTACACCCGAAACCTATGAAGCCCGAGACTCCCAACTCCAAAGCCGCAGCCCCCACATGGAAGGATCCCTTAGCCCCCATAAAGGCCGCGAAGCCCTAAGCTCTCTAAACCCGACAAGAAGCCCGAGGAGCTGCTGAACGCCGTGGAGCTGGTCATGGACTGGTCCAAGATGGAGCCCTGGGTTGGGGGCTTTCCGGGAATTCGATTTTGCGAGTCTTGTCGGGGTTTTGGGGCCGAAGGCCAAAGACTTCAACCCCCCTTAGGCTCTAGCCCGCTGCTCTCTAAAGGAGCTGGTGGAGACGGAGCGGCCGGAGGGCTCCAACGACGTGGGCATGCTGGCCTGGAAGCTGACCATGACCCTGGGCCTTAATGTTTGTGGGAGGAGGGCGGCAACTCACCTTTTAATCCCTTTAAGTCCCTACGCTGTTTGGTCACCGCAGCAAGTTCTCTCATCCAAAAAGGAAGACACCGGAGTACCCCGAGGGCCGCGTTGTCGTCCTCATCGCCAACGACGTGGCTTGGGAGTAGTTGGGATGTGGGCTTTGTGGAGAGAACCTTTTGGGGTGGGTGTGGGCATGGGATATAAGCGTGTAGGATTCAGACGAATCAGCCCCTCTGCACCCAAAAGCTTTATAAGCCAAGGACATGATTGCCCAGCCACCCCTCGTCAACCCTGAGAACCCGTAGACCCCGAACCCTGAATCTCGACCAAAACCGCCCAAGGTCACCTACCAGGCAGGATCGTTCGGCGTGCGCGAGGACCAGTTCTTCCAGAAGGCCTCCGAGCTTGCGAGGACTGGGGTGTTGGGGCAATTCCTTGACTGCGCTCTCACCCCCATTCGTGTTGGTGCCTTTGTGGGATCCCGATTAACGAAACAGGGTACCCCTATGCGTTTATGCCTAGGTGTTCTTTGGGACCCAGATCTAAGAACCCCGTAGCTCAGCCTTTGTGAGCCTCGAGGAAGTAGAAACCATGAAGCCTTACACCTGAAGGAAGCAGGGCCTGCCCCGGGTCTACGTGTCCTGCAACAGCGGTGCACGAGTGGGTCTGGTGGAGGAGCTCCGCTTTGGGAGGGCTTGGGGCTGTGGGTGTTGGCTGATTCAGCCTGTCTTGGGCCTGGTCTTGGCTTTAGAGCTTCGAAACAGTTCGGGGGTTTAGGGTTTGAGTTCTGGGCTTGCAGACTCTCACATTCCGCATCAACCCGTAAACCCCACTGGCTGGGCGCCCTCCGAGGAGCTGAAGCCCTTGTACAAGATCCAGTGGTGGGACGAGAAGGATTGCGGCAAGGGCTTCGAGTACCTCTACCTGACCAAGGAGGACTACGAGAGTCTCCCTGCTGGCACCGTGGAGGCTAGGGGATTTGCCTCCTAGCCAAGGTGACGCTTCAGTCTCCACCCTTCCCCCCCCTCTCCCGATAACCAAACCTTCTCCCAAAAATGCGGGCGCGGCCTTGTAGGTGTACTCAGCGTACCAGTGTGTTGGGGGACTATTTTTGTTGGTGTCTTGCCCAATCCTGTGTTGAGCCCCTTGTCCAGGCGCGAAAGGTCTCCCACGACGGACAGGACCGGTTTCTGCCAGGATGTCACAAGTTGCGCCCAAAGTGCGGCTGTCAGATTGGCAAAGAAGTTGCAACCCTAAACCCTCAACACCAACAGCAGCTGCCCTCAAACCTAACCGATGCAACCCCTCCGTCCCCCCCACCGCAAAACCCTAAGCCCTATAGCCCCAAAGCCCCCAACCGCCAAGTTCGAGGATCGCTACATCTTGGACGCCATCATCGGCGAGGGCCTGAAGAGCACGGAGGGCGGCATCGGCGTTGAGAAACTTGGGGTTGCAGTTGGGGAAAACGCAGGGTTGTCGGGTGTTGGATGCAATTGCGTAGAATGTACTTAGCGCACAGTTGTGTGCTTCTTTGATATTGTCGCCCAAGCCCTAAACCCTCTAAACCCAAAGCCCCAACCCGTAAACAACCCAGGAACCTCAAGGGCAGCGGCCTGATCGCCGGCGAGACAAGCCGGGCATACCAGGAGGGGGTCCTTCAGCATCCTAAACACGCCCCTAAACGCCCAAAACCTTACACCTCAAACCCTAAACACCCCAAGCCCCCTAAAGCCCTCCTGTGAGAGGAGACCTTCACCCTTTCCTACATCACCGGCCGCTCCGTCGGCATCGGCGCGTACTTGAACCGCCTGGGACAGCGGAACATTCAGATGGTCAGCAGCCCGATGATCCTCACGGGCACCTCTGCTGGGGGTGTTACAAGGGGTTCAGGGCTTTAGGGGTCCATAGGGGCTTTGTTGCCTTTTGGCTTCTTGTGGAGCAGAGGCTACTCTGCATTGAACAAGCTCCTGGGCAAGAACGTCTACTCCTCCCAGGATCAGCTGGGTGGCCCGCAGATCATGGTGCCCAACGGCGTCACCCACCAGGCGAGAGCTGGGTTCGCTTCTGCAGCCCCCTTTGGTTGCAAATCCTAGATTCCGTAGATGCTTGGTTGATTCAGGTGGTCAGGGATGACCAGGAGGGCATGTCCGCCATCTTGGACTGGCTGTCTTACGTGCCCAAGGACTGTCAAAAAGAGTCAATGCTCTAAACCGCAAGCCCCTCAATTCCTACCACGACCTAAGCCCCAAACCCTGAACCCCAAACCCTGAACCCCACAAAACCCACCTCCGAGGACGTGTCCTGCCTGCCGCCTGTCTGCCAGCCGGCTGGCGCAGACCCCTGGGACCGCGATGTGGAGTTCGAGCCCACACTGCTTCTTGGGAGGGACTAGAGTTGTTGTTGTTGTTTTGACAATGGGGATTGTTCTTCAAGGCTAAGCCCCACGCCCTTCAAGCCCCCAAATGAGCCTAACTGTAGACTACACCAAGCCCTCAGAGGCTTCCGTACGACCCACGTGACTTCCTCCGTGGCGTCATCGACCACGAGGGAAACCGAAAGCGCGGCTTCTTCGATGCTGGCCCTCCGCGCGTGCATTTAGGGGTTTCGGGGGTTTCGGGGGTTAAAGAGTTTAGGGTTGAAAGGTTCTGGGGCTTGGGGGGTGAGGATCCTAAACTGTAATCCTAGCTTGGCGTTTGAGGGACCCGAATCCCGAGCTCTCAACTTCCTCTTTTGAAAGCCTATAAACCCTATACCTCCCAAACCCTAAACCCTAAACCCCATACACTCCTCTTGAAACCATTCACCCGCCCCAAAACAGGCTCCTGGACCGAGTACCTGGAGGGCTGGGGAAGGACCGTCATCGTCGGCCGTGCTCGGCTTGGGGGGATGCGGCTGGGATGCAGTGTGCATCCGTCCCAGATGGGAAGATTCACAGGGGGGCTTTCAGGGGACGCAGGGGATTCAGAGGCGACTTAGGGTTTGGGGGGGGGATTTCAGGGGGGGCTCAGGCTTTCTTTTTTTTGTTGTTGTTGCTCTTATCATTACCACTATGAACCTTCTTCTCTTTTTCTTGGGAGGAGGGGTTCTTCGGGTGTTGGCGTGTAAGGTTCGGAGGCCGAACCCCAAAAGGCACGTCAGAGGGAGCCCACCCCGAGGCCCATGGGCGTGATTGCCGTGGAGACCCGGAGCCTCGGCCGTCTTCATTATTATTATTAATAATAATGTATTCATGTGAATATTGCATTAATTTGTATTTATATTAATATTGATATTAGTGTATATATATATATATGTATATGTATATATATATATATGTATATATATATATATATTTATATTATTGTCATTCTTCCTTTTTTTGGAGGGGTGGCGTGGAGAAGATTCAGGTTGTTTTGGGGCTTAGTTTCTTTATTTTTTGGTTTGTGGGTTTTAGGGCGTTTTTGGGGGTTGGGGTTTAGGCTTCTCGGCTTTTCGGGCTTTAGGGGTTGAGAAAGCAGGATTTCCCCGTGCCAGTTCCAAGTTGGTCAATCACTCAGCTCTGAAAAGAACCATTTCCAGAGAAGCCCTAAGAAAAGTTGACCTCGCATGGGGGAAACAGGTTTCCTCTTTTTCCGAGCCCCAAAACCATCCAAAACCCCAGAACCTGAAGTAATACCCCACACCCAAAAACCCGAAGCTCAACCCCCCCAAACCTGGAACAGCAGCTGAGGAGTGTGGAGCGGCTGGTGCCGGCCGACCCTTCCAATCCGGACAGCTGCGAGGTGGGAGGGCTCAGGACGTTGAGTTTGGAGCTTCTTGGGGTTATCTAGGGTGTTGTGGGGCTATTTAGGGTTTTCTGGTGTTTTAAGGGGTGATTTAGGGTTTTTTGGATGTTTTGGGGCTTTTAGGTTTGTTTTGGGTAGTTAGGGATGCAGGGTCAACCTCACAGCCCTTTGAATCCTAAGCGTCTGAACCCACCACCGCAAAATTCACCATCTTCGCAGCCCTTAAAACCCCTTACATCCCTTAAACCCTTAAGGCACTTAAAGCCCTCAATGCCCTGAGGGGACCCTCAAAGCCCCAAAAGCCTAAACTGCTGGACCACCTCTTCCCCGAAGGCGCGTAGAATCCTCTGAGTCCCCTTGGGATCCAACCCTGAACCCGAAACCCTAAAACCCGAAACCCTAAACCCTAAACCCTAAACCCTAAACCCTAAAACCCGAAACCCTAAACCCTAAACCCTAAAACCCTAAAGCCCTAAAACCCTAAAACCCTAAAACCCTAAAGCCCTAGAGCCTAAAAACCTCGGAACTCAGGTCAAGGAGATGAACGGCGGCAAGGTCTGGTTCCCTGACAGCGCCTTCAAGACGGCCCAGGCGAACCCCCGAGATTTTAGGAGCTGTGGGGGTTTTAGGGTTTAGGGTTTAGGGTTTAGGGTTTAGGGTTTAGGGTTTAGGGTTTAGGGAAGTTCGGGTGGTTGATGTTGGGGTTGATGGGGTTTAGTTTCAGGGGTTTACATAGGGGTTCAAGGGTTTTTTGTGCTCACGGGGGCTGCGCGCTGCAGGCATTGAAGGACTTCAACCGCGGCGAGAACCTCCCGGCCACCAGAGGGCATGAGAGTGCATTCTTGGGGTGTGTTTTTCTTTTTCTGCTGCAGGGATGTCCTTGAGAGGTGGTTTCGATCCAGTAGAGGAACTGCATCACTGGTATTCTACCGTGAACCTGAATCCTGTCCTTGAGGGGGTGGCAGAAATCTACTATGTGGTGCAGAGGGTCCTTCTGGCGGGCGACAAGCAATGTCAAACAGTGTTTGACTCCTGAGGAATAGATAGCCTTGATCCCAACTGCTCTACGTATGAAATTGTGGTAGCAGGCGTCAATAGGATTAAGGTTCTTTTGTGTGAGGGTGCGGGCATCAAGACTGTAGCAAAGAGTGGGCTCAACTGTGGTCCTGAATATGTGCAGGTTTTGCTTTCTGGGCATAGAACTATTCCAAACAAGCCTTAGTTTTTGTAGGCTTCCTCAGCTACGGAAGCGCGGTGAAGATGTTTAGAGTTTAGGGCTTCGGGGGTTGAGCTAGGGTGTGCATTTTGAGGCGATCATCTTCGCCAACTGGCGAGGCTTCTCCGGCGGCACCCGCGACATGTACAACGAGATCTTGAAGCTTCCGGGCGCGGTTTCGGGTTTCGTCTTGTGTTGGTTTCCATTTTCTCGTTGTTTAGGTGTGGGGGGTTTAAAATTTAGAGTCGTCTCGAAAACTGAGGTTCGGGGCCATGATCGTGGATGCCCTGGTGGACTATGAGCACCCCATCTTCATCTACATCCCAAAGCACCTTGGCGCACATGCAAGAACCCTCTGAGCTGCTCCTACGGCTGCTGTTGCTGCGTTTACCACTCCCCCCAGTCACCGCTACACGGGCATCGATAGCTTCATTTGCGAAGGCACGGAGAGCTCCGCGGCGGAGCCTGGGTGGTCATCGACCCCGCCATCAACCCGGACAAGATGGAGATGCGCCTCAGCCGTCAAAAGGGGGCTTCGGGCCGTCGAGGAGGGGGGGCAGGACTTTGCAATATTTGCGAGCAGAGGCCCGGAGTCAGGGCTCTGGGTTCCAGAAGCCTAAACACCACCTGAAGCCTTAAACTTCCCATGAAAAGGGAAGTGAGGCCTCCACGGAAGGCCGAAGGTCGTGACTGCCTTCTTGTGGCGCTTCTCCGGGTTTTTGGGTAGTATAGTTGTATATTTGAAATAGTTGTGCAATTCCTAGTCATGTAATTGCTATTCTTACTTTAGATACATTGGTGTACATATATAGACTTGTGGGGGTTGTTGGGTTTGGAGGCTTGCTCTTTTGTACGGCCCCCCCCCCCCGCCCGCGGTCTCGGGTTAGAGCGTTTCTGACACCGCAAATCCTCCCAAATCCATTTCAGGCAGAGCCCCTCCCTGAAGCCCTACGCGCGACCCTAGACCTCAAAACCCTAAACCCCTAAATCCCTTAGTTTAGAGAACGCCTCGGAGTCCAGGTATCTTTGGGCTGCTGCACCTTCAACCCTTCCACAGTCCCCCCAATAACCCTCAAGGTTAGGGAGGGTTGCAGATTTTCATTTTATGCTGTTTAGGCTTTCAGGGTTCAGGGGTGTGGTAGACCAGCCCCCCCCCCGCTTCCCCAAGAAGAAGAAGCCCAACCGCCGAGGTACGCGGACGTGGACGCCCGGGGCGGAATCCTGGAGCCGCCGGGCATCGTGGAGGTGAAGTACCGGGCCCCGCAGCAGCTGGAGGCGGCTTTCGGGGTTTGGGGCTTTGGGGTTTTGGGGGGATTTGGGAGTCGGGTTTCGGGGTTCAGGGTTTTGGGGTTTAGGGGGCTGCTGGCTTCGGCTTTGGGGGCTTACGGATTTTAGGGGGTCCTGATGATATTGGGGGTTTAGGTTTGAGGATTTGGGGGGCTGAACGTTCGAAATTGGCCCCCAATATGACACGTTACAACGGACTTCTCAACCCCGCAAGCCCTGCAGCTGCCCCGAAAACCTCTGCAAGGCGATGCACCGCATCGATGCCCGGCTCAAGGAGCTGGATGCCAAGCTGCCGGGGAGCCCTGGAAGCGCTGCTAAGGGCCTTGTTTTTCTCTTTTGTTATTATTATTTTTTTTTTTTTTGGGGGGGGGGTTGTTTGGGGTGGGGGAGAAAGTAACGGGGAAGCCCTTCATAGGTACCAGTTAAGATGAAGTTGGGGATGGTAAGCAGTCGGCCAGAACAGCAATGCGCGGCGGAGGTACAGGCTACCAACAACAATGGCCAACGTCCAGGGAAGCGTGGTTTAGACTGACCACAAGCCCCAGCGTACTACCGAAGGAAGGTAGTTTGAAAAATTTGTTTATCCGCAACACCACACCCAGTGGCCTGCTCACGTGGACCTGATGCCACTCCGAATCTTGATGCGACACGCATTCGCACATGAGAACATTGATGACGTCACGGCCGGGAGGCCAAGGACACCCTCGTGGAGCACATGGCCACAAGCATGTCCGTACAAGGCTTAACTTCTGTTTTATGGGGGGGGGGTTTCGGTTCTTAGTTCGGAGAAGTCCTTTACCAGTGCAGGGTAATAACTGTAAACTTACTTGCAAGAATCAGACAGATCGGTTTGAGAGTTGCAGCTTGCTTTATTTGCCGATCTGTGCATCTTGCTCTTGACACCATGGGACACCATCCGCATTCAACATTTTAAGTCAAAGTGAGGAATTACACCCATTCTTCAATTGTACATAGCATGGGCTAGTGAGATATATTCGACAGCTGAAACACGAGTCAGGCAGGCTTGACCAAAAGCGTAGCATAAGTTCGTGGAGTCCCTTGTAATATACTGGGGCCGTATGGTGCACCGTGCTTTGCAAGCGCGGCCTCGAGGCCCTTGAAGGCCGACCTGTGCGGGTTGGACCAAAGGAGGCTCATGGAGTCGAGCACGAGAGCCTGCACAATCAGTGCAAACAAAAAGAAGGGGCCAAACCCTCCAGCCTTGAGCTAGGCTTGGTCCGCGCAGCAGACAAGGGGTCCCTGTAGGAGTGAAATACAGTGACGCTAAAGCCACAACAAAGCCACTTCGCCTGGATCGCCCAGGTCGCCCCGCCTGGTAATTTCTCGAGACAGTCTGCTGCTAAACTCTCACTTACTGGTTTATCGCCACCAGCAGTGCCAAACGCATGACGGTGCGTCCAAAATAGTTCTCAAAAGTTTACCTGAAGATCAGAACTGCGTCCGGGTGTCGTCCCGGGCGCAGAAGACGGCAAAACTTCACTGAAGCATCTCACCGACCAAGCCCCGTCATACACGTCACATAACGGGGCTTTGAGTCCTTAAACTAAACTGTGTAAGCCATATAAACACTGCAAATTGCCGTAAACCACAAGGCCTAAAACCCCAATTGACAACCCTACAGGGGTGTCGGGATTTACCAGAACGCCCCCCATATACGAGCCCCTGAATCCTTGGACCCTGAGTCTCCCACCTCTGAGGAGTGAGGGTGCGGCCAAGGCCGAGGTGGAGAAGGACATCAAGGCGCAGAGTGACTTCGGTGTTTTTGTGGGTGTTTCGTCGGGTTTTTTGCAAGTTTCTCCTTTGGTGGGGCGTTTAGGGGCGCTTGGGACTTCAAGACTTTGAGAGACGTGCGCAGAGGTGAATTCGACTTTAGAACAGTCCCCTCCTCCCCCCCCCCTTCCCTGCCCTTGAAGCCTAAACACTTGGATTCAGGGTCTTTTGTCCCAGTCCTCCGGCAGAAGGTGCGCGAGAAGCAGCTGCTTCCGCTCTACACCTCCGTCGCAACGACCTTCGCCGACCTGCACGACCGCGCGGGCCGAATGAAGGCCAAAATCCGTAGTGCTTCCTCACTCATCGCAGAAGACCTAAGAAGCTTCTCCAGGCCCAAGAAGCCTCAAAATCCCAAGCCACATTCAGATCCCAACTCCAAGCACGAAGCTTTGACGAACATCCCGCTTGAGCGTGAAGGCCAAGAACGTCATCCGCGACAGCATCTCGTGGAAGGACTCCAGGCGCTACTTCTTCTGGCGCGCGACGTGGGCTGCAGGTGATGTAGAGCTCAGGGCTTGTCAAGTTCAAGTTTATGTTTTTCAGAGGTTTAGGGCTTGGGAGCAGTGGGCAGTTTGGGATTAGGTTAGGGAAGTTCGAAGCTTTAGAACCGGACCAGCTTGAGGGGATGATAAGTGTAGGAATGTTGGAATTTGTGTAGCGAGCCCCAACTGATATGAATGGCCCTGGTAAGGGGGGAGTAGGATGCACACGATGTTCCTTGTAGTAATCGCTAACCCTAAAACCCTGCCCAAACCTTTGCGTCCTTAGTTAGGGAAAATTCGTAGTTTCGTGCGAAGGCTCACGTTGACCGGGAAAACAGAGCCGCCCAGGTCAAGAGGAGGGTGATGCAGGACCACATGATCAGGCGCCTGCAGCATCTTGGGCGCACTACTGCACCCTTCACGGCCTAAGGCCCTACACCCCAGGCAAACTCCTAGACCCCTCCACCCGAAGAAACCCCAAAGACCCAAAGGCCCTAAACCTCCCCAAACCTCCCCAAAACCCCCAAAGAAGCCCCCAAAAACGCAGCTTCGCAAGGAAGGCGGACGAGAGCCTGACCCACAAGGGCGCCGAGGCTCTTATCCAGAAGTGGGCCGCCGAAAGCGGCGTGGACCACAGCAGCGACGCTGGGCCTTAAGGTTCGTTTCAAGGGCTGGGTTCTCGACGGGTTTCGGGTATTGGGGGTGTTGGGGTGTAGGGGAGGTCTTCAGGGTTGGGGCTCTGGGGTTCAAGGCCTACGCTAAGGGTCTGCCCTTTGGATACCGGGCTTAAGAGGATCCTATTTGTGTGACTAACCCCTAAGCCCTGCACCCTAAAGTGTTCAGGAGAGCAACCTATGTAAGTATGAGGGCTAGGATGGCGGTAGTACCCTCGTTCCCTTTCTGTGTGGGTTTCCTTTGTATACCCACCTACTCCCATACTTGAGGGGTCGCGGGATTTAGGCCTCATTTTCTGTCGGAGGGGCTAGAAGGTTCAGCTTGCCCTTTGATGCCTGAGTTCCGCGTGCGAAGCGAGGACACGAAGATGGTGAGCTGGCTGGAGGCCCAGAACGTGGAGGCGAGGGCGGAGGCCCTTCGGACCTCCTACCTGAAGTCTCAGATCCAGGCGCTCTTCAGCCAGCTCCCGTCGGGCGAGCAGGGAAGCCTCCTTTCGAGCCTCAAGGCTTAGGGGATTTCTTAAAAAAAAAAATTAGCAGTTCTCGGGAGCACAGGTTCCATATACAGCCCGTTACAAAGCCGGCTGTGGCCTTTGCAGCCCGGAGATTTTCCCTTAATTCAGCTCTGGCTGGAGGGAGGTCCACAGGTGGCCTTGAACACCTACACCACCCTTAGCCCTTGGCCTCCGAAAGCCTCCCCTCCGGCTAAGATTTTCGATGTACTTCGATGCACTCGATGCACCGGCGTGAAAGGGCGCCGGACTTTGCTTCTGCCATTTTGCTCCAGCTGCCTTTGGGGCAGCACGGGACCTCGCCGAAGGCCGGTACGGTTGCAAGCTCTCCTTAACATTCTTCCCTACCTGGAGAGCTTGCTGGCGAGTCTCCACAAACACCCCCACGCATCTTCGCCCGACAAAACGAGCCGGGATGACCTTGCTTCGACGCAGCGTGTGAGCGCATCCGCCCTGACCTACCCAAAATCCCAGACCTCGTCAAGCTTGAAGCTCTGAAAACCCGAAACCTGCAATCCTTTAAGAGAGGTCCTCAAAGCCCTCAGCTTCGAAGCAGCGCTTGCGGAGACCACAGGCCCTCTACGCCCTGCGCCCCATAAACTACAACCACAGCAAGCGTTGCCACCTGTTCGCGGCTCAAACCTTTTTTCGAGATTCTCTTGTACGCTCTCTAGTCGCCCTGCGCTGCTGCTGCCATGGACCTCAACCCCTTGGCCACCTATGTCAAGGACAGGGCTTATCGGGCTCAAGAAACAAAAAATGTGCCCAATTTCGGCAGATTTTCAGGTTTCGGAGTTGAGGGCCTGGCTCAGGGTCCAGGCTGGTCCTAAGCCTTCGACCCTAAAGGCTCGGATTGGAGGGAGGATCATCTCCTCTCTCGTGGTAAGAGTCGTGAGCAGCCAGGAGTTGCAGCCGCGTACCTGTAGCCTGTAGCTACGAGGGGAGCAACACCACGCCCTCAAGCCTTGCACTAAAGTGGATTGCTTTGTGCGATTTAGGGGTTTGCGGGTTTGAGGGGTCAAGGAGGGGCTGCCGAAATCCCCCTTTGAAGCCCTGAAAGCACCGACGTCCTCTTCTGGGAAGGAGCGAGAGGGGAAGCGGGTCATCCGCAAGATCCTCATCTCCAACAATGGCATGGCAGCCGTCAAAGCGATTTTGTCGATGAGGAGGCAGGTGTTCAGAGGGTTGTGGGGTTGAGAAGAAGGGTTGCCACTCCCGCAGTATGTCCCAGCTCCAATGCTTCTCTCTTGGGTTTGGAGAAGTAGTCATGCCGCGTAGGTTTACACACTGTGCGCTCACGTACCTAACCCCTAAACCCTTACGGAACCTGTGCCTGGGAAGAAGGCAACCGTCGAACACAAAGCGCTCGAAGCTCTAAAACCATCCCCGGGAGCTCTTGCTGACTGACAGGGTTTTAGGGTTGAAACCCTAAACCCTAAAACCCACTAATCCCTCAACCCTAAACCCACCAAACCCTCCACCCCAAGTCCTAAACCCTCAACCCTCAACCCTCAACCCTAAACCCTAAACCCGAAACCTTACACCCCAGACCCTAAACTTTCGGGGGTTCAAACCCTAAACCCTACACCCCAAATCCCAATTCTTTTCCCAGGTGGACCTTCACCGAGTTCGGCTCCGAGCAGCTCATCACTTTTGTGGCCATGGCCACTCCCGACGACCTCAACGCCACGTTCTGAGTGAGGATTCAGGTTCTCCAAGAGTTTTTGGGGGTTATCAAGCTAGCATTTGGGGCTTTAGCATGGTTTCGCGTTTTAGGCTTCAGGGTTGGTTCCCAAACCCGCCGTAGGCCCGAAACTGGAGTCCCAATTCCCAATTGGGAACCTGCCATGCGAGGTTCCCAACCCCCCCTTGTCCCCACCGGGAGCCCGTAAGGCCAACGCGGAGTTTATCCGCCTGGCCGACTCCTTCGTGGAGGTGCCGTCTGGGAAGCCTGGGATGAGCAAGTTGAGAGGTTGAGGGGTCTAGGGCTTCAGGTTAGGGCTTCGGGGTTTAGGGTTTATGGGCCTGATAGGGCTTCGGATTAGGGGGTCAGGGTTTAGGGTTCAGGATTCCCACATACTCATGTGGGCCTTGGGAGTTCCAGCAGCCAAGGAAGAACATCAACAACTACGCCAACGTTGACCTGATTTGCAGGACCCGGCAGTTTTTCAGAAGTGTCTTGCAGTTAGATGGTATACTTTGAGGTCCCAAGCCCTTCACCCAAAGACTTGCGGCTACCGTAGTCCTGAACCGTTTCAAGTTCATCCTGCCCCACCCTCCCTCCCTGTAGGTTCCTTACACAGCATGTGAGCCGTCCTCCGGAGTAAAACAGTGCACTTTTTTCAGACATGGTACAGATTTCCACTAGCCGGCATAGGGAAAACGATGCCGAGAACTCCGCTACTCCGCAAGTGCCTTCTACCGGCAGTCTGCCGCAAACTGCTGGCTTCCCGGACATGTAGTCCCCCAACGAAGGTGCGAACCGCCAACCCTCAAGCCGCTAAACCCAACGCTGTGCGAGGATTGCCCAGGAGCAGCAGGTGGATGCCGTCTGGCCCGGTTGGGGCCACGCCAGCGAGAACCCGAAGCTCCCTGCCAAGCTCAAGGAGACGCGCGTTGTTTTATTTTGATTTTTGTGGGAGGGAGGATCAAAATCCGAATGTGGTTTTTAGTGCTGCAGGCTTGGGGTTTTAGGGGATGTACGACTGCAAACATGCATGCCTAAGCCCGGCTAAGCCCTAAACCACCCGAAGACCTCAAGACAGGAGATCGGCATCACCTTCATCGGCCCACCTTCGGGCGTGATGGCGGCCCTGGGAGACAAGATCGCGGCCAACATCCTGGCACAGACGGCGAAGGTACCCCGTGGGCTCTTGCGGGGTCTCAGAGGGGCTTCGGGGGCTTAGTTTTGTTTTTTAGTTTTGTTGGTTATGTTGAAGGGTTTTGCAGTTGAGGCTTGAGGGTTTGCGGTTCAGGGTTACTGAGGGGGGGTTAAGGGGTGTTGGGATGTCGGGCTGCAGAGGTTTCGGGGCCTAGGTTTGTTTTTTGGGATTTATCGTGTTCAGGCTTGTAGGGTTGCATGTTTAGGGTTTACGAACCCTACAAGCCCCCCCAAACACATAAACCCTCAACCCCCTAACCCGCCTCCATAAACCCTAAACCCTAAACCCTAAACCCTAAACCCTAAACCCTAAACCCTAAACCCTAAACCCTAAACCCTAAACCCTAAAGCCCTTTAAGGCCCCCCCGAAATATAAGCCCCAAAGACCCACACCCCAGGTGCCCAGCATCCCATGGAGCGGCGACGGGCTCACGTGCACACTCACCGACGAGGGGACTGTCCCTGACGAGGTGCCTGCTTGGGGTTAAGGGTGGAGGGGTTTAGGGTTTAGGGTTTAGGGTTTAGGGCTTATTTCGGGTTTCGAGTTTAGGGGGTTTGTTTTTCAGGTTCGATAGGAATTAGAGGGCTTCGGTTTTTTGGGTTAAGGGGTTGGGGATGAGGTGATGGAGGGTGATGGAGGGTTTGGTGGGGGTTTGTGGGCCAACCATTGGTTTGCGGGCTTGTGGGGGCGGTACGTATCTGGAGGGCAGCAAGACGAATGACTTCGACTCGAGGGGGTTCTGATCCTTGAAGTGCTGTACCCTAAATCCCCCCCCCAAGTTTAAGGGTTTCGGGTAACCTTAACGTTTGGGGCTTAGGGTTTAAAGTTTAGGGCCCGCAGCCCCAAAAAGCCCCCTAAAGCTCCTGAACTCCCTAAGCCGTTTTTGAGCCCGAGGTCTTCAACAAGGCCATGGTCCGCACGGAGGAGGAGGCCCTCGAGAGGGCCGAGAAGGCGGGAAAGGGTTTCGGGTTTCGGGTTTAGGGTTTAGGGTTTAGGGTTTAGGGTTTAGGGTTTTGCGTTAAACCCTAAACCCTAAACAAACCCTTAAATCTCTGAACAAGCCTTCAAAACCACCCCAAAAGCCCCAAACCCGAAAGACCCCCAGGTTCAGGGGCTTCGGAGCCTGGGGGTCTTTGGCTTGTATGGGCTTAGGGAACCCTCCAAGTCCGCCCCCCCCCCCCGCCCCCCCCGCAAAAAAAGAAGAAAAGAAAAGCAACCCTCAAAACCCTCGACCCTCAAATCGCCCAAACCCCCGCCGCTTTCCCAAACTCCAGAGGTGGGCTTCCCAATCATGGTGAAAGCCTCGGAAGGCGGCGGCGGCAAAGGCGCGGCCTCAGGATCACTGCAGTGTATTTTGTACATTTTTTTTTTTTTGGGGGGGGGGGGGGGGGGTGGTTGGGGTTGTTTAGGGTTCAGTCCAGGGTTTCGTATATAGGCATCCTTGATGGAATTTTTTGGGGCAAAATGCCTCGGGAATGGCCGAACCCATGGCAGAGAATCTGAGATGCTCTATTAACGGGCGTTCGCAAGGAGACCCATCCAGAAGCCTAACAAAGTCACAGGGTTTTGGAGAGAAAAGGACTGTCATCAAACACAAAGACGAAGGGGGGGGGGGGCCGTGGTCCTTCGATCCATTTTTGAAAAGCACCCTGTGCGCCTGGACTCAGAGCCGGGGCAGAGCCGAAGCTCCTTTTTGATGCGGAACTTCTCGCATGTTGGGAAAGAGAAGGGTATAGATGGTTTTTTATGAGGGTTTAGGGTTTAGGGTGGAGAGAGAGAGAGAGAGAGAGAGAGAGAGAGAGAGAGAGAGAGAGGGAGGGAGGGAGGGAGGGAGAGGGAGGGAGAGAGAGCGAGCGAGCCCGCTGTGGAGGCTTCCCATGGGCTCTCTTCAGAAAAAGCAATGCGAGGAAAAGCTGGGGGGGAGGGGGGAGGAAAGGGAAAGGGGGGGTGAAGCAAGGGGGTGTCACACAGAGCGGCAGCAATGTGTGAGACACTTCGGCCTCACTCGGAGCCTTCCATGCCAGACGTGGCCTCTCCATTTCCCAGATCTTCCAGACCTAAATCTGAGTTTAGAATTCTCTACGTCTTCCAACTCCAAGGAGGAACCCCACAACAGACCTCACAACAATCGCGCGAGGCATCCGCAAGGCCACGAACATGGAGGAGCTGAAGGTGGCCTTCACCAACGTCCAGACGGAGGTGCCCGGCTCCCCGATCTTCTTGATGCGGATGGTCTCGAAGGCGCTCGCTGCGTGCAATTTGAAAGCAGCTTATGTTTAGGGGTTGCTAGGGGCTTGCGCCAAGCCCCTTGACTGCTCACCTTCTAGCCCCCTTATAAACCCTTATAACCCCGGTAACCTCCTTAACCCCTCGTCAAAGCATGGTGGTTTGGAGCATGCCAGGCCCGGCACCTGGAGATCCAGATCCTGGGCGATGAGTACGGCAACACCCTCGCGTTGAACGGCCGCGACTGCTCCACCCAGCGGCGATTCCAGAAGATCTTCGAGGAGGGCCCTCCGACCATCGCCAAGCCCGACGTCTTCCACGAGATGGAGCGGGCGGCCATGCGGCTCACCGCGCTGGTGCAGCGCCTCGGCCGCCTCTCCTTCGGCACATCTGTTTGTGCGGTCTACATGAACTTTCAAAAGTTGCAAAAACTCGCAATATTCGTAGGCTGCGAAAGGAACGTTGAGAGTGTGTTGAGAGGTACCGGGGCGCCGGGACCGTGGAGTACCTCTACAGCCCGGAGACGCACACCTTCTGCTTCCTGGAGCTGAACCCTCGCCTGCAGGTGGAGCATCCGGTGACCGAGGCCATCACGGGGGTGAACATGCCTGCGACGCAGCTTCAGATTGCCATGGGCATCCCGCTCTACAACGTCCCGGACATCCGGCGCTTCTACGGCATGGACCCGGCCGTCTGCTCGAAGATCGACTTCTTCGCCGTGGACTACCCCCCGATCACCTCCCACTGCTGCGCCTCGCGCATCACGGCCGAGAACCCGGACGAGGGCTTCAAGCCCACCAGCGGCAAGATCAACAGTGTGCGCTTCCAGTCCGCGGGCGACTGCTGGGGCCGGGCCTTCGGAAAGGGGCGAAGACTTGAAGCTTTGTGGGTTTACATGGGAAGCCCCCTGGCAGGTTACTTCAGCGTCGGCCTGAAGGGTGGCATCCACGAGTTTGCGGACTCCCAGTTTCTCGGTGGTTCTTGGGGGGTTCGGGAATCAGGGTACCGTACATCATCCCTCAAAGGGAAATATGGGGGGATAGCAGGTGCCTCTAGTTGCCTACTGCCCTGTGAAGAACGAAGGTTTGGCCACATCTTCGCCAAGGGCCCCAACCGGGAGGCTGCCAGAAAGAGCCCCGGATGACCCATTTTGGAATCTTCTGGGGCTTCGGGGTTCTGAAGAGCGACGCTCCTGGCGTTTCAGAGGTTCCTGTGCCTGTGTACTTCTCAGAAGAATCCCGCAAACCCGAACTCTGGCACATGCCTGCGATGGCTCGCACAAAGGGTTCTAGCCAACATGTCCTCTCAGCCGCGCACCCCCCCGACACGAAAGGGAGCCGGAGACACTTCTTAGCTCTCTCACTCTGGAGCTGCCAGTTCTTACTCTTCCTGAACCTCACCCAAACTCGAGCCCTAAATCCTTAAAGCCCTATAGGCTCCCCAAACCTTCTGGGGGGTCTCCATATGTATGCTCCGGGAAAGATGGTTGTCCGCAAGCCCAAGGAGCCTGCGCTTCGCGCTCATGAACCTGGACATTTCAGGAGCCAGCCTTTTGTGGGCTGTGCCTATCACGAAAGCTAGAGCTCTTTTTTTCGAGCTTGCGGGAGAGTTCTTGCTTTTACCACTTTGCTCTTGAGTCAAGAAGAGCACTCAAAAGGGCCTTGAAATCTCCGATCTATCGGAGGTTTAAGCTGCGGGACCGAAGGAGGTGGGGGTGCCTCGAGGTTCTCGATAGGGCGATTTTTGCTGTTTCTGTTGCAGTGCAAGTGTTCACTGTCTTGCCGCGAAGAGTGCCCTGGACGATCTTGCGTTGTGAGATCTCTTAGGGTGTGTGTCCTATGTATGACCTGAGCTCATGTGTCAGAGAGTTTGCGCGATGTGCCTGACAGGTTCGACACTTTTTTTGTACATGCATAGACACTGTCTGCAGTGCCCTAGCTTTCATTCGCCCTGCTCTCAAGTTGGGTTTTGGGCTTATAGGGGTTCAGCAGTTTAGGGTGTCGCGTCCTGAGGCTGGAGCCGGGTCACCTCAGTACCCGACCCAGAACCCGGAACGCCCGTTTCTCCAACGAAGAGGAGACATCCGCCATCCCGTCGACTACCTGGTCGACCTGATCGAGACGCAGGACCCTGAAGTCGTCTAGGGTTCCGGGTTTAGGAATTACAAGGCTTAAGCTTCTGGGTCGGAGGTTTAGGAGTTGTTAGGTGAAACTCGCAAAGCCAGCAAACAAAACATCTCCGCTCACAAGAGCCCTGGCAACCTCAAGAACCCCCAGGCCTACAAGGAGAACACCATCGACACCATGTGGCTGGATGGCCTGATTGCCAGCAAGGCCCCTATTTTTGGGTTGCTTTTGGGGGTTTTTGGGGGTTTGTAGGGTGGGGCTTGGAGCTTGAATCTCGCTTCATCCTTGGCGTTTGCACACACCAAGCCGACATGCATCAAAGCTCTCGAGCGGCCTCGCCATCTTCAAGCCTAAGCTCCTTGAGCCCCCCCAAACCCGATAAACCCCCCCCCCCCCCCCAAACCCTAGAAACCAACCCCAACACCGCAGCGCTCCAGGCCATTTCCCCAAGCACCGGCGCCATGGACGTGGTCTTCTACGCGGCCGTCTTCCGCGCGTTCAGCGCCTGGGGCGGGGAGATGGCTTGTCTGCGGGGGCTTTTTGGTTCATGGGCGGGCTTGGGCATGTAGTGCTTCAGGGTTTAGGCACTCGATCTCGGAGTTTTAAAGGTTTTGGGCTTGAGGGGTTTAGGCATCAGGGATGCGGGGACTGGGGCTTTTGGGCTTTGGTGATTTGGCGGCTTCGGGTTAAAGGGTGTTTTCCTCTGCACACCCGGGGCTGGCAGTCGGCCTTGTGAAGGGATATTTACATGCCCTCAAGCGAAGTTGAGGGCTTTAGGCTTGTCTAGGGGGTTGAGGGCTTCTTGGGGCTTAGGGGAGTTTTTCGGGAGGAGTTTGAGACTTGAGACCGCGCCCAGGCATGGTGAAGTCCCGCACCCAGGAGGCTGTGGAGGCCATGCAGAAGGGCCAGCTGGTGCTGCTGGGCAAGAGCGACACCGACGCCTTGGTCAACTTTCCCGTGGAGACCCTCGGGCCTCACTTGCGCGCGGCTTTGGGCCATGGCTTTGGGCCATGGCTTTGGGCCATGGGCGCTGTTCGGTTCAGGGCTCTAGGGTTGCAAGGGAGGTGTGGCTTCGTTCGGTTCTTTGAAGCCCGGAGAGCTTGAGTAGGTGCCCCGTCTGTTGGTGGGTCTTTTCAAGAGAGCCTTGAAAGGATCACCTTCGACGGCAAGAAGTTCTCCTTCCAAGTCTCCCGGAAGCGCAGCGACCTCTACGCCTTCACCATCAACAACAAGACCCTCAAGGCCAAGGTCCGCGAGCAGCCGGACGGCTCCCTCTACGTGAGCATCGGCAGCATCAGCCAGCAAGTGAAAGGCCGGTCTCCGATTCGGTGTGTAGGGTTGGGCAAGCCTGATATATCCAAAAAACCCCCTTCTTGAAGACCCCTTTAAAGACCCTGAACTCCCCTCCCTGAAGCAGGACAGGAGGAGGCCCTGGGCCTGCGCCTCATCATCGGCGGGCAGACGATCATGGTCCCCACCGTCTACGACCCCTCGGAGCTCCGCTCCGACGTCAACGGCAAGGCAGGTAGGGGGAGGAGGTGTTCGAGGCTTCTTTTCGAAGGGCCGTTTTGTGGTGGGGGGGGCATGTGTTCGATTTTTTTGCGGCTTACAAGGGGATTCGTAGGTTCTTCTCTTGAAAATGCTCCAGGCTGATGAGGTATGAGTGTGCGCAGAATGTATGTGCGTACCTTTGCTTTAGTTACTAGAAGAAGGCTACGAAAGAAACCTTCACGGGCCATGACAATCTTTCAAAGATCGTTCTAGCTTGTAAAGGTGCGTAGACCCGGAATGGATCTTGAGCCGGTGGGGATGGAGCCCGAGACCCCTTCCCCCGCAAAACGCCCAACAGCGCCCCGAGAGGTGGTGCGCTACTTGCACGACGAGGGCGCCGAGGTCGCTAAGGGCGAGGCCTACATCGAGCTGGAGGCGATGAAGATGAGCCCCGGCGGCACTTCTGACACACACGCTTTCTTCGTCTATGGGCCCTAGTTAGTTGGCTCTAAGTTTGTGGAAGGGGCCACGCAAGCATTTCCTATTCTTGTAGGTTTTTTTGTGGGGGGTTAGGGTTCCAAGATGTGCTCCTCTCCAAGAGCAGTGCACGAAGGATCATGTCGTTGAAGTCCGGGGAGGCCGGGAAGATCACCCACGCCCTCAGCCCGGGCAGCATCGTCTCCGCCGGCGAGGTCTTGGCCAAGCTGGAGCTCAAGGACCCCTCCAAGGCGACCAGGAAAAAGACTCCTTCAGCCCCAAGCCCTGCACCCTTTCTCCTACTCCTAGCTCATTGGGCCCAAGGTGAAGAAGATCGCCCCCTTCGAGGGCGTCTTCGAGATGAGCGCCAAGCCTGAGGCGGACGTGCCCGCCCCCAGGCCGGCCCAGCATCCTCATCATGAGCATTTGCAGGTGCTTTTTATCGTGGAGGTTGATGGCTTACTCGTAGCAATACTCATAGCCCTGCTGTTATTGATGATAAGCGACTGCGTCCTGAACCCCAACCTCCTCTTTCAGGGAAGACCTCCTGGCCTTCCTGGACGGCTTCCACGCGGACCAGAAGGGGCCTCAGCTGGTCGAGCAGCTCTTTGCCAGCTTTGCCAACCGCGATGCAGCTGCCGAGACGGTGCGCGGCGTCCTGGACATGGGGGGTGGGGCTCGGGGTGTGGATTCAACAAGATTCATGTGTAGCAATAGGAAGAATCATCAACACTCAGCCCCTCAGCCCCCCACAAGGAGAAGTACCTCTCCAACGAGCGGCCGTTTGCGGCGTCCATCGATCAGAAGCAGCCCTACGACAAGCTCCTGCTGGACTTGATCAACCAGGGCAAGGACGGATGATTTGTCGTTCATCGATTTTTGTTGTGGTGTTTTGATGCACCCTGACCCCTAAACCCTGACGAGGACTCCTTGGAGAAGGTCCTCTTCATGGTGCTGGCCCACAACAAGCTGGCCGACCGCAGCGACGCCGTGATGGCGGCGATCCGCGAGATGCTGGCGGCCGAGGGCTCCGGCATGTCTTGCATGTGCCCCGGCGGCGCGGGGAGGGGAGAAGAGCCCCCAAGAGAGCACCCCGAGACCTCCTCCGCAAGGCTCTCCTCCTGCTTTCCAGGTATGTCCCGGACATGCGCCTGGAGGACGACATGGCGGGCGCCGTGCAGGAGAAGATCGTGGAGCTCTCGCAGCTGCCAAGCTCCGCTGCGGTGGCCGGGGACTCTTGGAGTCAAAGTTTAGGAGGCTTGAGGGTGCTAGGGTGCCAGAGGGTGTTTTCGGTTTGAGGTTGCAGAGGGTTACCCGGCTACTTTTTCTTGGAAGTGGCAGTCTTGGGCAATGCTCGGGCTCAACGAAGACGTCCAAGGACTACGGCAACGTCCGGTACTTGGCGCAGCAGCTCCTGGACACGGTGCCCCAGGCGGGTCCCTCAAAAACGGCTCAGTGCATCTATTCCTGCACGTAAAGCTTCTAACTGTATACTACCCGTGCAACCCTTTATAGCCCTTCTAATCCCTTAGAGACCAGTCTTCTTGAATGTGAAGCCAGGAGTCCTATGAGGAGCGCACCAAGAACTTCCGGGAGCAGCTGGCAGGCCTGAAGGACGAGGCCATCACGGAGCAGAAGGACCAGCGGCTTTTTGGGGGGGCATTAAACGGCTTCGGGGATTTTTCAGACCCCTCCTTCCCCCAGAAACCACACATCCTGCGCATCCCCGATTGCCCTACTTGTAATATCCCCCCTTCCAAACCCTCCAAAAACCTAAAGCTCCTGTGAACCCCCTAAACCCCCTAAACCCTGTGAACCCCCAAGAGCCCTCAACCCTAAGCAGGAGCTCCCCGGTGCGGTGGACGGCGGCCTTGAGATGGAGCTTTTGGTGGAGGCGCTGAGCGATTCCGATGCCAAGATCCAGGAAAGGGGGAGCAAAAACAAAAAGTAACTCGGGGGGGGCTCAGGGGTTTTGGGTTCAGCGTTCGGGGTTCAGGGTTGAGGGTTTAGTGTTTATAGGGTTTAGGGGGGGGCATGTCATGCTTTGGTTTTGGGTTTTGGGTTCGGAGGGTTTAGGATGGTTGCGGGCTTCGCGCTTCTTTGGTTAGCCCTCAACCCGAAACCCCAAACCCCCAAACTTCAAAGCCTATTCAAGCCTCGGGCCGCAACCAAAGATCCCAAAAGCCAAAGGCTTGAAAACACGCAAGGAGAGGGCCATGCACGCGTACCTTGCCTGGTTGGCCGCCCCGAGCCGCCTCACCAAGGCCGGCACGATTTGTAACACCCCTTGAATTGAAGCCCCTCAAAGCCCCTTAAAACCCCTAAAAATCCCTTAACACCCCTTAAAACCCCTTGAAATCCCTAACACCCCCTTAAAGCCCCTTCATGCCCGAACCAAAACCCGAACACTCCCCCTTTAAGAGTCAGGGTAGGGCATGCAAGCAAACGCTGACGCAATAGCAGTTTTAAATACAAAACAATTGCAGAATTTTAACAATATTAATGTTATAAAAACAGACTTAACGAACAATTACCAAACGAACACAATGTGAAGTAGCAATTTTTACAATAAAACAGAAATAGATTCTACATTTACAAATTATTACACATCAACGCAAATAGATACAAATTTATCTACCAATTACCAGACTAATGCCCAATCATCTGTTAACTACTATAATAAAGTGAGGTTGATGCCTTAGTAGGTGCTGGTTCGGGATACACAAATGAAGAAGTGGATAACCTACTAGACCTACGAGTTCCAAAAATCAGACTTTACAAATAGATTTAGTGCCAATCCTATTATTGATTGTAGCGCCCCGACTGTTATTCATAGTGGATTAACATTAAATAATTCAACTGTAAATATAAGTCCAGTAGCAGGTTGATTATTCAGTAATCAAACAGGAGGAGGTGATAAAGTCATAGCAGAGTTTAAAAACGCCACTAGTTATATAACTTTACAAGGAGACAACAATATTTTGTAATAATGCATCAGATGACGCTATTAAACAACTTGACTTATCTAATAATAATGCAGGGTATAAAATGTCAGGTAAAATAGCAGTTCCCGCAGGTGGTTTAGTTGTAGAAAATACAGCAGACGCTAATTTATCAGTTACCGTTTTAAATACTGATAATTATGTAACTTTTGATAATGATAGTATTGATTGTTATAATTCTGTCGGTGATACAGGTAGGCTTCTAAATTTAAATAACAATGCTAATCAATATGTTAAATCACATTCGTTATTAGTAGATACAGGAGCAAATACATTAACAGGAGGTTATACATTAGATGTTGTAGATAGTGCTATTGTTAGACAAAATTTAAAAGTTGATGGTAATTTAGATTTAGCAAATGATTTAAATTTTGACGGTGAAAATTTTAATATAAATGATACTAACGCATTAACATTTATAAACACACAACGGACGCTTCTAATGTTATGACAGTTAACAATGCACAAGGGTATTTGAAATTTAATTCATTTAATATTAATGCGTATAACACAAGCAACGACAACTCTTCATTACTTCTTTTAAATACTGCTAATGGCAATGGTGTTTATTGTTTAAGTTTAGGTATTGGTGTTATTCAAGGTTCAAACAAACTAAATGTATCGGGCGGCAATAGTAATTTTGGTGGGACAGCATCGTTTCAGGGAGCAACAACTTTCAATAATGATGTATTGATATGGAATAACAGTAAGATATACAGAAGAGCAGCCGCCAACGATAGTTTAAATGATATAACAGAGGAGATAAATTTTTCATTACAACCGAGCCGAACAACCGACCCTACTACTTCAACAATAGCACTACAATTAAATGACACTAACGGAATTACATTAAACAGACCAGTAGTGAATAATCTTACTTTTAATAGTATTGGTAATTTAACAGCGGAAGCAGATTTAATAACTTGGGGAGAAATGAAATTTAAAAACTCATCAGAGTTTAGAGAAGTATTAGATACTCAATATAAGTTATATATCAGAAATGGAGACACGGCAGGAGAAATGAATTTAACAATAGGATTGGAAAGTAGCACACCAGAAATACAATTAACTGAGGGTAAAGTTAAGATGAATAATTTAGAAATAACACAAGAGACAATAAGTACCGTAGACCAGATACAGTTTTTAAATACCGATGCAGGTGGTGAATACTACTTCTATTTCGGTAGTGTCGGAGCAGGGAATGAAGTACTAGAAATAACACCCAGCGGAGTATATGCACTTTCGGTTATTCGTCCGATTTTTCATGAAAAGATAATATTAAAGAAATTGATAGTAAGAAGTGCTATGAAATAATTAAATATGTAAAACCTAAAACATTCAATTTTACACATTTGAACGAAGAGAAAAATAAAGTTAATCATATCGGATATATTGCTCAGGATGTTCAGAGTGTAACCCCGAAAGAATGGGACGGTGTAATCACAACAGATAATAGAGGACAGAAACGCCTTGACTATTGTAAAACAGCAGTAATAACACACGGAGCATTACAGCATTTGATGAAAGAAGTTGAAGATTTAAAGAAGGAGGTTAAGAAGTTAAAAGACGAGGAAAGCCCGAAACCAAAGGCTAAACCAAAAGCAAAAAACAAAAAACGAATTATTATCTCAATATTAATATACAATTTATTATGACAAGAAAATATTATATGTGTAAATGTGGACTAAAGAGACCAACAGACGAAACAGAAAATGAGAATATGAAACATATTAACACGAAAGAACACCAAAAGTTAGTAGAAAACCGTTATAGCGCTAATCCAAAGTTCTGGGATAATGTTATAAAAAAACAAAATAAAAAATGGAAAAAAGATAAACCTAAATAGTAATATATGGGTTCTAAAACATCTAAATCATGTGCTACAGAAAATATGAAGCAAATAAAAGAATTAGATATTAACGAAAAACAAGAACAGATATATTATTATTTAATACTTTGAAGGATGTTATTGAAAGAGTTGAAAAATTGGAAGAAACAAAAAGCGATAAAATATATTATAAATTACCACCTGTCACATTGTGCAATTATTCAATTATATAATTAATAATTATTACATAAAGATTTATTTAAACTTTTATGTAATAATTGTTAAATATGGGATGCATAATATTTAAAGTTAGAATAATCAGTGATAAAAGTTTGACATTTACAACAAAATCAAAATCCTTAATAGTGATTTAATTGCAAAGGGAAATACATATATCAAGAACTGTACTTTAACTGTTCCAAATGTATCCTGAAGGCACTTTTGAAAGTAGAGTTGATACAGTGCTAAACAACGTGTTTTTATTATTAGCAGGTCTGAGTGATTTTTATGATTATGAAAATAGTAAAGCCATTTATGATACATTTGTTTTACCAGTTCTTAATAGACTTGATACAACAATGATTAGTAACATTTATTTTCAATATACTGATGAATTACATAAAAAATTACTATCAGCATATAAAAGTAATAATGTTTACAAGTTCAAAAATGAAATTGACCAGTTGATAAGACCGTTTATAATGGAATTTTTCTTTGGTCGCATTTGGTTTAATATTGTAGATGGTGTTGAAAACTACAAGACTTTCAAACACATACTTTGGAATGGGTTTGACACTGAACTGGTTTTATCTAATTTATCAGTATGATGATAATGTTGTTAATCTAATTCAAAGCGTTGTTCAAAGTTAATGAAGAACATATTACTAACATCTTTAGCATTGGTGTTTATGTAGAAGAACGAGTAAGGCGCAAAATTCACGGCTTTCTGATACATTTCGTATAACGTGCTTTTATCCACCAATGCGGAATTCTCTTCTAAAAATGCATTGACTTCATTCATGTTCTTGAGTCTGAACACAAACAGTGCCGATGCATTGAGCCTAATTATTGGAGCTAGCACGTTGTACTTCTGAGTGGACAGTATCACTGAAATTGCGTTGTCTACCTCTCGTGAACAGTCCATGTAAGATACTTGAGTACCTTACAAATTTTGGGTCGTCTGCGAAATCATCAATGACTATTAATATACTGAATAAATCCTTGTCTTTATTCTTCTTCTGGAACTCTATTACCTTGTGTTGGGTGTCTAGTATTTTCTGTACAGCAGTTGCATCATAGTGATTGAAATATATCTGTTCCTTTTCGGCGTCCACTTTCATGACATCCTTTATGTACTTCTTCAGCGCGTTCCATGTGTCGTCCACGTCCACACTAGGACTGAATATGTATATTCTTTCAAAACTATTGCGGTAAATCTTCAGGATTAGGTTCTGTATTAAAGCTGTTTTACCGCCTGTACTTGAAGCCACAGCCAACATTCTCGCAGGTAAAGATGGCATCATCTCATACTTGCTATTTTTGAACTGGTACTTGGGTATATCAATTGGTTCTACCGTCGGAACATTATCGCTCATTACTAACATAAGTTAGAAAAATTATATGTTATAATATATGAATTACGGTGATTGCATGAATGTCATTGACAACCTTGAAGAAATAGAACAGATAAGAATAACAACGCCTAGATATCGTAGGTGTTGTTATTCGGTGTTGGAAATATGTAAAGGGTTATTGCAATATTTAAAATTGAAGAAAAACTAATATACATTAACATATGAGCGATTCAAACAAAGATAATAACAAAGATGGAACTGATGGCGGTGTAAGTGTAAATAAAGATGGCATTAATTGTCTATTTTGTAGATGTAAGAGAAACACATACCATAAAGAAAGTAAAACAACAACAGAAAATGATAAGGTTGTTGTTAATGTTGTAGAAGACCGTTCTGGTTTTAAAATGGGTCGGGGCGTGTCGACGGAATAGTTAAACCAGATACAGGACCACAAGCTGGAGGCGTTCAACTTTGTAGTACGGGATGGTCAGAACATCGGAAAATCACCCCTGAAGAATGCGAAGAAAGACTAGATAAAATTGAAGAAGAAGTAGAAGAGGTAAAAAAAGATGTTGAACAATTGAAAACAAATTTGAATATTTTGGATTAATATTTAACAGTACTTTTCTAATATATATTGACAGTGTATAGTCGCACAGCCATGCGAGTCTCGTTCCTCGCATCTTTTGAATTCCCCGGAAAAAACAATATGGAGGAGGAAACGCCCCATTCGCCCATTGCTCTCATGCATAAGTCCCAGACATCGTAAGTGAGCAAGAGAAAGGGGAGAGTATCTTGGAACACTTACATAGTTCGGATATACATAAGATATATCCCTAATTCGTTTGGAATTTAGAATTTTCATAATTCAGTTTGTGAAAATTTTAATATTAAAGTTTTATTATAAAAGTTTAGATTTAAAAACTTAATGTATATATAAGTATATGGGTGATAAACCTGACTTCAAGCAAGATGTCATACTGAGACTAGAGAGGATAGAGAAATTCTTAAATGAAAGGTCTACAAGAAATTTAACAGGACACCAGTTGATGCAACGTATGAGAATAAGAAGAACACATATTTGACTAAACTGAATAACAAGGAAATTTTACAACCGAAACAAACAACCCTTGACTACTACAAGATAAAGTATAACGAAGAGACGAAAACCTATTCAAAATATTATCGTCTAATAATGGGTGAATTAGATGAGAATAGTTCTGTTGAGTTTCCTACAGGCAGTGATTGTAAAACACAGTACATGCAATGTAAAGCATGTAGGCAAGTAAAATGTGTAGATGAGTTTGTAAGTAAACATTCCAAAAGAATATACAATAAAACTTGTAGGGCTTGTCTGGATGTTAGGCTTAAAGGGAAGGAATGAATTGAGGGAGTTTTCCTTATGGAAGAGTTCTTAAGAAAAGCACTTAAAGAAATAACAACTTAATATATTATAGTGGAAATGAGTGAAAGAAAATATTGCAGTAAATGCCAGTTCAATCAGAAGATAGAAAAGTTGAAGAAGGATATAAAACATGTAATACTTGTAGAGCAAAGGACCAAAGACAACGAGAAACTAAATCCGAAACAGCAAGGGAACATGAGAGAGCAACTAAAGCAGAATACAGAGCAAATAATCCTGAAAAGGTAAAGGAATGGAGACAAAACCGAATGAGCAGAATCAAGGACGAAATGTTTACTTGCCCCGTTTGTAATTACGACATCAAGAAATACAAACTGAAACAACATGAACACTACAACAGAGAAGCCAGAACAAACAGAACCGACACCACAGAAGACATTTGCCTCATTATATGCCATAATGCACCAATAATGATTTTATAATACAATTAAATAATTATTGAATGCCCCACCCCCTACCCATACTATGCCCCATAAAATGAATAAACCTAACCTTGCCCGTTTCGGGATGTTACATCACCTGATAAATAGGATGAGATAGAGTATTTTAAGGATAATGAGCTACTAGTTGTGATTTATATAGCTATATATGTTCACGGTGATGTAATAACCCAAAACGGGCATGCCCTACCCTGACTTTAAGGCCCCCCCTCAGGTGGAGGTTGTGGAGAAGGCCGCCACGAAGACAGCCGTTTGGACCCAGTTCTTCCCGGTGAGCACGGAGCAGGAAGCTGGACGACACCATTTTTTGGAGCTCCTTTCGGGGTTTTGGGGTTTAGGGGGGGTTTAGGGGAGGAGGTTCACACGCCTTCCGGCGAGTTGAAGGGGTGCGCCCTAAAAACCCCGAAGCCCTGAACCTCTTAAACCCCGAAGCCCCCCCCCCCCCCTAACCCCTAAACCCCACAAAGACCCTTCAAGAACTTCGAGTCCCCCGAACCACCCCCCCCCCCCCCCCCCCCCAAAAAAACACCACAAAGACCCTTCAAGAACTTCGAGTCCCCCCGAAACACCCCCCCCCAAAAAAAACACCACAAAGACCCTTCAAGAACTTCGAGGTTTTTCCCGGACTTGCTCGCAGGAGCACCACCGACATGGCCTCCTCGCCGTCGCCGCAGATCTTGAGGCTCCAACCCTCTAAGGTTGCTTCTAGGGTTTTTTTTTTTGGGGGGGGGGGGGCTTCGGGGGGCTTCAGGGGCTTCTTTTAGGGGGTTTCAGGGTTTGGGATCTCGAGTTGAACCCAGAATCTGAAACCGAAACCCACCCTGGGAGGGTGAATATGTTTTTGGGTGCTTTACCTCCCGTTTCAGGGGAAGTGCCCCCCCCCTTGGAAGGCCTTGGACTTGGACGAGAAGCTCCTGGCTCCTTTGATCCAGCGGCAGAGCCTACGTCGGCAAAGGGTAGGGCTTTGGGGCCTTTAGGGCTTGGGGGCTTTGGGGGTTTCGGGGTGTTGGGGTTTTGGGGGTTTTGGGGGTTTCGGGGGTTTCGGGGTTTTGCGGAGTTTTAGGGTCTAAGAGTCTTAGGGTTTTAGGGTTTAGTGTGTAGGCTTTAGGGGTTTTTAGGGCTTGTGTGTTTTGACTCCAAGCTCGCCATACATCAGGAGCGGCGCTCCCGGCGTCCCCATCAACCTCCTCCACCTCGTCGTGGGCCGCGACGCCTTCCCAGGCGCGACGGATCCCCTGCAAAGGAAGGTGCCCCCCCCCCAAGAAGCTCTCAAAGAGTTTCATGGGCCTGAAACCTCATTCTGCGGGCATTCTGTGGGGTCGGCCCCTCTCCTCAATGCTAAACGCAAACCCTGAAACCCTGAAACCCACCCTCAACCCTAAACCCTGGAACCTCAAACCCTCAAACCTAAACCCTGAAACCCCAAACCCACCCTGAAACCCGAAACCCACCATGAGCCAGGCATCACGGACCGAACCCTGTTTTACAACACCGACTCGGAGTTGCAGAAGGTCGGCTTCCCCCCAAACTCTTCGGGCTTCAGGGGTAGGGTTTAGGAGACCTTGGGAGTTGAACAAGGTTTCAGACCTTTGAGGCCTATAGGGTCTTTAGGGCTCACAGTACTTGCGGGGACTTCATTCGGGTCCCACTTGAGTCCCACTTAAGAGTGCTTTTGGCGTGAACTTCATGAACTTCAGGCTCCCGCTCGCGCCTCAGACGCATCAACAGGCCTTTGCCTGTAGAGTTTCGAGCTTTCATCTGAATCCCAGCCTTTCTCTTTTCCCATTCCCCATCTCCCGTTGCGCGCGCTTCTCATGTCTTCAAGTCATGAGCGAACGGGGACCCAACACGGCCAGGCGAGCAAAATGAATGGTGCGAGCCACCCTTTTCGGTGTTGATCAGTTTGAAGCGCAGTGTTCTCTCCATTTTCAAGTCGCCTCTGTTACGACTGAGGGGGTTCAGAGGGTTCAAAGTTGGGGGCCTTCAGGGGCGGTTTTCAGGGTTCGAGAGCCTCAAACTCCCCGAGCCCCTAATTCGACCCCCCAAAAAACCGCATCTATACTTTTCATATGTATCTATCTATCTCCAAAATTGTGACGCTTTCTGTATATTTATAGACTACATAGAAGATTACACGAGATGGCTCGCTCTTTTTGCCTGGGCTCAGCTCGCTCTGAGAGATTTTTTTGAGAAGCCTTGGGGGGGGCAAGAGTGTTTTCCTTCTCTTTCAAAATTTCCTCTTGCAGACTCTGGGGGCTGAGAGCTCAGCTGTTTTGTTTCCTCTTCACTGGGCTTTCAGAGTGTCTCTCCACGAGTCTCTCTGGGGGCGCTCCTTAAAGCAGCGCTACGAGCGAGAGCTCTGCTTTTGAAGCCTTGAACTCTGCCTTCAAGGGGGGAGAGGATTGGGAGGGCATTTTTTATTTCGATCCTCTCTTGAACATTCTACTGGTCAAAAGGTGTTTTGGGGATGCTGTGTGCAGTCAAAGCTGCAACCTGGAGTCGGAAAAGGCTCCAAATGGCCGAAATTGCCACAAGTTGCCATCTCTGGACTCGAAACCCTGGACTTGTGCTGGATTTGTTTGGCTCGGCTTATCTGCCCTCCGCCCCTAGTGTGCCCTCACCGACACGCTGGCTGTTTCTTCTGCTGTGTTGTCTTCGCAGTTCAGTGTGGGTCTTGCAGGCGGTCTTGGATTCGGGGAGTCGGCAGGCCACTGCCCACTGGCCCTCGGGACCCAGGTGCAGTGCCCAAAGCTGCAAAATAGCATGCGGAAATACGCAGCTCGTTTCCGCCCCTGAGCACAGTTTTTTTGGCTACCCCCGTGTTGGAGAAGCTTTTCTGCTTGGTGTCCCAGGCTGGGAGGTACAATGCCCCCTCGTGCTTGTAGCCGAGGGGGGAAGTTGGGAGCTTCGGCCGCGGCGCTTCCTTGAAGTCCATGACTCTGGCTTCGTGCTCCTGCACCTCCGTGACCTCGTGCCACCCCATCCTTTCATTACTATCAAATCTCAAAGTTCATCGGCGTCACCAGACTTGCTTGCTGCTGACTGACGCAGTCCTTGTTGCAGTTCAGCTCTGCTCAGACGTGTGCCACTATACATCGTGCGGCCGGGCTTTCGGGCATGGGGTGCACACATGTATCCACGGCTGCATCCTTACAGGGTTCGATGCCCAGAAATCAGCAGAGTATCTATACATAGCATCGTTTTTCAATTTGGTATATACACTAGTGTTGTAGGAGTCCTTCGCTCTCGCAGGTGCTGAAGAGATGTCAGGGCCTCTTCACCAGGCAGAGCGAGCTCCTGAAGAAGGCCGGCGTGGGAGAGCCCCTCAGCTTCTGGATTTATTCGTATGTCTTCTTGTCTTTGGGGTTTTGGGCTGTCTGGGGTTTAGGAGTGTTGGGGCTTCAGGGCTGGCTTTAGGGGGTCCAGGGTTTCGCAGTCCAGGGTTCAGGGCTTACAAGGTGTGCGTGGGAGAGTCCCTGGGTTTGTTTTCGGTTTTAGGCTTCCTTTGGCTCCTTGCTTCAGGCTTTAGGTGTGTAAAGGCTTCAAAGGGAGCGCAAAGTCCCTCGCCAAAAAGCGCAGAAGCCCAAAGCCCGGCTGGCAAGGCTCAGGGTTTAAGGTGAAGAGTTTTAGGATGGAGGGTTTAGGGTTTTGGGCTTAGGAGTTTGCAATACCAAAGGATCTGCGTGGCGCTGCCCCAGCCTCCTCGCCACCCGCGCTTCGTGAAGTTCAACCTCGACCCCACCACTGAGGACGTAGAAGGGTGAGAGTCAGGGTGTCTGGGATTTAGGGAGGTTTTGGGGTTTTCTGAGGGTTTTCAGGGTTTGGGGGTTCAGGTTTTCAGGGTTTCAGGGTGACCCCATGTCATTCTCGGACCAATTTCTCGGAGGAGTGGTCGGAGAACGAGATGGGCCGCGACCTCTGGCCTTCCTTCACAGGCGCCCTTGAAACCCCAAACACCCTAACACATCCTATGCCCCAACACCCCAAAACCGAAACATCCTGAAAACCGAAAAATCCTGGAAGCCTGCAACGGGGCATGGTTGTTTTAAGCCACCCCCACCCCCCCCCCCCCCTCCCTTCCCCCAAGCTCCCGGCGGAGGCCTGCTCGAGCTGAAGATGCTCCAGCGCCTCTACACCCTGCAGCGCATCCACAAGGAGGTGCGCCCCACCTCCCACATCTACCTCGCCACGCCGCTGACGCCTCGCGTGCTGTTGAGAATACTGGGGGGTGTGTTAGGGAGGTATTCGGGAAGTCTTTCTTAAAGCCTTGTGCTTGGAGTCTTGGAGTAAGAGCCTCCAAAAGGAGTAGGTTTGGGATTCGGAAGCCGGGCTTGATCGGAGCGCTTCTAAGGATGAGTGGCAAGGCTGCCACGTCGGAGCTCCTGATGCGGGCGCTCTACCTGTCCGGGGTGAACAAGGAGTCCTTTGGCCAGAGCCTCACGGACAGCCTGGACCTCGCGCTGGAGGAGGTGGAGCATGCCATGCTGGACCCGCGTGTCCTAGATGCACGTGCGAAGGGCCTCTCAACCACAAAGCCCGAGCAACTGACCCTCCCCAGAAACCAGGGCCAAATCTGGATGGGCGTTTCCCAAAGTAGGTGCCCCCAATGTGCCCATCCGAAAACAACCCCTGGTATTCAGGTGTTGCCAAGCTCGGCCACTCGGTGACCAGCCGAATCTTCGTCCACTTCGTCGGGGAGCTGGACATGGACCTGAACGAGTTGGAGCCTGGGGCATATGCCCCGCAAAAAACCTGAAAAAGCACAAAAGACAAGCCTTCAACCCTACGAAACCCTAAGCCCTACTAAATACCCTCAACGCCTACAAGCCCTTCTAAACCCTGTGGAACCCCTACTAGACCCGACTGAGCCCTGCAAAGTCCGTCCCCCGAACCCTTGACCCTCGCCCAAAACCCTTTTGAGACCCCGAGCGCGTTGAGAGAACGGCCGAGGAGCAGCGCTTCACCGACACGATCAGCAGCCACGTCGGTCATCGAGGCTCTGAGGTCATCAAGCTCTGCATCGACGAGATTGAGGTGCCCTTTGGGAGGGTTGGGGTTTGGGGTTTAAGGTCGTTTTAGGGTCTCTATGGAACTTTCAGCACCTAAAGCCCACAAAAACCCCGGCAAGCCCAGGTGAAGGTGCACCGGCGCGTCGGGGGAGCTTTCGAGACCCTGCGCCTCTCCCTGTCCTCCCTGAACGGCGGCTTCCTGAAGCCCAAGATGCTCCGGGAGTTCCCCGACCCCGCCGCTTGGGGCGCCCCTAAAGATTTTGGGTTTAGGGTTCTGGCGGTTATATGGACTTGGGGGTTGAGGTTAAGGCGGTTTAGGGTGCTTAGATGGTTTAGGGGAGAGTTTGGGGGGGTTTTTGCCCAGACCTTTGTTTTTGTGGGTTTCTGACTGTTTGGGGCTCTTCGACCACTTGTCGGGTGTCGTAAGTGGCGGCTTATGTGGCGTCGAGCTCTCTTTCCTTTCGGATTTGGAGCCCTAAGCCCTCAACCTTAAGCCCGAAGCCACGCCCACTGCAAGGTCACCGGCTTCCCACTCCGCTGGGAGGCCGCCAAGGAGGGCGCCGCCCCCTTGAAGCTGGGTTGCTGTTAAGGAGGTTGCGTTGTGTGGCACGAAGAAGGATCTAGGGCAAGTACTTGCGGCTTCCCACAAAGCCTCCCAAAACCCAACACCTCAGCCGAACCCCCCCCCCCCCCCCCCCTAAACACCCAGGAAGTCCCTGGACCACCCACACGTCACGGACCAAGCGGCCCTGAGTCGGTACCAGGCACGGGGCGGCTCCCTGGAGGGGTGATGGCTGGCTGCGCATGGGGAAGCACCCGAATTCCCCAAAACCCCATAAGAACCCAAACCCCGAAGCCTCCAGGTCAAGCCCTGACACCCCAGCAGGCCAAGCGAGTGGCCGCCCGCCGTGCGGGCTCCACCTACGCCTACGACCTCCCTGGAATTCTCCAGCTGGCGCTGACCATGAAGCCGGCCTTGGATGAAATGACCCCTGAAAGCCCACTCCTCCAAAAACCACAGTACACAAATCAACAAGGATGGACCAGAAGCAAGAAGACCAATGATATTCAGGAACCACCCCAAAGCCCTGCTGGCCACCCTGTCCCCCAAACACTACCCCCAAAGCACCCAAGAACGTCAGGTGGATCTCCTTCACCGGCAACCCCAGCACCGGCAACACGGAAGCGCGCGGCGAGAGCCGGGGCGCCCGCAGGCACTTAAACCCTAGAAACCCAAAATCAACCCCACACCAAGCAGGGCCTCTAGATCACATAAGCGAACCCTGCACCCGAAACCCTCCAGCAGGCGCAGCCCCTCGCCGCGCCGGGGGGGCGTGGTCTCCGCACCTTCCCAGGTGCCGGAGAGCATGCCGAAGGAGCACCGTTGGGGTTCGGATTGTGGGGCTCCCAGCTGCGCCGAAACGCCATCTCCTACACTCGAAGCTAAGACACCAACACCTTCAAGAGGTTTGAAGGCCAAACTCCAGAAAACGCACAAGCCCCTAAGCCCGAGACCCTAAAGGGCCCTTGGCTCTCTAAGAAGCCCGAGGAGCTGCTGAACGCCGTGGAGCTGGTCATGGACTGGTCCAAGATGGAGCCTCGGGTTGGGGCTCTTTAAGCGGGTCTCCCTAACAAGTCTTTTCTTGGGCTTCGGGGGGTTTACGGTTCTTTGTGTTGGGGCAGGTGCGGGAGGGGGGGGGATTTGGGCCCCTCAACTCCCAGGAGCTGGTCGAGACGGAGAGGCCGGAGGGCTCCAACGACGTGGGCATGCTGGCCTGGAAGCTGACCATGACCCTGGGCCTTACGGTTTGGGGGAGGGCGGCAACTCACCTTTTAATCCCTTTAAGTCCCTACGCTGTTTGGTCACCGCAGCAAGTTCTCTCATCCAAAAAGGAAGACACCGGAGTACCCCGAGGGCCGCGTTGTCGTCCTCATCGCCAACGACGTAGCTTGGGGGCATTTCGAGTGGGTCCGTGGGATTCACACTTGCGATGTAGCGGTGTAGGTGGGCTTTGGGCGAATCACACCCCCCCCATCCCCTGCGCCCTCCAAAGCCCTCCAAAGCCCTCCAAAGCCTGAAGCAGCAAAGCCGCCCAAGGTCACCTACCAGGCAGGCTCTTTTGGCGTGCGCGAGGACCAGTTCTTCCAGAAGGCCTCCGAGCTTGCGAGGACTGGGTTTGGGGGCAATTCCTGCCTTTGTGGGATCCCGGTTCACCAAAAAAAGGGTACCCAAGAGGGGTTTTGTGGGGGCTCTTGGGGAGGCAAGGATCTCCGAGCTCATTCTTGCTTTGCCCCTCAACCACACCCTAGAAATGAAAGGAAGGGTACGTCAACAGCCCTCAGCCCCGAACCCCTGCACCCCTAAACCCCATGATGAGCCCATAAGCCCCTAGTAGTCCAAAACTCCTGGAATCCGGAATCCACCCTTGCAGTGCGCAACCGAACAATAAAAGGATATCCGCTCAACCCTAGATTTCTCTTGGGACCAGTTTAAGTGCCAGCAACTCAGCCTGTGTGAGCCGAGGAAGTAAAAATCTCTAAGCCCCTTCAAGCCCCAAAAAGGAAGCAGGGCCTGCCCCGTGTCTACGTGTCCTGCAACAGCGGTGCGCGAGTGGGTCTGGTGGAGGAGCTCCGGTTTGCGAGGGTTGGTTTCGGAGGCTTAGCGGCTTAGCGTTGCAGACTTGAGCTTCGAGCTTTGGGGCTTGAAGCTGTAAATTGTAAGGAGTTAGGGTCTTGGGTGGGTTGCCAGACAATCTGGTCGTGACAGACATGTTGGGAAGTCTCGCCGGGGGGTTGGCATCGCTGCGTCCGTGGCCAGGTACGCAAGTGAGCAACGAAAGCTTTACTCACAAATCGATAGCCCTGAGCCCTAAGCCCTCCCTAAACCCTCAACCCTATGTGTTTGGGGCCCCGGACTCTGGCCTCGTTTGGTGCTTAGGCAGGGTTTAAGGTTGAGGGTTAAGCTTAGGGGCTCCGAGGGTTATCCTGCCAAGGAGCTGAAGCCCTTGTACAAGATCCAGTGGTGGGACGAGAAGGACTGCGGCAAGGGCTTCGAGTACCTCTACCTGACCAAGGAGGACTACGAGAGCCTCCCTGCTGGCACGGTGGAGGCCGTGGATTGCGAACCCCAGTAGCTGAGGGCCGAGGTGTTCTAGTCCGTTGGGCGGCAATTTTGTGTTGGGTTGAGCCCTGTGGCCACGCTACGCTGCAGGCACGAAAGGTCTCCCACGATGGACAGGACCGGGTTGCCGCCAGGATTTCGCACTTGCTCCAAAATTGGCTCTGTCACACCGCCTAAAGCTGCTGCGAAGCCTAACCACTAGATGCACCCTTCCCCCCACAACCCCAAACCCAAAACCCCCAACTTCAAGGATCGCTACATCTTGGACGCCATCATCGGCGAGGGCCTGAAGAGCACGGAGGGCGGCATCGGCGTTGAGAAACTTGGGTTGCTGGTGGGGAAAATTGGGTTTAGGGTTTAGTTAGGGTGCAGATGTAGGGGCTTAATTAGGGTGCAGGGTGTAGGGTGTAGGCCAGGTTTAGGGTGTAGGGCTTAGGGTGCAATTGCGGTTCCAAATTCTGCCGCCAACGCCCTAAACCGTAAACCCAGGAACCTCAAGGGCAGCGGCCTCATCGCCGGCGAGACCAGCCGGGCCTACCAGGAGTCCTCAAGCCCCCCAAACCCCCAAAAACATCCCTCAAACATCCTAAGCACGCCCTTGAACCCTACAACTGAAAAACCCCAAACCCTGAACCCTGAACCCAAAACCCTAAACGTTAAGCCCCCCTAACGCCCTGACCATGAGGAGACCTTCACCCTTTCCTACATCACCGGCCGCTCCGTCGGCATCGGCGCGTACTTGAACCGCCTGGGACAGCGGAACATTCAGATGGTCAGCAGCCCGATGATCCTCACGGGCGCCTTTGCTGGGGGTGTTACAAGGGGTTCAGGGCTTTAGGGGTCTGTGGTGGTTCAGGCTGGCATCAAGTTAAGGGCCTGGCCTATCTAGGGGTTTAGTAGTTGGCTTCTTGTGGAGCAGAGGCTACTCCGCTTTGAACAAGCTCCTGGGCAAGAACGTCTACTCCTCCCAGGATCAGCTGGGTGGCCCGCAGATCATGGTGCCCAACGGCGTCACCCACCAGGCGAGAGCCGGGTTCGCTTCTGCAGCCCCCTTTGGCTGCAAATCCTAGATTCCGTAGATGCTTGGTTGATTCAGGTGGTCAGGGACGACCAGGAGGGCATGTCCGCCATCTTGGACTGGCTGTCTTACGTGCCCAAGGACCGTCAAAAGACTCGCAGCCTCAAACTGCAAGCCACCCCTAAACCCCAAACCCTGAACCCCAAGCCCCTTATGCATGCCACTGCTCTTCGAACAAACCATCTTTTAGTAGCAGTTTCGTTGCGTGAGCCACTTTGTGCCAAACTGTTGAAGCCAACCCTCTTCAAACAAATCATCTTTTCGTCAGACGCTTTCTGTTAACTGTTCAAGCAAACGCTCTTGACACAAACCATCTTTGCGCGACGTTTCGTTGCGTGAGACGCTTTCTGTTAAACTATCCTTTTCGTGACAGGTTCGTTGCGCGAGACAGTTTTTGCCAAACTGTTCAAGCCATCACGCTGCGTGAGACACTTTGTGTCAAGCTGTTCAATGTCAAGCCAACGCTCCGCACACAAACCATGTCATCGTGTAATGTTCGTTGTGTGAGACCCTTCTTGTCAAAGTGTTAACTAACCGCACAGTCTACCTTCGAGGACGTGTCCTGCCTGCCGCCTGTTTGCCAGCCGGCTGGCGCGGACCCCTGGGACCGCGATGTGGAGTTCGAGCCCACCCTGCTTCTTGGCAGGGACTTTGTTCATTCTAGAAAATACATGAAGGCTTTTTTTTGGTGCTTTTTAACGCTTGTATATATAGGGTTTGTCATTTTGGCATTTCGAGTTCCCGAAGACTCACAGCCCCAAGCGAGCGCAAGTGCACACACCAAGCGTGAAGAAAGGCTTCCGTACGACCCGCGGGACTTCCTCCGTGGCGTCATCGACCACGAGGGAAACCGAAAGCGCGGCTTCTTCGACGCTGGCCCCCTCGCATGAATTTCGGGATTTCCGCCTTAGGGTTTCGGGTTCACGGGCCTTGAACCCTAAACCTCAAAACAGACGACCCCCTAAGCTGCTCGAACCTTCGGGATTTCTCTTAAACCACCAAAAGCCTCCAAAAGGTTCTTGGACCGAGTACCTGGAGGGCTGGGGAAGGACCGTCATTGTCGGCCGCGCTCGGCTGGGAGGAATGCGGCCGGGATGCAGCGTCCTCGCAGGGGTGAGAGCGGTTTGGGGGCTGAGGCTGTATAGCTTCTCATTTGGCGGGTTTGCGGGAGCCTGGGGTGTAAGGCCTAAACCCTAAACCCTACTCCCTAAACCCTAAACCCTAAACCCTAAACCCTAAACCCTAAACCCTAAACGTTTGGGGGCATGCGAGGATGCGATGTTGTGGTTGGTTGCCTAATCTTCACCCTCGCCTCGCGGGACCCTAAGCCCCAAATCCTAAAAGTCCAAATCCCCGAGGCTATCAACTACCTTGACCCCTTTAAGGTTTAACTATTTTGGGGGGGTTCTACTTTTGCATCCTCCCAGGGCTTGTTCTTCGAACCCGCAAAAACCCCCGTACTAGGCTAAACCCACAGAATCGCAAGTCCACGAACGAAGCGAGCACGCATTGCTCTTGGACTCTTCGCAGCTCTAGTCGCGCCCCAGACCCGAAACCCACGAAACCCTAAACCCTACCAAGCCCGACTCAGCCCGACTCTTAGCCCAACTATGCCTCACTGAGCCCCACTAATCCCTACGAAGCCCTACTAAAGCCCACGAAGAAAGAAAGCCTGGTCCCAAAGCCGAGGCCCATGGGTGTGATCGCCGTGGAGACCCGGACCCTCGACGCGCTTAAGCTGTTTGGGTTTCGGGTTTTGGGGTTTGGGGTTTGGGGTTTGGGGTTTTGGCTGTTGGGTTTAGGGCTTGTGAGGGTTTGAGAGGGTTTTAGGGGGCAACGGCCCCCTAAGACACCCCTCATTTTGCCCTAAACCCTCCCTCAAACCTACAACCCTATCCCGCTGTTTATGAATCCTAAGCCCTACTCCTTAAAGAAGGGGGTGTTCCAAGAGAAGCCGAGGAGTGTGGAGCGGCTGGTGCCGGCCGACCCCTCCAACCCTGACAGCTGCGAGGCGGACAAACCCCAAACACCTAAAAAAAAACACTCTTCGCGGCCCTGTGTAGGGGTTTGGGTTGAGGGTTGAGGGTTGAGGGTTGAGGGTTGAGGGTTGAGGGTTGAGGGTTGAGGGTTGAGGGTTGAGGGTTGAGGGTTGAGGGTTGAGGGTTGAGGGTTGAGGGTTGAGGGTTTGGGGCTTACAGCCCTCTGATTCCCGCAAACCCTGAATGCCTTAAGGCCGGCAAGCCCTCAAGGCTCAAAGGTCTCTGAAACCCTTACACCCCTCGCATGAAAAGCCCTAGCGCCCTTAATTAGCGCCCTCAAGCCCCTAAACCCTAAGTAAGCCCCAACCCTAAACCCTAAACCCTAAACCCTAAACCCTAAACCCCAAACCCTAAAGCCTTAATCAGGTCAAGGAGATGAACGGTGGCAAGGTCTGGTTCCCCGACAGCGCCTTCAAGACGGCCCAGGCGGAGCCCCCGAACCCAGGAGTTAGGGTTTAGGCTTTAGGGTTTAGGAGTTAGGAGTTAGGAGTTAGGAGTTAGGGCGTTACACCTTCCATCCCTTCGCAAGCTGCGCTTTGGGCTTGGGGTTCGGGGTTGAGGATGTAGGGGCCCCCAGGAGTCAGGTTTAAGGGTTTACGGGCTTGGGGCAGACAGTAGGATTTTTCACCTGTAGGTTCTGAGTGGGGGGGGGGGGGTTGCTTTGTCTCAGCCTTCCGGCCCGCCCGTTCTTTTTCTAGCGCTTTGGGGGGCGTTTGGGTGCTTAAGGTGTTCAAGGCTTCTTTGTCTTTTGTTTGGGGGAGGAGGGGGGGGGGGGGGGGTTTTGGGGGTTAAGGATTTGGGAATCCCGAAATCTGGAGCCCCTCTTTCTAGGCTCTATTTTCTGGTCACGGGGTCGGCGCGCTGCAGGCGTTGAAGGACTTCAACCGCGGCGAGAACCTCCCGGCAAACGGGGGGAACAAGAGAGCTTTCTTTTGGGGGTAACTAGGGTCTAGGAACACCTCATCCCGGACATCATGTTCTGGCGTCTGCACGCTTTGTCTGTAGGCTTGTTCCCGCGCCGCCCTCAGAAGCAGGAGCCAGGTGGGGTTTGTGCCAGTAGCGGTAGGCCCGTAGTTTGTAATAGGTTATTGACAGAATGGACCCTTTGAGCCACCTCCATGCAAGGTTTGTTTTTGTATCGCTTTCATTTTAGCTGCTGGCTGTGAGGTTTAAACTTTCAGGGCCTTTGGGCTCTAGGGGTGCGCGCGTGGAACTGCAGCTTGTTGACAGCCGCCTATTCATAACGCCTCAACCTTCAGCCCAACACCCCAAACCCTAGACCAGAGACCTGAAACCCTACACCGTAAACCAAACCAGCAAAGCCTCAAGCCTTAGGCGATTGACTCTTAAATCCTCAGCAATGGGGATCTGGATGCCAATGCAGTTGCTTGTTTGGTTTGTTTGGTTTAGGTTCGGATGCTCCCCCCTGAAACTAGCAGTCCTTGCTAGGGATTACAGTACAGTACCCCCCCCCCCCCATATTAGAATCCCTATTAAGGGCTGTTAGTATAAGAGTATAAGGGGGGGGGAACATCCCAAGGTTTAGGGCTTCAGGGCCTTATCGGGATGCGTGGGATCCTTGAGGCGATCATCTTCGCCAACTGGCGCGGCTTCTCCGGTGGCACCCGCGACATGTACAACGAGATCTTGAAGCTCCCGGGCGCGGTTATGCTTTTTGTTCTTCGGGGATTAGGGCGCTTGATTTGCGTTTCGGGTTTGAGGGGTTTTGAGGGGTTTTGGGGGGGGGGGGGGGCAGTAGTATCGGCTCGAAGACTGAGGTTCGGGGCCATGATCGTGGACGCCCTGGTGGACTATGAGCACCCCATTTTCATCTACATCCCCAAGCGGCTTGGCGCAAATGCGGGTACCCTGAAGGCTCGCCCCTAACCTTCGACTCGGCAATCCTGAGCCCCAACTGCTACTGCTACAGCCACTGCTGCTGCCGCTACCGGTCCCTACCGCTACCACGAGAGCACCACCACCACCAGCCCACCACCACCGCCACTATTCTCACGTCTACTGCCACCACTATCGCTACTGCCAACGATGGTTGCAATCTTCTCTGCCATGCCCAAATCAGCCCTCCACGCGATGGCTCCCTGGATGTTCAGGCACGGGGAGCTCCGCGGCGGAGCCTGGGTGGTCATCGACCCCGCCATCAACCCGGACAAGATGGAGATGCACCTCGGTGGTCAGTGGGCTAGAAAGGGCCGTTTGGTACTTGGGGTCCTTAAATTCAACAAGGGATTGGCAGGTATCCGAAGCCCTCGAACCCTTAAAACCCTAAACCCGAAAACCCTAAACCCAGAGCCCTGCACACCCTGAAGCCATGGGCTTTAGAGCCCCAAACACGACAATGGGGGAAATCGAGAGGCCCTCCTCAGAAGGCCGAAGGCTGCCGACTGCCTCCCCTGGTGCTTCACTGGGTTTAGGGTTTGGGGTTCAAGGTTTAGGGTTTAGGGTTCAAGGTTTTGGGGTTTGGGGTTGGGGTTTTGGGTTTTGGGCTTGGGGGGTTTAATCAAAGGTATCTATGTTAGATTATGTTTGTCGTTCATATATTCCCCCCCCAAGGGAACATGTGACATGATGTGTTTGTGAATGGGTATGGCTTAGAGGTATCGCTCGGACCTACAGGCGGGTCCCCCACCTGCTGTTGCGGAGCTCGAAAGTCTCTGTGCGGGGTCGCCTGCGTAGTATCAGCGACTCAGCGACGTGGCTGATGCTGATTCAATTTGTGTGGCACAAACGGTTTGACGGCAAGGACATCTTGGCTTGGTGCTTGGGGCTTCATGTCCCTTTCGATTGAGGTGAGCCTGCGAAGCGGGCGAACGGCCTCTCGGTAGAAGCAGGACCGGGCGAGTCCATAGAAACATTGCGGAGAAGAGCGCAGAAGGCTCTAGCCGTGGCAGAGCACGGCTCTTGGGCTCCTCCGGGACCGTTCTGGACGAGGGGTCTGTTGTGTTTTTGTGGCCACCGTGGGCGACGGTTCTGTTGTTACTACTGTTGGAGGACTGTTGCGTGTTCATTTGAGATATGTGCTCCTTGGATATTTTTCTTTCTTTCTTATGGCCCTTGCAGCTTGCTTGTTGCTCCGCAGCCCTTCAAGCTAGGCACATAGGTCACGGGTCAATAGCTCGGAGGGAGAAAAGGCACGCAGTCTCTGCTTCGTGTGGCATGGGCGAAGAAGAGCTCTTCTCGCTAGATCTCCCAACATGTGATGCGACGCAGCTGGATCCAGAGGAGGAGCCCTTGACACCCACGCAGGTGGAGGCAGCAAGTCCGCCAAGTCCGCCGCCCGAGATTGCAAGCTCAGACTTCGAGAGGCCTCTGGAAGAGCCCTTTCCGCCCACGCACCGGGGAAGAAGCTGTAACCTCAGCTCCGCCAGCAGCTGTGGTTACAGCCTCTTCGCTGGAGACTGTGCAGACTCCAGAGACGCCACCCAGCCGCAAGAGACAGGTCCAGGGGGGAGCAGGAGCAGCAGACCCCTGCCACGAGCGCGCTCAAACGGCGCTTATGCAAAGCGATGGGGCTGGCAAGTCCTTCCCTTCTCGGCAGCCCAGACGCGAAGGAGGACCCCTGCATGACGGCTATGACAGCGTCATCCTCTCACGAGCACTCAGAACCTTCTCATCGCCCAGAGCCTTTGTCAATGCGGCTGCAGAAGGCGCTTGAAGAGAGACAGAGACAAGCGCAGCAACTCGTGGAACCGACGCCAGAAAAGTCCACAGTCTCCGCCCTAGAGGCAGCCATCTGTGAGATCCCGCTAGAGATGGGCAGCCTCAGGTCCTCCTGGCGCCTTGGCACCTTCTCAGCTAGCCACACGCCTTGCTAGCCACACCCCTGCCAACCACACCCCCCAGCTAGCCACACCCTTGATAGCCACACCCCTTGCCAGCCACACCCCTGCTCACCACACCCCCCTCGCTCGCCCCACGCTTGCCAGCCACACCTCTTTTGCTAGCCACCCCCCTGCTAGCCACACCGCCGCTCAAGAACGATCTGCGGAGTGGGCAAGTGCAGAACGCGTGGCTTGCGTACCTCGAAGCCTACATCGCCTTCAAGTTAGGTCGCTCGACTTCCAGTGGTGTATGTCACGAGCACTCCTGCTGTGGGCCGCTTGCTTGAGGGCACGGTGCATGGGAGAATGCGCTTGATTCAATCCACGGACTTGTTTGAGTCATCGGAGCTCCTCGGGCGCCTCCAGCGGCAAGGAAACCTACAGCCTCGAGTGCTCTGCAGCCGCGGCAACATCGGTGCTGCGCAACAGCTGATAAGCCCGTAGTGACGTAGCTGATGCTGAGCTTGTCTGCCCGGCTGAAGCTGGAGGGCTTGAGGTGACGCCCTTGTGAATGAAAAAACCCTACCTCAGAAACCCACACCCCATCAACCCTAAACCACCCTGAGCTACCCTAAACAGCAAGCTCGATGGAGGGCTGAGGGACTGTGGCCTTTGAGGCCTGAAAGTCCCAGCCTTTCCAGTACGGACAACACATCTCAGGCGCCTCAAAACCCAAAACTCAAAACACCTGAACCTCCAAACCCCATAGAGAGAGCAATTCCTGAATTCGGGGGGGCGTTTGGAGTCCCGATCTGGCTGATCCGCCTTCAACCCCAACATCCCCAAGTTTCCCGTTTATCCCCGCGTCTCTCAACTCAGATTTCAGTGGCTTGTTTAGTCTTTGAGGTTTAGAGGTGTAGCAAAATACTTTGAGCCTTAAACCGGCCCCAACTTACTAAACTCTCGAACCCCTCAACTCCTAAACCCTAAGCTCCTAGATCCTAAATAAACTCCTAGATCCAACGCTCCTCAACTTCTAATCCCTAAGCTTCTAGACCCTGCACACCACACCCCAACCCCCCCAAAAAAAAAAACCAAACTCTCCCAGCCGCCCAGGTATGCGGACGTGGACGCCCGGGGCGGAATCCTGGAGCCGCCGGGCATCGTGGAGGTGAAGTACCGGGCCCCGCAGCAACTGGAGGCGGCCTATTTTGAGGATTTGGGGCTTGGAACTTCTGGGATGAGGAATTGTCCCCCAATATGACACCTTTCTAAGGGATCACATCCCTTAAGCCCTAAGCCCTAAACCCTAAGCCCTAAAGGCCCTAAACCCTAAACCCTAAACCCCGCAAGCCCTGCACCTGCCCCGAAAACCTCCCACTGCAAGGCGATGCACCGCATCGATGCCCGGCTCAAGGAGCTGGATGCCAAGCTGCCGGGGAGCCCTGGAAGCGCTTCCCGGGGCCTTGTTTTGGTGTCTTTTTTTTTTTTTGGGGGGGGGGCGGGGGGGAGGCTTTTCGGGCTTTGAGTCCTCAAGCTCTCTAAACCCCGTGCTCAGAGACAATCCCGGCAAAAAATCCATACAAACCCAAGCCCTGAACCGCAAGCGCTCAAACCCTTAAACCCTTAAACCCTTAAACCCTTAAACCCTTAAACCCTTAAACCCTTAAACCCTTAAACCCTTAAACCCTTAAACCCTTAAACCCTTAAACCCTTAAACCTTAAACCCTTAAACCCTTAAACCCTTAAACCCTTAAACCCTTAAACCCTTAAACCCTTAAACCCTTAAACCCTTAAACCCTTAAACCCTTGAACCCTCAAAACCTTTAACCCTTAAACCCTCAAACCCTTAAACCCTTAAACCCTCAAACCCCTAAAGTCCGGGTTCTGGGGACACGCGCACGCGTATAGCCCGTGCCATCGTGCCATGCACTCCCAGTCCGAGTTTTTGGCGCCCTCCACAGTAGGGGGTTGGCTTGTGTTGTTCCATCTCCACTCAGCTCTCCGATGCCATTATTTGCTGAGGAACCCCGTAAAGAAACGCTAAACAAACCTTAGACTACTATTTGCCTAAGAGCCACCCCCAATACAAGACAAATAGTCTTCCTTATCAGGGCAATGCAGGGGTCTCTCCTTAAACGAATAGTAGGTTGGGAGCAGGTCCCCTCCCCGATCCCCGAAGGATTCCCCCTTTTTTTCCGAGGAGCGAGGGCGCGGCGAAGGCCGAGGTGGAGAAGGACATCAAGGCCGCTGGAGGGGGTTTAGGGTTTAGGGTTTAGGGTTTAGGGTTTAGGGTTTAGGGTTTAGGGATGTTCCCCCTTATACTAAGAGCCCTTCATAGGGATTGTAGTACAGCCTGTACGATAATCCCGATTAAGGACTCTTCGTATAAGGGGGAGCATCCCAAGGTAGAGTTTTCTTGACGGGGCCGGGAAAAAGGGAGGGAGGGGGGTTGAGGGGCTTTGAGTTGTTTAGGGTTCCAGGGTTTAGGGTTTTAGGGTTTGGTATTCGAGATTTAGGGCTTTTCAGGGTTTTTCCTGCTTTCGAGAAGTGTGCACATGTCCCCCCACCCTTGCTGGTTTAGAGAATCTTTTGGGGTGTGCTGCGGATTTGCTACCTAAAACGCCAGCAAGGTGCGCGAGAAGCAGCTGCTTCCGCTCTACACCTCCGTGGCGACGACCTTCGCCGACCTGCACGACCGCGCGGGCCGAATGAAGGCCTCCCGCATCCTCTCACCCCTTGCAAGCCCTAAACCCCCTTCTAAAGCCGCATTTCCCCCCCGCCAACCCCAAACACGAAACCCCAAGTAACCCCAAGTCTTCTGCCCACACTACTAAGCCTTTTTTCGTGGAAGCTGGGAGCGAATGAAGGCCAAGAATGTCATCCGCGACAGCATCTCGTGGAAGGACTCCAGGCGCTACTTCTTCTGGCGCGCGACGTGGGCGTGCAGTTTGGGCAGGCTTTGGGGTTTTAGGGTTCTCGGGGTGTAAGGGGTTTAGTGAGTTTAGTGTTTATGTGCTTCTAGGCATTCGCAATGTCGTCCGAGCGGGCTCACATGGACCGATAAGCACAGCAGCCCAGGTCAAGAGGAGGGTGATGCAGGACCACATGATCAGGCGCCTGCAGCATCTTGGGTGCAGTACCAAGCCTGAAACTCCTAAAGCTCAAGAAGCCCTAGACTGCCTAGTCCCAAAACTCCTAAACCCTAAAGATCCTAAAGGCCCAAAGACTCTTCACCACCTAAAGGCCGTAAACCTCCCCCAACACCCCAAAGCTGCAGCTTCCCAAGGAAGGCGGACGAGAGCCTGACCCACAAGGGCGCCGAGGCTCTGATCCAGAAGTGGGCCGCCGAAAGCGGCGTGGACCACAGCAGCGACGCTGGGCCTTAAGGTTCTTTTTAGGGGTTCTGGGGGGTTCTGGGTAGGGTTGAGGGATTGAGGGATTTCAAGGGCTGAGGGTTTAGGAGGATTTAGGGATTAGGGTTTGTGCGTCTAGGGGTTTTTTCCTGCTCCCAAGTTTAGGGTGTGCCTTCGCGCATTCTCCCTGGTCACTGATAGGCCGCCTGGTTCTTAGTAGGGAATGAGGGAACTCGAGTTCCTACATTTCCCGTGTAAGTGACAACATAGGGTATCCCTCATTCCCTCACTCCCTGCTAAGAACCAGCTAGTAAGGCCTGAGAGGATGCCATTCAAAGAACCATTTTTCAGAGGCCTTTAAAGGGCTGACCCACGGGATGCCTGGTGCTACCCTCATTCCTTCTCCCTGAGGTTTAGATGCAAGCTACTCATCGTAGTTTCTTTGCTTGTTGCAGGGTTGAAACCTTTTTTCTTCCTGGTGGAAGGGGGGGTTTAGGAGACCTAAAACATTTTGAAGCGAGGACGCGAAGATGGTGAGCTGGTTGGAGGCCCAGAACGTGGAGGCGAGGGCGGAGGCCCTTCGGACCTCCTACCTGAAGTCTCAGATCCAGGCGCTCTTCAGCCAGCTCCCGTCGGGCGAGCAGGGAAGCCTCCTTTCGAGCCTCAAGGCTTAGGGGATTTCTAAAAAAAAAATTAGCAGTTCTCGGGAGCACAGGTCCTCTACACAGCCCGTTACAAAGCCGGCTGTGGCCTTTGCAGCCCGGAGATTTTCCCTTAATTCAGCTCTGGCTGGAGGGAGGTCCACAGGTGGCCTTGAACACCTACACAGCAACTAGCCCTTGGCCTCCGAAAGCCTCCCCTCCGGCTAAGATTTTCGATGTACTTCGATGCACTTCGATGCACTCGATGCACTCGATGCACTCGATGCACTGGCGTGAAAGGGCGCCGGACTTCGCTTCTGCCATTTTGCTCCAGCTGCCTTTGGGGCAGCACTGGACGACCTCGCCGACAGCCGGTACGGTTGCAAGCTCTCCTTAACATTCTTCCCTACCTGGAGAGCTTGCGGGCGAGTCTCCATAAACACCTCCACGCATCTTCACCCGGCAAAACGAGCTTGCTCCAACGCACAGGGCGAGCACCTCTTCTCCCCCCCCCCCCCCGCTAAACCCTGAATTCCTAAACCCAAAATCCCTCAGTCGCCGAAGAAAAATGCCCCATCCCCGTCTGGAAGCCTTCTTAATACGTATTGTGATCAAATACAACAATATACATATATATATATATATACTACCATATATATATATATGTATTATATATATAATATATATATATATATATGTATATGCTGCCCCCCCAAAAAGATCTACCCTTTTTCATACATTTATGCCTGACTACACCCTACCTTGACTCTTTCTCAGCATGAGCACTATAAGAAATATCTGGTCTTTCAAAGTGATTACATAGAGCTACTGGAGGTGACACTCAGGCGTTCTCCTAGGCTTTCCGGTATAGGGATCAGGGCTAGGGCTACAGGTATTGAAATTCTTAACCCTAAAACCTTAACATGAACCCCTCCTGAGTTTAGGGTTTGTAAGTTTAGAACTGAGGCACTCCGACGTGCGTACAGGGTGCTGTTCAACACAAGTCTCAAACTCCAAACTCGGTCTCCGACTTAAGTACAGGGTGCGGTTCAACACAAACCTCAACCTGTATACCAAGAAACCTGAAGATCCAAGCATACTACAATTCTGAAGGCGCGCATTGTATCTGCACAAATGGTGGGTATATTCCATATCAGTGCAGCTCGTACCACAGAGCAACCCTACGTACCCCTTCAACTCAAAACCACCCTAAACCCTCTCTATACTAAGATATATCTTCGCAGTTTCGGTAGCATGCTATTTTCCTTTATTCTTACGAGACGTGTCTCTAAACAAAACCTTCTGGCTTACCTACCCCTCCAACTCAAAACAATCCTACACCCTCTCGCTATATTAAGATATAGCGGCACAGGTCCCGTAACATGCTATATCATTTCTTCTTGGGAGACGCACGACCACCTGAAGCACCCTGAAAACAATACTTTTTTGTAGCAAGGATGTGATACCCAGTTGCTTTGGACGAATGTCATATAAGACCTTATGTGCTTGTGAGTCTTGCGCTTTATGGGAAAATGAGCATTTCCTTGAGAAATCATACATGTTGTTCGTGAGGAACAAGCAGGCTCCAGAAGAGGATGTCACAGGATAGGGTGTAGCCATTTAGTACAGCCATCTAGGCAAATCTAAATGCGAACGAGGCCCGGAGGAGGATGTATTACAGTGAGGCCTGCGAATCTAGATTTTGAATACACTTATTACGAATGAGGCCGGAGGATTGCTTCAGAGGAAGAACTGGAAGGGTGTGGCCGTTCAATCCAAATTTCAAACTCGATTGAGACTTGAATTTGATGCGGCCGAAAGGCTTTCCGCACCAGATCATGGGGGGGAGTGAGCATATGTATATATGTATATATATGTATATATATATATATAGAGACACTTTTTCTGTATAACATGCAGTAAAACTTGATACGATATGTATATATATATATATACACAATTGTATACCACGTATAACTACCTAAGTACATAAATACCAAATGAATAGAAAAACTATACGTATATGGATATGTATATGTATATGTACATGCCGGGTTTAAGGTTTAGGGTTTAGGGTTCAGCCCCACCACGGCGATTGAGATTCAGCAGATGCCTGACGCTTGCAACCCCGAGTCGAGGGTTTAGGGTGTGAAACGGCTTCGCGGATTTTCGGGCTTTCAGGGGCCTGCGCCTTTCTGAGCCCGCCCCGCTCTCCAAGCTGTTCTGGCTCGGTCCGCGCACAACTCTCAAGCAGCAAGACCCACCGCCCACAAGCCATACCTTGTAGTCTTAGGGTCCCGAAGCCCAAAACCGTAAGCTTTATTCCCAAACCCGGTAATCCCAGGCTGAAAAACCGTACACCCTAAGAACATGAATCCTAGCAAGCAAAACCCCTCCTACACACTGCAAAAATACCCCGCCTGGGTCCTTAAGGCTGAGGGTCCAAGGCCCTAAGCCTTAAATTTAAACCTTCAACGTCCCTAAACCATAAACCCGAACACCATGCACAAAAAACTAAACCCTAAAACCAAAACCCTAACTAACCCTGAACCCTAAACTTAACTAGCCCAAACCCTAAATCCAAATCCTAGCTAACCCTAAACCCTAACCCCTAAACCCTAATTCGCCCTAACTAACCCTAAACCCTGACCCCTAAACCCTAACCCTAACTAACCCTAAACCCTAAGCCCTAACCCTAACTTAACCCTAAACCCTAAGCCCTAACCCTAACTTATCCCTAAACCCTACATGTTGGATTCAGATCCCGGCAAGTTCGCGCCATGTGGGGTCAAGCTCGGCCATGGCTGCTGACGGCGGTGCTGTGGACCGTGGGCATGAGGAGCGCCTGTGGTAGGGTTTAGGGTTTAGGGTTTAGGGTTTAGGGTTTAGGGTTTAGGGCTTGGGGCTTAGGGTTTAGGGTTGAGGGTTGAGGGTTGAGGGTTGAGGGTTTAGGGTTTAGGGTTTAGGGTTTAGGGTTGAGGGTTGCGGGTTGCGGGTTGAGGGTTGAGGGTTGCGGGTTGCGGGTTGAGGGTTGAGGGTTTAGGGTTTAGGGTTTAGTACAAAGCTGAACTCGAGGCCCTCAACCCCTTACACCCTTCCAAATCTCAAAGTCCACAAGCCTCCGAAACCCTAAACCTCCGAAATCGCTGAACAACCCTCAAAGTCCGAACTGCCAAACCCTTAAACCCGATTCCCCCAAAGCCTTACATCCAAAAACCTCCAACACCCGTGAACCCTTCCGAAGAAGGAGCGCCCGAAATGCTAATTGGAAGTGGGGCCCTGGAGTTTCCCCCGAACTGGGTTTTAAAGAGCTGTTGGGGCCTTTAGGGCTTTGGAGGGCGTTTAAGGACTTCAAGAGTTTTAAGGGTTTCAAGGGTTCCAAGGGGTGTTAAGGGCTCTTAAGGATTTTGAGGGTTTCAGGGTTTGGGGACTCGGAAAGCCTTGGGGAGGATGGAGGCGATGATCTGGAGCCCCAAAAGTTGGGCAAAGAGACGCCTCTCGGCTCCGCATGCTTTCGGGCTTCGGGGGCCTTCAGGGGGTTGCGAGTGCCATGGTACCCCCTAAACCCTAAACCCTAAACCCTAAACCCTAAACCCTAAACCCTAAACCCTAAACCCTAAACCCGCAACCCTCAACCCACCCTAAACCCTAAACCCGAAACCCTAAACCCTTTCCCCTGAAAGCACCCAAGAGGCCCCCATTCAACTCGAAGCGCCCCCCCCCCCCCCCCCACAAGCCTCGCAGGTCCGCGGCCGACGTGTTCACCAAGGTGCGCATCTCAAATCGCATGGGCAGCTGTGGCTTCCAAAGGGCTTTTGGAAGCGCGCTTAGAGGGTGAAGAAGGGTGAAAAAAGGGTATGGTCTGCTTGGGGGCTTTGCGGGTGCCGAACAAAAAACTGAGACCTCAACAGCCTATAGATCATACAGAAGCCTTCCGAGACCCAGAACCGCCCCGATGGGTTTTGAGTTTCGGGTGTAGGCTTCAGACTCTTGGAGGGCCATTTAGGGGCTTTGAGCATTGGTTTTCTTTGGACGAAGGCGTTGATTTGCGATGGCTGTTTGTCGCATGATTTCATTGAGCACCATTTCGCCCACATTCGAAGGAACGCTTGCTGAACAGGGTTTAGGGTTTCGGGTCCAACCGCAGAACGCTGAACCCTAAAGTCCAAGACAGATCCCTGCACAGGCCTGCAGTGAGGAGGAGGGGTCCTCTTCACACGGCTCGCCGCTTCGCAGCTGCAAAATGCCTGGCCTACTACCCTGCCCCCTATGGCCCTGAAACCCGAACAACTCTACGAACTCCAACAGGTCCCAAGGAGCCCTATGATCTGCCCTTATAGTTTCAAAGTCAAAAAAGCTCCCCTTCAAGGCCTAGAGTTGTTCGGGATTTGTAGGGTTGAAAGGTTTTTGGGGCTTAGGGATGAAGGGCTTAGTCGCTTGGGATATTTCGGGCTAGAAACCTTAAAGGGAGTTATGTAGGGTCCCTAGTCCTGAGCCCTTAACCCTACGCCCTGAACCCTAAACCCTAAACCCTAAACCCTAAACCCTAAACCCTAAACCCTAAACCCTAAACCCTAAACCCTAAACCCTAAACCCCAAACCCTAAACCCCAAACCCTAGGCCCTGGCCTGTCTAAGCAAGAGCCTAGGCTGGTGCCTCTCACGGTCCTGGCCTGGATCCTCACGCCGCCCGTCCGATGGACTCTGAACACTTGGGGGGGGGCCTTGGTTCGTTCGGTTGGGGGGGTTTAGGGTTTAGGGTTTAGGGTTTAGGGTTTAGGGTTTAGGGTTTAGGGGGTAGGGGGTATGGGGAGGAGGTAAGGAGGTAGGAGCTGGGTCGAGGCTCAGGCATTCCTCTGCGTTTTGCTCGGGACCAAACCGGAAGTCCGAGGCTTCAAGCCCCCAGAGCCCTACAAACCCCAAACCTGCAAACCCCCTTAAACCCCTGTTCAGCCCTTATAAGCCCTTATAAGCCCGGAAAGGCCCCGTAAACGCGAGAAAGCCCTTCCCTAAACCCTTATAAACCATGAACCCGCAGAAGCCTCCAGGTCGATCTCCACCTTGATGGTCAACAAGCGCCCAGACCTGCACAGCTTTTGAAGCCTCGGAAAAAGCGCAAGAACAGCAGATTCTTTTTTTGGCAGGGGGGGGTTTCGGGTTCAGGTTTTTCTGATTCAGGGTTTTAGGGTTCAGGGGTTCGGGTTTGGGGGGTCATTTTTCCATTGGGGGTTTTGGGATTTACGTTTCAGGGTTTAGGGTTTTGGGGGGTGTTAGGGTCAAAGCTTTAGGCTGGCTCCACGAAGTTCGGGCTCGGGCCGGCGAAAGCACCCTAAACCCTCAACCCGGGTTCCGAAACTATATCATGGTTGCACATAGGGTCTGTAGGGTGGTTCGGGTTTGCAGGGTTCAGGGTCCCGAGAGAGGGGTCTCGTACATGATGCTGATGTGAGGGTGAGAACGGGGTTCCGAAGCCCACAGACTGCCATGAACGCGCAAGCCCCATCCCCCTGAACCCTGAACCCTGAACCCTGAACCCTGAACCCTGAACCCTGAACCCTGAACCCTAAACCCTAAACCCTAAACCCTAAACCCTCATAACAGCCGAAAGAACTTGTCGTCGCAGGTCTGGGCGCAGGGCTTGGAAGCTGGGGGGAGCTCCGGGGCTTGGGGGCTTGGGGGTTTAGGAGGTCTCTTTTGGGATGTTCCCCCTAAAACTAACAGTCCTTAATCGGGATTATAATGAGGGGTACGATAATCCCTATTAATTAAGGACTGTTGGTAGACGGGAACGTCCCAAGGTATCTTAACCGCGGGGGTGCACTTTCCTATTCAAGATGCCAGATGTCATCTGGACTAGCGAACTCTCTTCACCTTTCGGCTTGGGATTTCTGGTAGTTCGGTTGTGCTTTTGGTATGGACTTCCCAGGAGCAGCTAGCAGGAACTAGCAACTTGAGCAACCTGCGGCATTCCAAGCTCCGAGCGGAGGAGCCTCCGAAATTGCCTGAATCTCAACCAAGGCCGGTGGCGCATGCAGGCTTGCTGCAACCTGCGAGTAGCGAAGCTGGACATCTCCGTACGGAAGATAATGCGAAGCAGCTACATCTGGGCGGCTTCTGGAAAAGTATGGGTGCTTTTGGGTCGTTTTACAAATAGGAATCGCAAAAGGACCCTCGTTCAGAAAGCCGACGCCCTGAACCCTACAAGGGCCGCCTTCCTCACCTGAGTTTGCGTTAAGTGCGTGCCTAGCTATAAGTACGCCCACTGTCTTCGCGCATGCGTCAGACGAGTAGTCTAAGCGCACTTCTTGTCGAGGGTTGGCCAGCCGTTTACATGCCCTCCGACAATGCGTGTTTAGGCCATGGCCGGGTCAGTTTTGAGGGCCTCCGCAAGTTTCCCGGCCCTAAAGGGTTTCAGGATGCATTTTGGCCTTGGCCAGCCCTCCGCTGGTTGTCGCATGTGCCACCAGCCAGGGAACCAGCATGCTTTTGGCCCACACGTGCAGCATTTTCTAGGACTTCGAAAACGCACTTGGACAATTTTAGGGGCTGGAAAGCTGCGCAAACTCTTCCTCAAGCAACACCGGGTCGCATTGCAACTTGTAAACGTGCATCGTATTCAGACCCTGCAAAATGCAGAGTCCGCTTGACAAGCAGATTGCAAGCTCTGTTCAGAAGCTTGGCCTGGGGCAGACAGCTTGCAAACTTCCTTTGGCAACAATATTCATCTCACTTGCATCATCCTGCCTTTCTCCAGAATACAGCTTGATGAACATGGCCGCCTCCAAGAGCATCTAGCTCACGCAACGGGGAGGAGAACCCTGGACCCAGAGCGTTTTTCAAAGTCCCATTAAAGGGTCAGGTAAGTGGAAATACCGGATTCCTTAATTATGCAGGAAGCGCCGCTACGCTCATCAGATTCCTAAACGCCCCTAGACAATGCAGATCAATAAAGGTTGAACCTTGAACCAGACCTTAGTTTTGTAGTCAACTCTAGATGGCTGCCTGCCAATTCGGGTGTAGGGGTTGATGGGTTCAGGGGTTTAGGGGTTTAGGGTTCAGGGGTTTATGGGTTTAGAGTTGTGGGGTTCCGCCCAATCCCAGGCGGCTCTTCAGTGGATCACGGTTTCCGTTCCCGCTGCTCCTGCTTCTGATACACCAAGGCAGAAGGTTGTTTTTTTTTTTTAAATGGGCCGGCCGTAAAAAATCCCTGAGCCTCAGTCCATGACGGAGCATTTGTTTGACACTTGTTTGACCCTGAACACTACAGGGGAAGCCGATACGAAGGGTCGACCAGAAGCGCGCGTGCAAGAGACTTTGGGGTTTGGGGGTTCAGGGTGCTATGCCTTCGGAGTTCTCCGTTCTATGGAGCTTGCATGACCTGCTGCAGGTCTACGGAGGCAGAAAACGTTTAGGAATTTAGAGCATCTAAGTACAGTTGTATTTCGATTCTAACCACAGCTCCCGGCAGTATGCCAAGCTGAACTACTTGAGCTGTAGCCCCAGTTGTCATCCCGAAGTACCCTTAAAACCTCCAACCTAAACTCTAAGCCCTGCACGCCTGGGGAGGCTGTTTTGCGGTGCTGTTGACCGGCTGCAGGTGGGAAGTGATCCAGAAATGTTGCGGGAGAATTTTTATCACAAACGTCTTGACATGTCAGGGCATTCGCCCCAAATACCGGGGTAATTCTGCAAAGCTCGATGGCTGAAACCCCCCTACTCTCGACCCAAAACCCGAAGCCCAAAGCTCAAACGCGGTTCGTCATGGGCCTTGAACGGTCTTGGGGGGTTAGGCGGGTGATAGAACCGCACCCCGCCCCCCACCCATGCTTCAGAAGGATTGAAGGGTTTTGGTTTTAGGATTTAAATGTTTTGGGTTTGGAGAACCGGGGTGGGGGGGGGGGGGGGGCCCCTGTCCCCGTTGTCCCCTGACTATAGGGCTTATTTGGGCTCACTGTTGTTTTTTTGGGGAGGATGGGCCCTTGTCAAGGAAGGGCGCAGCGGAGTTTGAGGCTTCAGGGTTTGGGACGTTTAGGCCCTTCTTGAGTTTAGAAACTGAACGAAAAACGGGGCAATAATTCCCCCAAATCACCGCAAGGCCAGGGTGTCGGCGTTTAATTTGGCCCGGTTCAAGGTGCCTCGCGCCGTCAGCAGTCCTCAAGGTGGCGGCTGGGCAGCACATCAGCGGTGGTTTAGGGTTTAGGGTTTAGGGTTTAGGGTTTAGGGTTTAGGGTGTGGATGTTCGAGGTTCCTCCAGGCTTGGGGCTGTTGATTTTTGAGGCGGTTTAGAGGTTTGCAATCTTGGGGTCCCGGGATTGATCAGGGTATATCAGGGTCTTTGTTGAAGATTTCAGAGGCTTAAGAAGCTTCTTGGGTGCTGAGTAGGTGACCGTGAACCTCTGAAGGCTACGGCAAAGCTCTGCTTTGAGCCGTTTAGGGGTTTGGGGCTGATAGAGGGTTTAGGGTTTAGGGTTTAGGGTTTAGGGTTTAGGGTTTAGGGTTTAGGGTTTAGGGTTTAGGGTTTAGGGTAGGGTTTCAAGAGTTCGGATTTCAGAGTCTCAGGGTGTAAAGGGGGGTGAGGGCGCTTAGGCGCGAATAAGCTTGGCCCCCCCAATATGGCCTTCCAAAGCCCCAAGCGCGTTTGCCATCCACACGGCCCGTCAACCCCAAAATGCCCCCAAAACCCCCTCCAAAAAACCCCTAAACAATCCCCCCCCAAAAACCCTAGGAAGCAGGTCATCAACAATTTTCCAGGCAGGGCAGGCCCCCCGAAAAAAGCAGCTGAAGGTCATGCCGGGCTTCGCCAGCGTCAGCCTCCGGGCTTGGCTCCGCCAGTACCTCCTCCTGGGCCTGCTCCAGGCGGGAGAACACGAGAAGGCTTCTAGGGGTTGGGGCCTATGTAGGGTTTAGGGTTTAGGGTTTAGGGTTTAGGGTTTAGGGTTTAGGGTTTAGGGTTTAGGGTTTAGGGCTTAGATTTCAGGCTTTAGGGTTTCGGGTTCAGGGTTAGGGTGAATTTCGAGGGTTTCAGGCGGGAACCACGAAGGCTTCTAGGGGATTAGGGGTTTAGGGTTGAGGGTCATGTGGGTCTGTAGGCTATGGGGCTATAGGGCTTTTGGGGCTTTTAGGGTTGTTAGAGTTCAGGGTTTAGGAGTTGAGGAGGGTAGGGTTTCGTGGTTTTGGGGGCTACGAATTACCTGCCCCCGCGAAATTCCAGACCGGAAAGCCCTCAAACACTCTGTGAATTCTTCACCCCCGTTTGCCCCATGCCCCTTCCCCCTCTCCCCCCCTCCCCCCCTCCCCCCCCCCCCCAAAACAAAAAGGTGTATACCCTACACCAAATTTAGGGCTTTAGGGCTTTGGGTTTTGCCGCTTTTGGGACCCGGAGAGGTGGTATAGCTCCCCAAGCGCCTGGGAGGCTTTGAGCATGGGCCTTCAGAACAAGGCGTGCCCCCTGGTCTTTGTGTGGCTTCCAGGCATGTCTTTGGTTTGAGGGTTGAGGGTTTAGCTAAAACCAGGACGCCTCAACCTGCTGAACTTACCCCCTGAACCCTGAACCCTCCCTGGATCCTATAACCCAAAACCCGCACATCCCTCCCTCCCTCCCTCCCCCGAAAGTCCCCAAGACTTCTCTTCAATCTCTAAACCTCCTAAACCCGCAAACTTCCCAAGTCCTTTGAGCCCTTACCAACAGCCCTGAGCCCTAAGTCATCAAGCTCCCTTGGAGCCTTCAGCTGTGGGAAGCCGCTCCTCTACAACCCTCAGCCCTGAACGCCCTCTGCCCTGAAAGCCCATCCGAGTTTCCAGGCGCTCTCGCTTGCCCGGGAACCCAGCTTTGGGCATGCTCCAGTCTCTGAACTCCTGAACCCGCGACCCTGGACCTCCGCCCTAAACTCTAAACCCTATAGCCTGGGCGGGGCGCTCCCCCACCAGTTCCTCGACCGGTCACTGGCATGCTTTACGTTTCCCTCCCAAGTCGGGATGGCGCGTGCAGAATTTTTTCTGCATAGGCGTTCGTTCCCCCAGCCGGCTGCGGGGTTTTTGTTCCCCCACGCAGTTTTCTCCGCAGCGAGTTACATGCTTGCAGATCCTGGAACCATTCTCTAGCTTCAGGAGTGCAAGCCTAAAACGCCAGCCCTGAAAGCTGATCAAGCTTCAAGTGCCTTGGGTAAGCCGCCCCCACAAACCCTAAGCCCTCGACCCTCAGCTCTCCAAGACCTTCCCAACAGGCTCTAAGTCTTCCGGCAGAATCCTGAAGCCCGTGTTATAACTCCGATAGGTTCTTGGGGTTTTGGGGTTCAGGATCTAGGGCTTGCAGAGATCTCTGAGCCCAAGGCCTGAAACAATGAACCCCAAAACCCGAAGCACTCAGCACACTCGAGCCCTAACAGCGCCCGCAGGTCAGCGCGCACGCGGTCATCATGCTGTCGGCTTTGCTCTTAGGGGAAGGAGGGGGGGGGTGCCAGGATCGAGGGTTTCTTCCACAGCTTCAAGGCCCACAAAACCGAAACCCCCAAAGCCCTCTGTGAAGTTTGGGGTCACTTGCAACAGAGGGCTCCGCGGCCCCACACGCGCAAGCCCGAAACTCCAAAGCTCTACAACCCTATCGGCCCCCTAACCCCCTACATCTTCACACCCTTGGCCCAACACCGGAAGGCCCCGAAATCCCAAACCCTCCTGAGACCCATCAAAACCTCAAACATCCCCAAAATCAGGACTCTAAGCCGGTTACCAGTATCCCTTACAACTCCTCTTTGCATGTTCAAGAAAAATTACACAGACACTTCCCGAACTGCCCGTTCGAATTGAGTGGGCATAAACCCTAAACCCTAAACCCTAAACCCTAAACCCTAAACCCTAAACCCTAAACCCTAAACCCTAAACCCTAAACCCTAAACCCTAACCCTAAACCCTAAACCCTAAACCCTCAACCCTAAACCCTAAACCTTAACGTCCTTCGAGAGCCCTAGCTGCGACAAGCGCTCCAGGCCTCCAAGCCGGTGCTGGTGGCCTTGCTGCAGGCTCCGAGCGTTTTGGGTTTGGGGTTTAGGGTTTAGGGTTTAGGGTTTAGGGTTTAGGGTTTAGGGTTCAGGGTTTAGGGGTTCGGGGTTAGGGGTTCAGGGTTAGGGTTTGGGGTTCAGGGTTTAGGGTGTAGGGTTTATAGGGTTGAGGGTTTGCAGGTTTAGGACCCTCAACCGCAAAGCCCCAAGCCCTGAACACCAGTGCGCCCTGGACCCTAAATTCTGGGAGCAGCCTGTCGCTCTCGTGAGGCGGCCCTGAAGCTCGCTTCTTTCACGGGCACCCAGCTCAAGGCCCGGCTAGGACACCCTAAGCCAGGCCACAAATAAGTTATGATTTCTTTGGGTCCAGGCTTTAGAGGATTAGGAATCCGGAGTTTTTGGGGGTTTCGGGAGTCCAAGCTTGTAGGTTTTGTTATGGATGACGCTGGGGCATCCGGTGCTGCTCTTCTTGGCAGAGAAGTCCCTAACGTGGCCCTTGGGGGCCGCCTAACGAGCTCTTCCTCGCCCCCCAAAGCCTCGGCTGGGGTTTAGGCTTTAGGGTTTTATAAGGCCAAGGTCCCCTTGAAGCTCCAAACCCCGTGAGAGGCGCTTGTGTGCGTGACGCTGGGGGTCTCGGCTTCCGTCACCGGGGAAGTGCCGCTCGGACTCCAGGGTAAAAAAAGGGTGAAAAGGGTCTAGGGGGCTCAGGACTCTAGCATTGGTCCTGCGAAGACATATGCCCCAAAGCCACCCAATTGCACTTCACTCCGAGCCGAAACCAGAACCAGACAAACCGAAGCAAGAAGAAAGCAATTCCTCAGCACTGCCCCCCAAGCCGGGGGAGGCCTTGGGACACTTTTGAAACAAACACTGATTGGACGCTTTGGGCACTTTGGACACTGGGACGCTTCAGCACAGCTGGGGCCCGGACAAAGGCTCCTGTGGCTGGGTTTTCCGTTGAAGCTACTCCACGTCTCCACGTCGAAGGGGCTTCTTTCATCGAACAGTTTTCTGGAATCGTGTTGGGTTCGCAGCAAAGGTTGAAAGGGTCTCACTGAGTGCCAGACGACCCCAACAAAAATGTTAATACTAGCATATTACTATCTTAAAATATAGTTTTGAGAGTTTTTGTGGTAATCATAGTATATTGTTGTCTTAAAATATAGGGCGTGTTTTGAGTCTAGGTGCTTGGCGTTTTGGAGTCATGTTGTCAACCCAAAGCCCTCACTCCGATTTTGGAGGGTGTTGAACTCTTGGCGTGCGCCAGTGCAGAATTTCAGCCGTGTCGGTGCTTGTGATGCTGAGGGTCGTTTTGGGGGCTTGGGGTTCAGGGTGGCTTTGGGGGGCTTGGCGTTTAGGGGCGGGCAGAAAACGAATGACGCAAGCTTTGGTCTCTCTGTTTTGCTGGCGGGTTCCGGGGCTTCCCTGCAACCCTGAACGCAAGAACTAAAGACCCCCGGAACCCCGAACCCTAAAACCCGAAACTAAAACCAAGAAAACCATCCCAAGGAGCATGTCCCTTCATGGCTTCGTCTTCCTCTTTGGGGCGCAGGCAATCAGGGTGCTGCAGGGTCTTCTTCGGGCTTAGGGGCTCGGATTTCGGGAGTCGGGCCCTTGAAGGCCTCGGGTTCAGGGTTTCTTAGGCTTAGGACCCTTTTGGGTTTAAGGGTTTCAGGGTTTAAGAGTTTCAAGCGCTTAAGGTTTCGGGGGTTTAAGGGGTCCTAAACCCCCCCTTGAGGTCCTTCTCTTGCCGTCTGTTCCGAAGAATTGCGCGCCTCGAAGCCTTTCAACCCCCCAGGTTTTAAACCCCCCTCAACCCTCAACCCTACTAACCCTCAGCAACCTCCGAAAGCCCCTGAGAAACCGACCCTGAGGTGACCGAGGCGATGCGCATCGTCCTCATGCAGCACCTCTTAGAGGACTGAGGGGGGGGAGTTCCAGGTGTGGGGTCCCTCGACGTCAGGCCCCTCTACAGGGGTTCGGTCCTACCGTCACTTCGTGCCGAGACGGGAGTTGTAAGAACTCGGGGCTTTGGGCACAGGAAAGGTGGACATGTCTGTATAGCCGGCCCTAAACCTCAAGCCCTCAGCCCTCAACCAAAGCAGCCCAAGGTCGGAAGCCCTAGAGATTCCAGACCTCAGCGGTGGGAGCTCCACCGTTCTCTTTAAAAAGGGCGCTTGAAGCCATAGTTGGGTGAAGCCTTGCGTGAGGTTCTTATAACCTGAGTAGTTATGACTACCCATGAACATCCAAAGGGGCTTCTCGCGGCTCTCAGGTCCTAGATGGCAGATGCTCAGCCCCGAACTTGGAAACCCCTCAGCCCTGAACCCTAAATTCGAAGCCCGGTTTCTGCCCAACATTCTCAAACTCTTGCATTCTCAAGCTCGCACCCTCCTGAACTCTTCAGTTCCAAGGCCGCCCGCGAACTTGGCTCCAGAGTATGGCGTTTTGGGGGGTTTAGGGGCTTTGGGGTTTAGGGTTTAGGGGTTGTGGGTTTAGGGTTTAGGGTTTAGGGTTTAGGGTTCAGTTGGCCATGCATGTGGGAGCCTTGCTTACGGTCTAGGACTCCGCCAGCAAGCTCGATGCCGGGTCCTCAGCCGTCGGGCTCGGGTTGCTCTGAGTTTGGGGCCCGCTTTGGGTTCCCGTTGAGGTTTAGGATTTCCGGCGTTCCGGTGCTTTCACGAGAGTTTGGGACATGAGGCGTGGCGCCCTGAGCCCCACATCCCAACCTAAACTCGACGCCTTCAATGCTTAAGAGCCCGGTATGGATTCCAAGACTTGTTTTCCTGCCCCAGTGGGGTGAGGGGGGCTGGGAGGAGAGGTGCGTTGCGGTGTTCCAGGGATTGACGAGTTTGGGGGTTTGGGGTCGTGGGGTTAGGGCTTTAGGCCTCTAGGGACTTAAAGGTTCTGTTGACCAAAAAGAAGCTGTACATGTATGTGTATATGCATGTACGTATTATGTGCAGTACGTAGGTAGAGGCCCAGGCAGGTTTGGGGCTGTGGGGACTTTAGGGTATGTAGGGCTTCAGAGTGTTTAGGGGCCTTTAGGGATCCTTTGGGTTTCGGACTCTCTTCGAGGTGTTGACGCTCCTGTCGCTATCATCGCCAGCCTGCGTGCTTTTGCTGACGCCGCCGGGCTGCACACAGGGCTACCCTAAAGCCCTAAGCCTAATCTAATGACGTACAGGCAGATGCCGCTATCCAAAGTGCTCTCAACCCTGAACCGCAACCCCCCCACCCGAAGATCCTAGAGTCCTACATCCTAAGCGCCTTAAGTTTAAGCCCTGGGACCCTAAGGCCCTGAGATCCTCACGCACGAAAACTCAACAAAGAAGGAGACCACAAACATCCCTCCTGCATAGAAGCATGCAGGGCGCGCTCCTTCTTTTCCTGCGACGATGCGAAGCATTATCCAAGGTTGCCACAAAACAGCAGCGCAACCCCAGCCCTGAATACTAGCAAAGAAGCACCTGGCGTACGGCCTGTGCAAGCTAGCAAAATGAAGGAAAGAGAAACAACCTTCAAGGAGACTAGGGTGCACTGCAAAATGTGAATCCCCTTCCCAATCTTTGTGGGAGGCTGGGAAATAGAAACAAGAGCTCACCCAGGAGACCCAGCTCTCTCCTTGACCAAGAGAGCAGCCATCAGAGCTCGAGAGCGAAATGCTGCAGACACAAACACTACAAGCAATGCGCAACCCAGCCCGCAAGTGACAAGCGCGAGACAAGAAGCATCCAAGCACGAAGCAGCCCTGCTACACGCAAAGACCGAGAAAGACCCGCGTGCTCAGCAATCCCACTTTGCTGCACGTGCGCGTGCACTCCGCGAACCCTGAACCGCGGCTACATGCAGATGAAACCCTAAACCCTAAACCCTAAACCCTAAACCCAAAACCCGAAACCCGAAACCCGAAACCCGAAACCCTGAACCCTAAACCCTAAACCCTCAACCCTCAAAACCCAAAAGGGGGGAAGAAGTCCCCTCCTTAAGCTTAGCTGCGAGCTCTGGGGAGGCCTTGGGCCTACTTCCTGGAGCTGCGTGGCCAGGAGAGGGGGGGCATTGTTGGGAAGCCTTGAGGGCGCTTTTAGGGGGGGTTTAGGGTTTAGGGTTTAGGGTTTAGGGTTTAGGGTTTAGGGTTTAGGGTTTAGGGTTTAGGGTTTAGGGTTTAGGGTTTAGGGTTTAGGGTTCTTCAGAGGGCGCTTCGGGGGGGGGTTGGCAGGGAGGGAAGGGAGGTTTAGTTGGGGGTGTTAGGGGAGGCTTATGAGGGGGTTTTGGGGAGGTTCAAGGGGATTTAGGCGTTGAGCGGGGCACTTTGAGTCGTGACAACGCAAGCAAAGCCCAAAAAGAGCCCTCCCAAGCCCTACATCCTAAGTCTCGTCTGAAACCCCCACTCCGAAACCCCAAACCCTCAGCCTGAGCCGGCGTTGTTGCTGAGTGTCAGGACTTGTCGACAATGCCCTCGTTGCTTTCCAGCGGCATTCTCGCCTGGGGCTCTTTGCATGTGGCCAGGAGTTCCATGGGTGTTTCGGGCCCTAGATCCGAAGCCTGAAACCATAAAACCCTAAACCCTCAAACCCTAAAACCCTGAACCTCAACCCTAAAACCGTGAGCTTAAGGTTTAGGATTTGTGTTTAGGGTAAATTAAGTTCCTCAACAAGAACCCACGGAAATGCTTCAAGTGCACTTCGAGAGGTTTTGGGAGGGTGGAGTTCTACACTACACCGGGTTTCGGGGCCCAAGACTCCAGAACCTATAAAGTTCGGGGCCACGGAAGAGTCGCCGCCTAGGTGAGCACGGTCTTGGCCTTCGGTGTTAATGCCTGGACCTCAGGAGTTGAGGCTTCACAGGGCTAAGGGTGTTCAAGTGGTCTAGGATGTTCTGGAGGACTTGAAGGGTTCAGAGCTCTCGGATTCATAGGCAGGTGTTTGTTCCCCACCCTCGGTGTGAGCTGTTAGATTTTAAGCTCAACTCTTCTCCACGCCCGGTCTGCTTCAAGTGCCCAAACCTAGAGTGTCCCTGGAGTGTCCAACCTCAGAGTGTTCCTGGAGCGTCTCACCCCAGAGTGTCCTTGGAGTGCCCACACCAAGAGTATCTCTTGCCAGAGAGGGTGTGGATGTTCGAAGTAAAATAAATTTAGGGCTTAGTGGTTGAGGGATTGAAGGTTTTCGAAAACAGGTCTCTGCCGCACTAGTGACAGGCTTCCCTTTGTTCCACTCCTTTGAAGGGATTGTGAATTTTAAACCCGCAGCCCTCGAGACCTCAACCCTGAAGCAGAAGAAGCTACTCGCACTCAGTGGCTACATCCCTCCCCTCCTTGGGGGCGCAAGCTCCCAAGCCCTCTAAGACTGCACCCAAAGCCTTACGACTCTGCACCCCATAAGCAGAACCAAGCCCTTAAATCTTGAAACCCCAAGCTCTCGCCCCGTAAGCCCCTGAACCCGAATCAACACTCCCCCAAAGCCCCTAAAGAGTCCCCCAAAAAGCCCCGCAGAAGGCCCGGAGATGCAGGGAGCCCCACCTTGTCAAATCCTTTGAGGTGCTGAGCGCGCAGGTGGTCAAAGTTACCGGCGCGCTGTCACTGGTGCTGCTCGGCGTGGTGAAGGCCGCCAAGGTTAGGGTTCTTGTTGGGTTCTAAGGTTTAGGCTTAGGGTTTTTGGTCGGTTCTGAGGTTTTTTTTGGGGGGGGGGGGGGCCGGCGGGGAGGGGGCCTGTTGCCTCGGAAGAGAATCCTCCAACGAGGGCGCGTTGAGTGACTGAGTGACTGGGTCCGCGGGCTGCTCTGCACGATGTCTCTTCCCTATAAAGCATGAACCCCAAACCCTGGTCTCCAAAGTCCCGCAAGCTTCCAACCTTCAAAGTCAACTTACGGCGAGCCCACCTCATGACTCTGAACGTTGGAAGCCCACACTGTTGACAGTCAGTGTTGGGGAAGCCTACCCAACAGAAATGTGGTGATACTTGCGAACCCTTAGCCCTAAGCCCACCCCTGGAGTGCTAGAGGGGGGAAAAAGGTTGCACCCAGGCCTCGGATAGGACACCTTCCAGGACCCGAAACCCTAAACCCTAAACCGTAAACCGTGAACCGTAAACCCTAAACCCTAGACCCTAGACCCTAAACTCTAAACCCTAAACCCTAAACCCTAAACCCTAAACCCTAAACCCTAAACCCTAAACCCTAAACCCTAAACCCTAAACCCTAAACCCTAAACCTTCAGCCCTGAACCCTGGAGAGGACTTCATGGGAGTGTTTCTCTCTGCTTGGCTCTTCGCCGTGCCGCTGAGCATCATGCAGGCTTCTGGGGGAATGAAGAAGCGGCGCCTTCTTCAGCTTGTTCGGGTTTAGGGTTTAGGGTTAAGGGTTTAGGGTTTAGGGTTTTAGGGTTTAGGGTTTAGGGTTTAGGGTTTAGGGTTTGGGGTTTAGGGTTCAGGGTTCAGGGTTCAGGGTTTTCTTTGAGCCGCTGCAGGTGCTTGGCTACTCCGTGGCCGTCATGTTCATCAACGTGTACAAGGTGCAGCTTCTGGGGGTCGAATCCAGCGCTCGTGGGCAGTTTCTGGGCTTCTCTTACAGTACGGTATAGGGTCAACCTCCACACAGCCCTGCACCCGAAGTGCCCAGAACCCTAAACGCACGCACGGTGTAAGCTGTTGGGTTCTTGTGGCTGGGAGATCTCTTGCCCGAAGCCCTCCTCGTCACAAATTTTGTAAACCCCGAAGACTCGGCGGCCATGAGAGGATCTCGCCAAGCGGGGTGCCCTCGACCCAGCTCTCGTTGGGAAGCTCCTGTTTGTGCTTTGAGGTTCATAGGGGTTGCAGGGGTTGAAGTGGTTCAAGGGGTGTAGGGCTTCAGGGTTTCCTATGGTTCAAGACAACCATGTTTTGTTTTGTTTGGGTTTCTTCGACGCGCACTGTGGAGACTATGGGCTTGCTTTCCCCACTTTCTACGGAGTCGACGCGCAGGCCCGGAAGCTGGGTTTCCAGGGGAAACTATGGGCGTTTTTTTCCGACAAGCAGGCCCGGAAGCTGGGAAACCATGGGCACTTTTTCCGACGTGCACGCTCGGAAGGTGTGTTTCTAGGGGGAAACTATGGTCGTTTTTTCCGACAAGCAGGCCCGGAAAGCTGTGTTTCTAAGGGGAAGCGATGGGCTTTTTTTTCCCGACGTGCAGGCCCGGAAGCTGTGTTTCTGGAGAGAAGCTATGGGTGTTTGATTTTTGCCATGTGCAGGCCTGGAAGCTGAGTTTCTGGGCGGAAGCTCTGGATGTTGTTTTTAACACGGTGCAGGTCCGCAAGCTGTATTTTCAGGGAAAACTATGGGTGTTTGTTTTTCCGACGTGCAGGCCCGGAAGATGTGTTTCTAGGGGGAAAGTATGGGCATTTGTTTTCGACGGGCAGGCCTCGTGAAGGGGAAACCGTGTTTTTCTAGGGCTGCCTGTTTTTTTCTGGCGAAGGCACTGTGTTTGTGGGGGGAAACTCTTTTTTTGTCGACGAGCAGGTCCCACGAAGGGGAAACGGTGTCGCTCGGGGTAAAGCCTCAAGCTACAGTATTAAAACTGTTTCATCCAGGCAGACTTATGGAGACATTAGTCATGATGCAATCCTCAGCCCTTGACTGCCCTATACTAAACTGCACAAGGGCCCACTCCTTTAGGCCGATGCCGGCAAGATTTCCCTGGGCGAGGCGGTGTCGCGGCGGGCCCGGCCCAGGGTTTTCAGGCTTTGGGCTTTTTAGGGCCCGTCAGGGTCTAGGGTTTAGGGTTTGGGCTTTAGGGTTTAGAGTTTAGGGTTTAGTTTTGGGCTCGGGTTTGGGGTCTTTAGAATGCAGGCTTTAAGGGTTTGGGTTGGTGGCATCGTGACGCCGGGGCCCACGTCGGACTGTTCAGGGGAATCCGGCGACACTCAACGAGCCTAAACCCTAAACGCTGAACCCTACACCCTGGGTTGGGAATTGCCACGTTCCCCCCCCACTGCGTTTTCGGCGTTTGTGTTTTTGTTCGGCTCTCTCTCTCTCTCTCTCGCTCTGTTTCAGCTCCATTTTCTTTTATTGTTCTTCGCTTTGCTCTGCTATGTCTGTCTTCCATTGTTCTTGTTCTTCTGTGTTTCTTTCTCTGTTTGTCTTCAAACTTTAACTGCCCAAGACACATCTTGGGGGCTTGAAGATTTGGGGCTTGAGGGTTCGCATGTGTTGGCTTTTGGGGGGACAGGGGGGTGGGGGGGTTGGGCTTCGGGAACTCCGGTGACAAGGTATTGGCTTAGGCTTCAGGGTCGCCAGGGCAAGGTTCGAGCTGAGCCTTTGTGGGGGCTTGGGGTTTAAGGCTTTGACTTGAGATGTTCCCCCTTAGCCTAAGAAGAATCCTTACTAGGGGTTATAATAGGGGGCTACGGCTACTAGGAATCCCTATTAAGGACTGATAGAATAAGGAGGAACATCCCAGGCTTCGACAGAGCTTAGGCCTTACGTGCTTTGGGGGATTCGTTCCAAAGCCACCAAGACTCCTGCTGCCGACAAAGCTGCGGTGCATGGACGTCCGGTTGGCGATCGGGTGCGCGCGCCTGTGGCTTGAGATCCGTTTTTGGGGTTTAGGGCGTAGGGCGTAGGGGTTAGGGTTGGGAATCCTGCTCGGAGGTTCGCAGTGTACCCCTGCCCGGGTTTGGGGTTTACATCTGAAACTCCTCCCTCCCGTGGCCTAACCCTACCGTATGCCTCCAAACCCAAATGCCTCAAATCGGGGTTTGCGAAAAGAGGGGGGACCCTAACATAGTCCCAAAGTAGCAAGATTCCCTTTTTAGTATGGACTCCAAAATGGCACCCCACAGTGCGGAAAAAAAAACCCCAAATCCCTGAACCCCTTTTGCGGCCCTACACCCCTCAAACCCCCCCAACAGGACAGTTCTGCTCCTGGGAGCCGGCTGCATAGGGTTCTTCAGTTCCAGGCGCACCCACTCCTCCTGGTTGTCGCCTTTTCGCGGGTTTGGGGTTCAGGGATTTTGGGGTTCAGGGTTCTGCTTTCTTGGTTTCACCGTCGCTTCCTCCTAAAACTCCAAACCCTAAACCTGAAACTTGTTTTCTGAAGTTGCACTTGCAGGCTACCTTGGCGGAGAGTACGACTGAAGCCTGATTCATGGTTGGTAACATAGTATAAGATACCCTAACTGAAGCCCCATTCTCTGGCCTTTGCATGATGCGAACAGCCAGCTGCAGCTGTTGTAGGGTTCAAAGACTGTAGTAGTCATATGGAAAAGCTCCGCCACCTGACAAAGCACCTTCTGTTCTACCATGGTCTTCTTCATGGGATATTTCTTGGCAGGGGGACGCGGTCAGTCATCCTAAGGGGACGGGATCACCCTTGAATCCCACATGCGACCACGGATTGACTACGTATGCGACCCTTCGAGGCACTTCCAGCCTGCAGCAGGGTAAGAACAGGGCCCTTGTTGTTGCACATGGGGGTTTACGAGAACAGGGGAGCCCAAATAATAGACGCCCCGAATTTCGGAAACCCCCACATGTTCTGCTGTAGGAGGAGGCCCAGCCATGGATCAGGCTGCGCAGGCGGCATGTCCCGACGGTGGGTCCACACTGCGCATGGGCTGGCGCTGAGCGGAGATGGCTGTGAAGAGGCCAGGGTTTCATCTTAGGGTTTCCGGTTTAGGGTTTAGGGTTTAGGGTTTAGGGTTTAGGTGCTATACACATACTAATGCGAGTGCGAGTACGAACACGAGAACGAATACTAACCCTAATACAAATACAAATACTAGTACGAAGTACTAGTACTAATATGCTTGGAACTACCACTTGTCGTCAGACGTCAGACGGTCACCATTGAAAGCAGTTGGTAGACCCTTTGAATTTCAGAAGGGTCCCAATGCACCAAGTAGCTAAGCAAATCACACAATCATGACCTTGAAGCTCAGAAGGCACATGAAAGGAATGCGTCCGAATAGAAATAGACCCTCTCTTCTCCTACCCCCCAGGTAGCCTTTCGAGAGGGTTTGGCGTTCGCCGCTGCCGGAGACTATCGCCGAGCCATCAGAAGCACGGCTGCGCAACAATTCGGTTTGTCTCCCATGTGGTTTGCTTTGGGTTTGATGGCTTGTACACTCATGTACAAAACGCAGAGCGACGTCTTATGAGCTGAAGAGCCCAGTTGGTTGCCCGCGTGGTGGGCCGGCAGGCCAAAAGATCAATGTTTTGAACGAGGTCGAAGAGTTGCATGCTGCCACTACGCAAGCAATCCGAATCCAAACCAAACACGCGCATTCACGGAAGCTGTCAGGAGTGGCTGTACAGATGTCCTTACACCAGTTTACAACGTACATGGCTGTGCAGCTGAGGAAGCTATGACCTTGCATTGCAGTCAGGCGACAAGGAAGTGAGAGGGGCAGCATTGTTTCGCAAAGGCCAAGCATTGGGGTGCTTGCAGGACGCACGCAGAGCCACCCAGTGCTTCTCAGAAGTTCGGCGCATCGCTCAACAGACGCGCTCGGAGTATTTGCTAATGCAGGTCCTGCGAGAGGAGGGCCATGCTGCCGAGTCCATGCGAACGGCCAAGGAGAAGATGCAAGAGGCGATCCAGTGTGCTCGCGAGCTCCAAGATGAGCAGTCCCTGGCAGTAGGCATGGCCGGCCTGGCGCTCGTTGAGAACCGAGCTGGCAACATCTCGGCCTCGCTGAGATATTATCGGGAGGCGGAGAGCATTGACAGGAGCTGCGGCAACGACAGGGGTCGGGTCTACAATCTGAATGGAGTTGCGGTAGCCTGCCGCAATCTCCGCAGACATGCGGAAGCCCGCAAGGCCTGGCAGACGGCCCTGGGCCTCGCAGAGAACCTGGGCATGACACCCATGGTCGTCAAGATTCTCTGCAACTTGCAGAATCTCTGTGCCCTGCAGCTTTCCAAGATTCCAGAGGCGCGGCGCTGGAGGCGGCGCTGCGAGGAGTCGATGCGAACTCTTGGCCGTGAGTCTTTGGAGCCAGACTGCCCAGTTTGCCTGCAGAGCTTGGACAACGGTGAGAAGGTGTTTGTTGACCCGGCGTGCTATCACGCATGTCACTTCAACTGCCTGAAACAGGGCCAGATGCCCTGCCCGCTTTGCCGGCACCGGTCCTGAAGCCGGAAGCTCGGGCGCGGATTATGAAGGCAAGATGCCCGCATGTGCGAGATTTCACACGGCAGGAAACAGCACTTGCATTTCAATCAAGCTGCCGGTTTTTCATTCTCCCTAAAGTGGGGGGGGTTAGGGGTCAAGGCGAAATGGATGCTCATGAATTTAGGCTTTGTAGATGCTGTAAGGTTTACCAGTTTATGAGTGCGAGTTCTGGGTTTCTGGGTGTTCGTGGGTCTAGCTTCTGCTGATGACAGGCATGGATCACAGATCCGACGGATCTAAACCAGACTACTACGCTTCACAAGGACCCCCGTTACTATAATATCGGGGCTTGCGATAGGGGTACTGTACTGGGGTCCTCATTTTCAGGGGATCCTACTATTTGGGGGTCTTATCTAAAGGCTCCCCTATTCTCGTACACCCCATATCTATGCAATTCCAACTGTCGTCCAGGGCTTTGGACTTTGGGTTTTGAGGAGTGTTCAGGACGCTCAATGCCCTTTGCCCCTTTGTTGGGAGTTTCAGAGGCTCAGGGGTGTAGCGGCCTAAACCCCAAAGACCCCCTTAACCTCTAAAGCCCCAAGTCCCCTCCGCACCCAGTCCCCCAAACCCGAAGCCCTATAGGCCCTGTAACCTAGAGTCCTAGACCCAAAAGGCCTAAAACCCGTATAATCCCCTGCAAACAGCCAGAAAACCACCCAAAACCCCCTACAAGCCCATATGAACCCCTGTAAGCCCCTATAAGCCCTATAAGCCCCTATAATCCCCTATAAACCCCCATAAACTCCTATAAGCCACCAAAAAGACGCCCTATAAACCCCTAAACCCCCATACGCCCCTAAGTGAAACGGCAACCGCAGGCAGCTCATGGTCAACATGACCGACTTGCCTCTGCGCCTGGTGGACAACTCGACGTGCGCCCTTGTGCTGTGCACCCTCGTGGGGTTTAGGGCTTAGGATTTTGGAGCTTAACACCCGCTAAAACCCTAAACCCTCAACCCTTTTAAACCCTCAACCGTAAACCCTGAACCTAAACCGTAAACCCCCTTTTAACCGTAAACCCTAAACCCCCCCCCCCCCCCCCCCTCGCCCCAACACCCTGAAACCCTGGACCCCGGATGCAAAAGCCCAGGAGGGATGGCCCTTCGCATTCTGGAGGCGGGCCCAGGGCTTGCTTGTAGGGGCTCGAGAGTCCAAGGGGTTTAGGGTTTAGGGTTTAGGGTTTAGGGTTTAGGGTTTAGGGTTTAGGGTTTAGGGTTTAGGGTTTAGGGTTTAGGGTTTAGGGTTCAGGGCCCTGATTGTGTAGGGTCCAGGGGGTTTTGGGAGTAGCCCCCCCCCTCAAGTCTTGGTTTAGAGAGGTTTGTGAGCTCAGCTTCGGGTTCAAAGGGGCTTTGGCTTGAGGGTTTTACGGTTGGGCTTCCAGGGCTTACAGACATCCCGAGCCCTAAGTAAGCCCCAAAGATGACGAAGCCCGAAAATGTTTGCAACCCTATACCCTCAACCCTAAACCCTAGACCCTAAACCCTAGACCCTAAACCCTAAACCCAATGCTACCAGCCCACTTCCTGCTGCTGGCGCCAACGGAAGACGCAACTCCTAGCGCCCCAGCTCGGGTTCACTCCCACACATGCGGGCTTGGGGTTTAGGGAGTTTAGGCTTTTGGCCTTAGGGGCATCTGATGTGACGTCTGCCAACATCAGTTAACACCCTCAAGCCTTACAACCTCTAAGATCTAAAAACCCTAGGCCCTAAACCTTATGAACGCCGAAACCCTATTCCTAAACGTAAACCCTGAACCCTAAACCGGCCTCGCAGGAAGCCTCCGTGCGTGCGGCGAGGCCTGTTCCGAGCAGCAAACCAGGTGCGACCTCGTAAGAACCTGGGATTGGAAGGGTCTAGGGCCTAGGGTTAAGGGTTCATAGGGCTTATAGGGTTTAGGGTTTAGGGCTTATTGGGTTTACGGTTCATGGGGTTTGTAGGGTTTATGGGGTTTGGGGTTTTATAGGGTTTAGGATTTATAGGGTTTAGGGTTTATAGGGTTTAGGGTTTATGGGGTTTTAGGGTTCATGGGGGTTAGGGTTTTATAGGGTTTAGGATTTACTGTGTTTAGGGTTTGTAGGGCTTAGCGTTTAGGGGCCAGGGATTGAGGGCTGAGAGTTAGGGCTTCAGGGCTTCAAGATTCGAGGTTCAGGGTTCGGGCTTCAAGGTTGTGGCTTTTATGGTTTACGGCCGTTTAGGGGTTTCTAGCTATAGGGTTTAGGGTATGGGGTTCAAGGTTTAGGGGTTAGGGCTCAGGTTTCGTGGCTTCTTTCGTAAGAGAAGTCTACTGTAGGGTCTTGTTTATGGAACTTGGAGCTTGCGGCATCTCAGCTGCAAAGACGTATTCTCTCAGGCCGCATGAAACCCTAAACTCCTAAACCCCACTAAACCTCACTACACCACCCTCAGCTTTCCTCAAAGAGGGGCGGCCTCGGGAGGCCTCGCGGTGTCACAAAACTTCTGGAACCCTGAATTGAGCAACTGAGCAGGGGGCTTGAGGGTTAGGGTTCATTTAGGGCGGATCTGGGTTCGGGGGTCTCCCTAGTATCATCCTTGTAGATTCAGGCGCCACAAAAAAGACTTCCCATCAGTCCTCATGTCGTTCTTGTTCTTAGCATTGCGCTTGTCATGTTGAGTATGGCCCTCTTTCTCTCCACGAACAGGAGTGGACCGTTTTGCTCAAGCCCACGGTGACCCTCCACAACAGCGAAGCTGCGCAGCTTCGCTGTTCTGCTGCCCCGGACGCTCTCGAGCCATGGTGCTGGACATCCAGGTGCTGCGAGCCTCCCTGCAAAACAAGGCGTTCTGCACCAAGGAGAAGTCGCTGCTGAAGATGATCAGGCAAGCTGAAGCCATTCATCTTCAGCAGCAGGACTTGCTGAAGACGGCCAAGGACCTCTCGGAGGCCTTTATGCTGAAGGTGGGGGGGTAATTGTCCAAGGTCTCTACCGAATGCTCGCCATGATGCTAGTTTCTTCGAAGCCTGATACACAAAACAACTAAAACGCTTTGGAGACTGCTGCACCCAGGTGGGGAATCGTCAGGTGGAGATAACGGCCTTCGACACCATCGGTCATCTCGCGGAGAAGCTCTTCGGAGACGCAGCTGCAGCCCATGTCGTGACAAGGGATGGCCAGACATTGCCCAAGGGGGCCACTCTGGCATCCCTGGGGATCTCCGAACACTCAGTGCTGGACTATGTGAGTGCAGCTGGCGATGACATGCAGCGCACTGGAATGTTCAGCGTCTACATACGGGTTTTGGGCGGCAAGATGGGCACGGTTGGTGCAAAAGTCTTCGACTTTGAAAGCGCCACGGCAGCCGAGTTGAAGGAACAGGTTCAGGCGATGGAAGGGATCGCTGCAGACCAGCAATGCTTGCTCTTTGAAGGTCGCTGCCTCGAAGATGGCAAGTCCCTCGCGTCGTACGGCGTTCAAAGGGGGTCTACGTTGCACTTGCGCCGGCTGGCTCCTGGGGGCAACGAAATCAGGGGCGTCTTCGTCAAGACTCTGACCGGCAAGACGATTGTCGTGGAGGTCTCCAACTTCGAGAGTACCACAGTAGTTCAGGTGAAAGAACCTGGGTTGCAGCTTCGGAACTTAGAATACCTAAGTTACCGCTTACTGTAATCGTTTTTCTTATCAGAAGCCCAGGAACAGGTTCAGGAGCGTGAGGGTATTCCACCAGACCAACAGCGCTTGATATTCCGTGGCCTGCAGCTAGAGGATGAAAAACGCCTTGCGTCGTATGGCGCTTTTGGAGGGGCTACGTTTCACCTGGTTCTTCGTCTTCGCGGAGGCATGTACGATCCAATCTCCGGACGTCTGGGTTTCGAGGTGCTCACGGACGCAGTCGTCTTCGAAGATGGGCAGCGGTGGGTTCTCAACACGGGCGCGGAGGGCCTTCTACGCTACAGCTATGAAAACAGGATGGTTTCCTTCACCTCCCGAGCCGACATGCTGAGATTCCTGGAGGCCCGCCGCTTCGAGTTCCTTCTTGAGCGCCTGGAGGAGGTCCAGAAGCAAAGCAAGCAAGTCGAGGAGAAGGCAGCCTACTGGATGTCAAAGGCCACATCGGCGCCCGAGATGGCCCTGCCGAGGTCGCGGATGTCGCGAAAGCGCAAGGCGCCAGCAGCCGCGTCGCGTGCCATCGCTCCGGCAGCACCCTAGAGGAGCTCATTCCGAACACCGCCGATATCGGAGGGAGATATCAGTTGCAGTTTCGGGACATTTCAAGGATTGCAGGAACAGAAACGCAAAACTGATGAAGTCTTGACTTGGTGCATCTTCTACTCTCGTAGCTTGGCAGTACGAGAAGAGTCCGCCACAATCCCGGTCCTCAGCTCCTCTACCGTCCTCCTAACCACCGCCCTGACATCCAGAACCAAGCCCGCGATAACCTCAAAACGTTTGGAGTTTAGGGGGCTTTGTTAAACCCTAAACCCTAAACCCTAAACCCTAAACCCTAAACCCTAAACCCTAAACCCTAAACCCTAAACCCCATAGGCCTCTGCTCGCCAGGCTGCCGGGGAAGTCCTGAAGCCAGCAGCTCTGTTTCGGAGGCCTCTTCCATGGGCGATCGGCCCTCTCCAGCCTCGAGCCTGAGCCCCTAAACCCTAAACCCCAAACCCCAATCCCCAAGGTAAGATATATATATATATATATACACGTATGTATATATATATATATATATATATATATACATATGTACATACATATGTTTGTAACCCTAAATCCCGAAGCCCCTTTTCAAAGCCCCCAAGAACTTTTCGATCCCCTGAAAGAGCCTCCGGGCAGTTTGTCGCCTGAGAGCCCTGCAGCCCCTGAAGAAAGAGCGCGGTGGTTAGGGTTTGGGGTTTAGGGTTTTTTTTTGCGAAGAGTCGGGTGCATTCGGCGTTCTTTGATTTTGGGGCTTTTGGGTTGCGAGGGTCTCTGCCCAACCCAAACCCTAAACCCTCAACCCCTCCCCTGAACCCCCACCACGCCCATCGGATTTCAGATTCGGGCTAAAGGGTCCCCGAGAAATTCTGTTACTTGAGGAGTACGGGGTATTTTTTTGAAGCTGAGTTCTGGTCCCTCTTAGGATACCCGATGAACACCGGTAACCATCGAGTTCCACACTTGGGCTCGGATGATGTTGACGCTTTCTAGGCTTCAGAAGACCGGCTCCTGCAGCATTTTGGCTACAGAGAAGATGGTCATCATCAAACCACGGGGGGTTTACGTTACTAGGCCTCCTGCAGTGGGGCCCTTAGAGTTTTGTAGAAATCAGATTCCCTTGCGTTAGCTCCCCCAAAGAACGAGGAGGCAAGCCTAGCACTACACACTCCCTAACCCCCCCAAAGCCCCCAAAGCCCCAAGCCATCAAGCCCCCACGTCTGCCCAACTCCTAAACCCCCCGAACTCAAAGCCCCCAAAGCCCTAAATGTAAGCACTTACATTCCGAAAGTAGGAACCCCCTGAGGGTCGGAGACCCTTCACTCCCAATATCCTTGTAGCCACGGACCCCAAAGTGACTGAAGCGTAAGCAATCTGAGCTGGCCTCGTTGGCAGAGCCATGCCTTTGGGGTTGGACCGCCCGACAACAGTTCAGGGGCTTCAGAGCTTTTTGGGGTGTTCAGGGGGCTCAGAGGTTTTCAGGGTTCAGGGGCTTTAAGGGTTTTAGGTGGTGTTTAGGTTTTGCTTCAGGCGGCTGGGTTTTGCGTGCTCTGCAAGAGTTTTGTTAAGGGGGCGTCTTGTAGAAATAGGGCCCGGGAAATCCGGGGGATCGTTGGAGACACTGGCAGAGAGGGGTTCGGTTTTTCGGGGGTTTTGAGGGTTTAGGGGCCGGCATTGCAAGCAACAACTTGCGCTTTATGCCACCACGGTGGAGCAGCACCTCACCACTCTTTGTTCCTTCCTGCTGGGAGACAACGGGGTGTAGAGTGCCACAGCAGCGGTTGGATGGACTTCGGGTCTGCTTTCCGTCAGGATTCGAACTTCTACGTCTGGGTGCTCCCGCTGGTGCTTGCGGAGATCGTTCTCTATGTCCGGGCCCCGCGAGGGCGTTCAGGATTCGGCTCTTTGGGCCTTGCTTTTTTGGGTTTAGGGTTTAGGGTGTAGGGTTTACCGAAATGGTTTAAGAGTCTAGTGGTTTGCCCCGTCGGGTTTGACCGTTTTGGGGGTGTCGACTTCTTGCCATCTGTTTAGGGCTCAGCCTACATTCCCTAAATTGCCTCAATTCCCTGAATTTCCTAACTTCCCTACATTCCTCTACATTCCCTAACTCCTAACTTCCCAGAAGCCCCCCCTGGGCGAGAGGCCTACGCCTTCACGGCGGAGCTTCGCACCTGCCAGGCAGATTGAGGGTTTAGGATTTACAGTTTACACGGTTTAGAGTTTTGGGGGGGAGTCGAAGCCAAAACAGGTTTTTGGGAGTAGGGTTTGGAAAGGTCAGGGGGTCCAGGTTTATATTAAGTTTTCTACTTGGTTCAGGGCTGCTAATAGGCTAAGGGTTTGTCGTGTGTCATGCGCCACCACGCACTGTGCTCAAAGTTCATTCCTTTCGGGCTTACAGGGTTCTCAGCATCCACAAGTTGCTGCCTAGGTTGCGTGGCCCGACAGACCCCCAAGGTGCCATGCAGGAAAGCTCACAGGGAAAGCACAGCTGTCCCGAAGCCTCTCAACACGAAGCAGAAAACCCTAAACCCCAAACCCCAAAGCCTAAACCCTAAACCCTAAACCCTAAACCCTAAACCCTAAACCCTAAACCCTAAACCCCAAACCCTAAACCCCTAAGCCCTAAACCTATAGACCTCAGAGAGGTGGTGCTTGGGCTTCTGGGCCTCTTCTGGTGCTTCGCCGCGCTGTGGGTCGAGATCCGGCCGCGCGCTCGGCTTTTCTTGATCCGAGGTCGAAACCCTCAGAAGTAGGCGCGGGCCTTCAAGCCCGTAGGCGTTGTTGGTCGTTTCGTTTGTTTGTGCCATCCTCCAAGAAATTTCTAAGAGACCCTCAAGCCCGTATACCCCATGGGGTTGATAATCCTTTGGAGCGGATTCCGCATCCGCTCACGGCGAACACTCATGAAGCAAGAAAATGCGCTTCCGCCCCTCAATTCAAGGGCGGACCCGAAATCATCTGAAGCTGTCGAGATGTTCTTAAAGGCTTGAGGGCTGAGGCAGTTCATCCCCCATTTGTGCTACCTTCTCTTGCTGTACCAAGGGACCTCCGAGCCCGACACCCTGTTATGAACATGATAAACCCTGTTAACCCTGACAGCCATGAAAAAACCATCCCATAAGCCCCGTAAGCCCCATGATTTGGGATGTTCCCCCAGACTAACAGTCCTTAATCGGGATCATCGTACCCGCTACTATAATCCCTATTAAGGACTGTTAGTATAAGGGGGAACCTCCCAACCTACAATCTCCTATCAACCCTAAACCCTAAACCCGAAACCCGAAACCCGAGACCCTAAAACCCTCAAAAGACGCCCTCCAGGTTAGAGGTGGTCTACCCGCACTTCGACTACGCGACCCCGCCCCCGGGTGATCCGGAGATGAAGTCCTACAGGCCGTTGAAGAGGGTTTGGGCTTAGAACCCTAAACCCTAAATCCTAAGCCCTAAACCCTAAACCCTCAACCCTAAACCCTAAACCCTAAACCCTAAACCCTAAACCCTAAGCCCCAAACCCTAAACCCTTTAGGGCTCAAAGAATTGAGAGGCCAACATGTCTCAACCCCAAGAACACCCCAACCCGAAGCCCGAAGTTTGAGGGTTCCAAGGGTAAACCCTAAACCCTAAACCCTAAACCCTAAACCCTAAACCCTAAACCCTAAACCCTAAACCCTAAACCCTAAACCCTAAACCCTAAACCCTAAACCCTAAACCCTAAACCCTCAACCCTTGCTTTGGGGGCATGGCTTTTGGAGTGGCGAGCGCAGGGTTTCAGGTGGCAGCAGCATCGGTTGAAGGTCTGGTTGGGGCGCACTGAGTGGCTTTACTGTATGGCCTCACTTTAGGTACTCTATTCTGGGAGATTCCCTTCTGAACCCCTACTGCAAGTTTTGTTTTTCTGAGGGCTGCGAATCCAAATCCTGAATCCTGAGACTTTTCTGAGTGGCCAAGTTGTCCCATCACCCGGAGATTCATGTGTGAGAGACCCCCCCGTAAAGGTTCAAACCAGTCATAGTCTAAGCTGCTTTGCTTAAACACCTATCGGGGGGAAACCCTAAACCCTAAACCCTAAACCCTAAACCCTAAACCATCAACCCAAAACCCTAAACCCTAAACCCTAAACCCTAAGCCCTAAACCCGAAACCCTAAACCCTAAACCCTAAACCCTAAATCGGTGCCCGGGAACCTTCACGGAAGCTCAGGGCGACTTAGGGAGCATTCTGTAGACATGGGAGTCCCACAGCCTAAATGAAGAAGGCTGCAATCAGGGTTTAGGGTTTAGGGTTTAGGGTTTAGGGTTTAGGGAAAGCCCTAAGCCCCCCAAGTACCCGACACCGTGGGAGTTTAGGGGGTGGGGGGTCATCAATTCAGGTCCGAAAACACTTCTGTGGCCCCAGGGTGCGTCATAAGGGGCCCCCCTTCCAGGGTTTGGGGTGTAGAGTCTGAGGTTGTCTAGGGTCTTGGATTCATGGGGCTTCACCCCAAACCCTAAACCCTAAACCCTAAACCCTAAACCCTAAACCCTAAACCCTAAACCCTAAATGCTTAGTTTTGAGTGTTTTAAGTTGAGGCCATTCTGCGACTTCGCTCCCTGGGCCAAGTGCAGCAAGGCGCACACCTCACCCAGGAGCCAAGGGCCCTAAACCCCAAAGCCCCCAAAGCCCCTGAAGCCTCCGGAACCCTAAACCCCCCCCTTTCTTCCCTCCCTCCCCCCCAAAAAAAACAAAAAACACAAAGCAAAAAGCCCCCCCCCCCCCCCCCCCCCCCCCCCCCAAAAAAAAAAAAAAGTCCTCCCTAAAGCCCCCTAGAGCCCACTGAGGGGCACCCTGTCGCCCCCAAAGACCCGTATGGATTGGGATGTTCCCCCCTTACACTCACAGTCCTCTGCTTAAGGACTGTAGTATAAGGGGGAGCATCCCAACTTATAAACCCTAAGAAGCAGGTGCTGATGTCTCCTCCGGGCCGCTTCCTGCGCTACTTTGGCATCGCCAAGCCTCTGGCCGGCATCCCAGGGTTTAGGGTTTAGGGTTTGGGGTTTAGGGTTTCGGGTTTAGGGTTTAGGGTTCAGTTCGGGCTTAGGATTCAGGATTGAGGTCTTGAGGCTCAGGATTCCCCCCGACCCGAAAGCCTATACCCTAGAAAGGGCGCGGCTTCTAGGGATGGATCTGCGCCGGGTTCCCTGGACCCTGGACCCTATTGAGGCCCTCAATTGAAAAACCCAGCCTCTCATGCACTCCTGCCTTCATAGCCTAAACACCCAAGGTCCTTACTTAAGCCGGCAGGCGTCGGGCGCCGTCGGCGGCTTAGACAAGGCGCGCCGCTTGGGAGGTGAGGGTTCGGTTTTGGGAGGGGGGGGAGGGGTTTTAGGGTATTGAGGGTTTAGAGTTTAGGAGTGTTTGGGTATGAGGATTTACAGGGTTTATAAGGCTTAGGGCAAGAAAAGGCTTAGGGGCAAATCTTTGCGAGTCAGGGTTTGGCTGGTGGGTGACCCCTTCACGCATTGAGAGATGAAGTCCTAGGCCATAGACTTGCACTTGTAGTCCGGGTTATAGCTATACCCATGAGAACTACCAACACCAAACCCTAAAGCCCTAAAGATGTTCTGAACTGCGCAGAAGCCTCCAAGTAGTCTAGATCACTAGACACCGGACTCTTACAACCCAAACCTAGAACCCTCAACCCTGAACCCTAAACCTCAAACCCTCAGAACCCTTGGAAACCTTAGACCCGCAAAGGCGCGGGCTTTGATCGACGTGCCCAATCCGACGCTGGGCGTGCTTTTCTTCGCCGTCCACCTGCCGGGGCCCCTCAGGAGAGGGAGGAGAGGGGGGCGACGTTTCCCAAACCCCAAAACCCCCAGAAACCCCGATATGAGCCCTTAAGCCTCTAGTAAACAAAGTGGTCTCTTGGCCAGGCGTAGTCTTTTGAGCGTGGTTGTTTATGACTGGGCGGTTGGTGGTGAGGTTCATGGTGTGTACAAGTGTCAGGGAAGAAGGTTATGCCGATACGCTTAAGTAGAGACGCATAACTTCACCCTACATGCTAAGCTCAAAAAGTTGCTAACCCCTAAACCCTAAGCCCCAAATTCCTAAACCCTCAACTGAAGCTGCTGTGATCACGGTTTCGGAGCTCCTCGAAGCCCCCTGGGCCCCTGAAAGAAATGGGAGGAGGGTGGGGAGCTCCTGTCATCAAGGTTCTGCAGATCATGGAGCTTTGGGGCTGAGCCTAAATTCTGAGTTAGCTGTGTTTGCTGCAACCTTCAGAATTGAACTTTCAAGGATGGCAAACTAAATCATGCAGTGAACCCCATAGACCAGGCCAAGGCGTTGACCAGGTACCAAAACGGGGATACCCATTGTGCAGCCGCCATAAAGCGCAACCCGGCAAAAGGACCCGGTATAAGGATTGCCCCCCCCCCCCCCCCCCGCAGTAGGCAACCCAATTTTGGTAAACCCCTCAAATTGGGTGGGCTGGGAGGGAGCCCTGCATGGATCTTATAATAACGATAGCCCCTAAGCCTGCCTCCTTTGAAAAATAATCCTCTGTTGTCCACGAGTCATACCATAGCACGTTATATACTCCTTGCCACTTGGTTACAACGTACGGTAGATTCAGTGGCTCCGGGCCCCAGGGTTCAGGTGGGGTTTCGAGGGTTTTCGTAGCTTCTCAGGCACCCTGAAAGAGCGCTCTCCGAGAGACCCCAGCCAGCACTGACAACATCCGAAAGCCCCGCTGAGCTGGGGGCCTCTGCCTCCGAGGTTTTACCCGGTGCTGCCGGGCCCTCGGGACACAGCCGACGCTGAATCTTGCGGCTCGGGGCTTCGGGGCTTCGGGGCTTCGGGGTGTGTAGGGCGCAAGATCGAAACTCCCGAGCTTGCCCGAGACCCGGAGTCCTGCAAGTTCGCGGGCAGAATGAGGGCCCATGCTTCATGCTTCATTCATAGATTCTCCTTCCAAGGCTCCCGACACGCAGGGAGGGATACCCCTTCTTGGCGAGGTCATCGTAAGACGCACAAGTACGCAGAGCACCCTAGAAGCGACAAAGCGCTGAGCCCGAAACTCCCTCAGCCTTCTCCTTCACAAGGCCTCCATATGTTCACCATACCAAAAACCATGCCTGAACAAAGAACCCTGAGCCACTAATCCCGTGCCCCCCGCTTCCCCCCTTCCCCCCTTTCCCCCCAAGGCCGCCCAGAACCCTAAACCCTTAGCCACGCGCGTCCCCTGAGAGCCCGCAAGGCTGCTCTTCATGCCAATTCCTTTTCTGGGCCCGCTGCTGCCGGAGCTCTTCTTCCTCGCTTGTTGCGGGGTCCGGGCCTTTTGTCAAACTGATCCTGCGCCAACCCCCAACCTAAACTGGGTCGTAAATAGCATCCTGCGACTTGAAGTAGGGTTGCAGGGGGGGAGGGCGTGTCTTCAGGGCCCTCAAAGGGTTGCAAGGGTAATTCTAGGCTTCGAACCTGAAGATTGTCACACAGTCAGATCAACCCTGACCTCCTTGAAACACCTGAACCCTCAATTCCATGCCCTTGCAGGCCAACACCCTTTGCGAGGCCCCGTAAACCTCTGAGCCCCCCTGGAAAAGCCTTAGCTCGAACTTGTGAGGTGGGGCTGATGACAGTATGGCTTGCGCCTGGGAGCCAAGGTTCAAGATCTTCGTTTTCAGGGTTTGGGGTTTAGGGTTGAGGGTTTTAGTATGACGAGATGTTACGAGGGGGCTCTGTTGACAGGGCTGGGGGGGGGGGGGGTGGCTCGCCCATGTTTACCCTTGGCTGAGTTGTTATTTCTGGGTGATATGTTCGTTTTTTGTTGCCAGGGCTCCGAGGGGTGAAGACATTTTGTGGCGTCAGAGGTGTAGGATTTGAGATGTCAAGGCCTGCACATTGCCGCCTCGTTGCGGGCTTTGGCTTTTTGGGCCAGGTCTCTTTGTCTTGCTGGAGGTCTTTGCCCCTAATACATGACCCCGAAATTCATAAACCCCAAGCCGCAAACCATCCAAGCCTTAAACCGCACTGCAAACCTCTGAGCCCTTGGGCCCTATACCCTAAGTGGCAGCCGAAGCCGCAAAGACGCAGCCCTCCCAAGACCTTAAACCTTAAAACCTTTAAATCCTAAACCCTAACTAGCTTCGCGCCTGTAAGCCACCTCCAACCAAGAGGCTTCCCAAAGCTCAAGCCGAGTTCCAGAGGATCGGCGATTATGTGCTGAGGCTGTAGGGTAAAAGCATGGAAGATCGCCTGACCTTTGCATTGTGGGACCGACACCCGGCACAGCATTTCACCCCGGAACCATTGCACGATTCCCCTTTTTCGAGAAACAAGTGCCCCGGGCTTCATGAAGTGCCTTATCATCTCCTTCCGTTTTGCGCATCTTTTGCCCTCTCCACTTCCCAAGCTACTCTCGGATGCCCTGTGGGCTCCCATCGCTTGCGTCCTCCCCTTGGACACACCCTTGAGACCACTCGCTGACAGTATATGGGGTAACGGGGGTCGATCTGCATATTAGGTAGTTTGGATGTGCACGCACCACAATTCCCCCTCCAGGTATAACCTGGCTTTTGTGCTGCAAGACTTCTGCGTGGTCTGCGCCTGGTGCCCGGGAATGTGCTCAGGTGTTCTGGGTACACCTTCCACCCTGTTTGCTCCCAAAAACCTTGAACTCCCTAACGCTCTAAGTGAGGATGGAGGCCATCCAATTCTCCGCAAGTTCTCTCCTTTTCAGCCCTACCAGTATCCTGAGCCACAAAACCCTGGACCCCAAAACCCGTCAGAAGCCGCAAGGCCGGGTAGCTTGGCTTCTAAGGTCAACTCTCCCAAGACCTGAACCATGAGGGAGCACCATTGAAGAGGAGAGAACCTTGGATCTCCCAACCCACTCCTTACAACAGCTTGCGGGCGTTTAGGGTGTTATCGCGAGTCTCGGGAGGTTTCTCTTGGGCCCCTCCACATAAACCCAGAAAATCCTTCTGGTTGTGACGTCGGGAATGGATAAGGGGACAGAAGGAACCTGAGTTCCCTGACTCATTCCCTTCTAAGAGCCAGCAAGAAAGCCCTAATGCCCCAAAGGCCATAACGTTCTAAGAGCCAGTAAGAGAAAGCCCTACCTAAGCCCGATAATGCCCTATAAGCCCGTTAAAGGCCCTAAGAAGCCTCCAGTGCTCCCGAAAGAGGTCTCCATGTACGTGGCGAACTTTGGGCTCATACCGATGATGTGCCTTGGCTCACGTCGAAGAGATGGATGGCATCGCCACAAAGGGGTTTCAGGAAATGGGAGTACCCTTCTTGGGGTTCCTTTAGAAGGACTATAGAGTATTTTGGGATAGAGGCGGTACCCCTGTTCTCGGCAATTCCCCCCAACAATCCCCCTTGAAGGCCCTTTAAGCCTAAAACCGTGTCGGTTTGAAACCCTACCAACTCCCCCAACAATCCCTAGAAACCCCAATTTAAAAAAAAAAAAACTCAACTCCCTAGAAGCCCGAACCCTAAACATTGTGGAAACCCAAAAAACTCCCTAGATATGTTGGAAAAAACCCTCAACCCCCACCCGCCCTCCCTCCCCCTCTCAGGCACGGCCTAGCCTTGCAGGGCGCCTCCGTCGGAGAGGCACCAGGATAATAGGATGACTACTGTTTGCTCAAGAACCCCCTCCCAAAAAACAAAAAAACAACGGAGATAAGGGATAATATTCTCTGTATTTATAGGGAAAAGTGTATTGGTGTTTTTTGGGGAGGTTCTTAAGCAAGTAGTAGTCTGGGGTTTGTGTAGCCTTCGGGCTTCGGGCCTAGGGCCTAGGGCCGTTCAAAGAGGGCTTCGGATGGGAGCTGGGTTGACCTTTTCTGTCCCGAGCGCCACCAGCACAACGCCGTGGAGCCCGGCGTGGATGTATTGAGAAGGGTCCATCGGCACTGTAGTCGTTAAAGGGGGGAGTCTGCTGGAGCTTCTGGGCGTTGCCTCAATCTAATCCCTAGACCTTGAGCCCAAATCCCACACCCCAAAACTCCAACCTCCAGTGGCTTAAGTGTTCTTGCCTTCAACCAACCTAACGAGAGCCGCAGTCCCTTCGGCCTGCCAACGCGACCCCAAGCTCCTGACTCACCCATATGCAAACATCGCAAAACCCCAAGGTCCCAAGCCCAAGACCCTGAGTTCGAAGCACCGGCCCGAGCCCCAAACGCTCCACCCCCCCCCCCCCCCCCCAAAAAACTTCTAATTAATCGATGAAGACATCACCCAGAGGGCGCCTTCTTCGGGGAGGTGCCGCGGCCGGGGCCCTCAGACCAGGCCTCGCATGGGTCCTGTGCGCCACCCCAAAAGCCTAGGATGCAGGGTTTCGGGCTTCTAGGGCACAGAGGCACGTGCCAGCCCTTAGAGGGGTGTTGCGCCCTCCCGGCTTTTGCGATACCCTGGTTTAGGGTTTCAGGTTTGGGGGGGTCTGAAGGGGTTTTGGGATCAGAGGCATCCTGCGGAGGCGTTTGAAGCTTGCACAAGTACGGCTATGGGGAGGCAAGCTTCCGGCAACGTGGGCACGCCATGAGCGTGATGTTGTCCGCACCCCCAAAACTCGTGCCTCAGGATCGAGGCTTCCAACTTAGGGTTCGGACTCAGGGGGTTTTTGCGGCAGGCATGTTCTAGCTACAGAGCAGCCCTCCTCCATCCCGAGTCGATGCCCTAAACCATCCTAAACCCTCAAGCGTTAACCCTAAGCCCGAGAAAAAAAAAACAGCTCCAAAACGTTCAAGGTGGTTTCTGTACTCCTTCGGCGCGTTGGATGCGGTCATGGGGCGCAGCTGCCGGTTGACTTTTGTAAGACTTGCGATTTTTGTTTTTTGTTTGGGGGGGGGGGGGGGGGGGGGGGGGCTGAACTCGCGGGATTAGGGCTCAGGGCTCAGGGTTTAGGGTGTAGGGTTTAGGGCTGCTGGATCTTGGAACCACAGGGGTTTTTAAGAAAGATGTGTCTCCACTTGGCGTGAAATCTGCACGTGCTCCATCGTTGGATTGATACTTTCTGTGAGCCGTGCCGCGGTACTCGCCCGGTGGCCATGGCATCGCCAACCGTCAAATTTTCGCCCCATGCCGTGCACGGACGGCGTGAAGCCGAAACACGACGCCGTGGGAGTGCCCAACAGATTTCTTTGCGTGGGCGTTTCGAGTTTGGAAGCGTTGTTGCTAACAGTTGCGGCCCGTGGGTCTTTGCTGTCCTGTCACCGAAGCTCAAAGCTTCAAAGTTTATAAAAATGGCGAATATGGTCCCTTATTCAGATCTGAATCCTGAGGGCCCTAGAAACCGGCTGGGTGCCTGATTCAAAACGACCCGAGAAGCAGGAGCGGCAACATGCGCGAGGAAGCCCGAGCGAAATCCCAAGCCCTGAGCCCTCTTCAACCAGAGCCAGGCTGGCCGTCTTGGCGATCTATTTCCGGGGCGACCTGTTTGCGTCGGCTCGGGGGCCTGAACTGGGGGGGAAAGACGAGCGGCTTAGAGGTTAGAATCGTTTTTGTGTCCTACCTCCCAACAAGTCCTCATGACATTCCCCCCTCTGCAGGCCCTGTTTCTAAAGCAGGCGAGTCTCAACCCCTAGGGCCCTAGGGTTTGGTGTGGCGTTTGTAGGGTTCTGGAGTGTTTATTTTTGCGGGTTTAGGGTTTAGGGTTTAGGGTTGAGGGTTTAGGGTTTAGGGTTTAGGGTTTAGGGGGTTGAGCACTTGCCAGCCTCAAGCCATCACAGTCTCAACCTTCGCTCCAGGCCAAAGCCCGAGAAAGCGAGCAGGGCTACTGCCCGCTTCTTGTGGAGTGAGGTGCAGGCGCTCAAAGTTTCTTCTCTCTCCCTCTCTCTCTCTCTCACTTTCTAACTCTCTAAATATAAACATATATTATATATATATACTCATGTACGTATACACGTGTGTTTGTTTATATAAGCTAGATGCTTAGCTTTAGCTTTGAAAACAAGTTGGGGTGGGGGAAAGCTGGACGTTAGGTTGGCCGACCACCCAGGTTTCAGACCTTGCATGGCTTGGAAGGAGCACCAAGGCCCCCTGCAAGTTCTCCAAAGCCCCCAGACCTGCAGTTCCCAACGTGACATACACTCTGCCACTCAGGGTTTAGGCTTAAGGTTTCGGGGATTTGGCACTGGGGGTTGTTTAGGAGTTCAGGGTTTAGGCCGAAACTCCTGAATCCCCACCCCTAAACTCCTGATCGCTACAGTAGGGTTTAGGCCTGAGGCCTTGGGTCTTTTCGACTCCACCCACGCCAGGGCTCTCTGTCACGGAGCTCCCCTTGTGAGATGCGCAGGCATCGATTTTCGAGGGGCCCCTTCGACCCGTCTCAAAAAGAGAAGCTCTTGCAGGCTAATCGCGAAGGCGCTATATGTAGCCCTGAATCCCGAACCCTACGCCCCTACGCCCCAAAGCCTAAACCCTTGTTACCTCTTTTGGCCTGTAACTCAGAAAGGCTTGAAGGCTGTGTTTTGAGGTAAAGCGAGCTTGTGCCTGGTGGTTCGGCAGTATGCATGCATTTCCACAAATAGACACACACACACACACACACAAGTGATCGTTGGACTGATAAACTGTCCAAACGGATACGATCTTGGGTGCGGCAATTCCAAGAGCAAAGTCGTTCGGCCAAGAAGCACATTGTTCTTCAGATACGATCGTGGACCCGAAAAGGTCGATGAGAAAGGCATGTCGGTTAAGAGCGCGCTCAGCTAGTAAACTTGTTCTCGCATACGGCCCTGAACCTGAAATTTTCGACTTGTAAATTTGGGGAGTCCTGCTGTGTCCAACTGGCCAATGCCACGCCTTAACCTTCAACAAACTCGCCATTAAACCACCCTCATCCACCCGAAACCCCAAACCCCCTTGACCTTCCAATCCCCCAAACCACTCAAATCCCACGCCTTGAGCCCCAACACCATCACCCCTACACCCTTAAACCCTAAACCCTCAAACCCTAACACCCCTAAAGCCCCAAAGCCCGAATGCCCGAGAAAACCCTGAGCCTAAAATCCTACAACCCTGGGGTTTATTGTTTAGGGTTTAGGGTTGAGGGTTTAGGGTTTAGGAATTAGGGTCTAGGGCTTAGTTCCCAAACCCCGGCGTGTCCACTGCAGCCGTGAGCGCGGTGGTTCCGGGCCGATCCCCGGCCCCTTCGCCTTGCGCGCCTCAGAAAGAAGGCCTCGGGGGTTTAGGGTTTAGGGTTTAGGGCGGTTTAGGGTTTTGGGTTTAGGGTTTTGGGGTCTAAGCGGGGTGGGGGTTACGGCCTTGGGGGGGTGTTTTGGAGTCTGGGGTTTAGGGGGTTTAGAGCGTGTTGGCGGTTTAGTTCAGGGTTTGGTTAAGGGTTTGTGGGCTCAGGGATTTACAGCTGGGGTTTAGTTTTTTTCAAATTATTGGGGCGCTTAACCCTAAATTCTGAATATTGAACCCCATCAGAGCCCCCGAAGTTCCTACAACCCCCCCTCCCCCTCCCCAAACCCCAGAACTTTGCAAACCCGGAACTGTAAAGCCCAACTATCCCGAATAACTTTGAACAGCCCCAAAACCCTAAACCCCAAACACACAAGCCACATAAAAACACCTAAAACCCTGAAGCTCGAAAGAGCTCGGGAGCCCGACGTGCTAGGGCCCTGGCAGCCATGATGAAAGATCCGGAGCAGCAGGCCCTTCCGGGTTTAGGGTTTAGGGTTCAGGGTTCAGGGTTTAGGTTTAGGGTTTAGGGGTTTAGTTCACTTTGGTTTGGGGGTTTTGGCGGCTTGGGGGTGTCCCGTAGAGGCGGAGGCTCTGTTGCAATTCGGAGCCTCGCAGTAGAACTCGCAGCAAAGGGACCGCCTGTCATGGGTAGCTAGAAGTGGGCGTTTTGGGTCTTCAGGCTTAGGGCTGTGAAGTCTTGAAGTTCATAGATACATCTACTCAAGGGTTGGCTTCCATTGTGGGATTCTGTAGCATGCCCAAGTCATGGGGGTGTCATGGGTAAGGATGTAAGCACAGTGACCACACGTTTCCCAAAGCTGGTTCGGGCAGCGAGCGCCAACTTCAAGTAACCAGATTGTCAGGAGAAGCTGGAGCTCAGAGAGGACGAGCTACGCGAGGAGTCGACCTTCCGGGAAAGCGGGACTTTCGGGACTTGAGGTTTCGGGTTGCGGGCTTCAGTGTTTTGGGGGGGTTTTCGGGCTTGGGTTTTGGGTTTGGGGTTTTGAATGGCATGGGGTGAATCAGGGTTTCAGGGTAGCAATCAAGGGCTTAGGGTACAGTAGACAAAGGGAAGGTGACACAAATTGCTGCTCCACAGGGTTTAGCGTGGACAAAAAGACCCTGGACCAGAAACCCCTTTCCCGATTTCCAACGCACAAACTGCGACAGCCGCGAAGTAGTCCTTGAGCCCTACAAGTAGCCGCATTGCTGCACAACCCCAACGCCACAAATCACCCCCAAGAGCTAAACCCTAAGCCCACAACCGTGTATACCCTGAATAGTCCTTACAAAGTCGAACCCCAAAACTCTCGGAGCCCCAGGCCCCAAACCCTAAGCCCTAAACCCTAAACCCTAAAACCCTAGACCCCAAGCCGCAGCGCAAAGCTCTCGGAGCTGGGGGAGAGGAGCACACGAAGTACTTGGAGCAGCATCCAGAGCTGAGACAGGCCCTTCTAAGGGGGGGCCGGGGCCCGGGCCCTTATCCCCCTTGTTTTGGGGGCCAGGGGGGGGGGGAGGGGTTAGGGTTTAGGGTTTAGGGTTTGGTGTTTAGGTCGTAGGCTTGCGGGCTCAGGGGGCTCTGGAATTGCGGGCCTTTTGATAGAGCTCAAGAGAGTTTTGACTTTGGCCTTTAGGGTTCCCCAGGCTTTTTGAAAGTTGGAGCAGTCAGGGTTTGAGACTTTAGAGGTTCAGGTTCTCTTGAGCCTGGGCCATGAGAGAGCCTTCTCCCCGCCCCCTCTCGCGGAAGCCCCCAAGCCTGGATCTGCCAGGTCCTCAACGACTTCATGTCGTCAGTTCTCCTACACCGGCCGGATCAGGTCTCAAGCCAGGGCTGAGGAGGGTTTGCTCGGGGACTTTGGGCATTATGGTGATTTCTCAAACACAGGGTCCCTTTTTTGGGTCCTTATTATAAGGCGGCCCCTGCTATTTAGGGTACCCCAAGAGGGACCATACTTTTGAGAACTCACCAGATACACCTCGACGTTCGAAGGCCGCCCATGTCGAAATTACTAAGCGCAACGCCCTGAATCCTTTAGTACCCCAAAGCCAAGCCATAAACCTTAAACCCTAAACCCCCAAGCCGAAACCCGATGACCTTTTCAAGAGGTCTTCGACTTTGCTCGGGACTACTTCACAGCCTTCAAGCAGCCCAAAGAGGGAGCGGAGGCGAGTTCCACCTCGTTTTTTACATTAGCATGAAGAAGGTGCACCATACGGGCTATGCGAGGATACCTCTTACCTACAGCTCGGTACCCTATGTATATGTGTATTTATATACTATGCGTATATGGATAGCCATTGTCTTCCCCTCCTCCTACTACTAGTTCTCACGACGATTCGGTGAGTATGACTGTTATGATTGCTATTTGGGGATCTTTTTGGGCTGGCGCCCCAGCCACCAATCCGCACTGCCCTATAAACTCCAATGCCGATCCTGCCAACTCTCAACCCCAAGCCTCCCAAGCCTTTGAAACTACGTCTCGAACTGTTCGAGCCTTATACCCGAAACCCCAAACCCTAAGCCCCAAACCTCCGCAAAGCCAAAAACACAAACTCCTAAACCCCGCCGCGAGGGACAGCCGGCAGCTGCATCGGAAGCGGGCCAGTAGTGGAGGAGAGAATGCGAAAGCAGACAATGTTTCACTCAGAGGGCTGGCGATGGAAGGCTTGACCCCCCCAGAACCCTTAAGAACTCATTTAGCACCAAGAACCCTCTAACAAGGACCCTAAGAACCCTGACCCCTCCCCTTTTCTGGGGCATCGATCAAGCGACCCATCCGCACACAGGGGTGCTTCAAATCCGAGGTGCCCAGGCCAGTGAGCCATCCAGCCCGTTGCATGAAAAAAGCCCCTACACTCTGGACTTTAGGGTTTAGGGTTGAGGTGATCTGTAGGGTTTTGGGTTTTGGGGGCTTAGGTGGTTCAGGGTTTAGGGTTTGGGGTCCCAGCATGAGAAACATGGAACTCGGGGCCACCCCTTCTGCGCGAGAATTCTCTAGAGGCTTGGCGATGGGATCCCGGAATCTCCCAAAACCTCATTGGACCCCCTAAAATGAGGCTGATCACCCGTGGCCGTGAACTCTGAAGTATCGTGCAAGTAGGATAAAGACCTCGAAGGGGGAGGGGGGGGAGAGGGGATTCCAGGACAGAAAAGGAGGGTGAGAGAGTGGGAGAACTCTTCCTGGGGTTGAGGACGCTTTGGGGGCAGGGCGGGGTCGTGGAGTTTGATCGAGCTCGAACAATTGTAGGGATCAGGGATCCTTTGGCAATGGGGACCTTTCCGCAACGAAGCCTTTGAGCTTCTTTGTGTTGTGGTTTGCTCCAAACTTGTTTTATTGGAACCCCAAGCTCTTTGAACCTGTACTTTGTTCGGGTATGCAACAAAATCCTCTAAACCGGACACCCTAAACCCTAAACCCTAAGCCCTAGACCACCACCCCCTCAGCCCAAGGACGGTGAGGGCTTAGGGTTTACAGGCTGTCGGGTGCCCTGTGCTCTCTCGACCCCAGCCGTTACAAGCAAAGGGCGCATGAGACCCGAACCCACGTTCCTCAACCCGAAAGAAATGCCTGAAGCTGACCTTTCGCGGGCCTAAGCTTAAGCATTT